AGCCGAATCTGTACATATTTTTTGGAAAATCTTATTGAAATAAACATTATTATCGATACAGAGGCCGAATCTATAGTTTTTAGAATTTTTGTCTGTCTGTCTGTTACCGCATCACAGAAAAACCACTGGAGGAATTTTGATGAAATTTGGTATGGTGATAGCTGGTTATCCGGGTCAACATAATATAGGATACTTTTTACCACGGGAAAATATCTCATATCTGAGAAAAAATACAAAAACTGCAATATTATAGTATACTAATATGTAAAACCTAAGTATTTGGTTTTCGGTCATATGAACGCGGGCGGAGCCGCGGGCAATGCTAGTATGTTATTATGTACTATATGGTAATAAATAAAGCTGATTTTTTTTCTACGTTAAAAAAATACTGTGGGAGACCTTTGAAACCAACGACCCGATTAGATTCGATTTGATTTTTTTTTGCCATTATAGCCTTTTTTTGGGGAAGGTTATGTACCTATAGGTTATCTAAGGTCATATTACAACTGTTAGAGACGAGCATTGATACATACATAAATAGACTATGCAGTTGAAGTCGAAGGTAAACGCTAATTTACAATATTATTAAGAATAAATTGTATATTAATTTTCTAATAAGTATGTTTCACCAGTGGTAGGACTCTGTGAAGCCTGAGGAGTCCGACTGGATGGGTACCACCCCCTTATCCATTTCTCCCGCCAAGCAACAATGATTACATTTTTGTGTTCCGGTTTAAAGGATAAGGTTGCCAGCGCAATTACAGTTAATAGGCATATTATCTTTATTAGTCCTCACAGTGACAACGCACCTGCGGTTCTCCATTTTTGTTACATAAAAACCTATGTAAGTGCATGAACTGTAGGTGTTATGGGCGACAGGTACTGCTTTCCATCAGGTGGTCTGACTGCTCGTTTGTCACTGTACCCCATAAAAAAAATTATGAGAGAATAATAACTTGTAACTACGGGAGAGGATAGGATGAAAGGCTAACAATATAATACAGTAACATAGTTTAGTTTGACATTTAAAATACTTGTCATTACCCACGCTTCCAAGTTCTTGGTAGTAGGTACTAGCGTGTTTTTCCTTTTTAGAGAAATAATTAATTTGCATGAATAAAGTATAACAGGTGGGTTGCACGTTTGAATGCCGACATTTATCGATTTCCATCGTTAATCTGCCCTTGACAACTAAAATCAATATACAGATAAATAAAATTGAAGTTTCTATTTGTAATGTCGAAATAAAAGGTTTTTACTAAATGCATTTGAAATTGTATACGGTACTTACAAGAAAAATACATTTTTTAAAATTTTTGTCTATCTGTTTGTTCCGGCTAATCTCCGAAACGGCCGATTTGGATGGGATTGTCACTGGCAGATAGCTGATGTTATCTAGCTGTGAGGAGTAACTTAGGCTACTTTTATTTTAGAAAAAGAATAAGGGTTCCGCTCAAAAAAATCAAAACGCACCCATGTTGTACCATGATAATAATTTTAAATGTTTGATTGAAATCTATACATATAATAAAATTGTAACTAAGACGAATGTTCACATTAAATATTTTTTGGAAAATTTTATTGAAATAAACATTATTATCGATTCAGAGACCGAATCTATAGTTTTTAGAATTTTTGTCTGTCTGTGTCTGCTACCGCATCACAGAAAAACCACTGGAGGGATTTTGATGAAATTTGGTTTGGTGATAGCTGGTTATCCGGGTCAACATATAGGATACTTTTTACCGCGGGAAAATATCTCATTTTTGAAAAAAATACAAAAACTGCAATGTAAGAGTATACTAATATGTAAAACTTAAGAATTTGTTTTTTCGTCATCTGAACGCGGGCGGAGACGCGGGCAATGCTAGTAAGTAATAAAATTGTACACCGACTCCAAAATTACTGAAAAGTAATTGTTTTACCTTTAAGAGCTGATTTTTTTAAATTAAAAATACAGACGAATTGAGGACTTACTCTTTTTGGAGACGGTCAAAAAATTGTGTAAAATGTCTATTTGTCACTCGCATAAACTTATATTCTAATTGAAATCAATAAATGTCAGCAAAATGAAATTTATACTAAACAAATGTAACAAATTATGTACAAAGTAGCCTATATATTTGTTTGAATAATTAAATTACTGCTCAAAGGTTATAATTTATAGCATTGTAGAAATAGTAGTTAGACTTTACTTTGTTATACAGACTACAGAGCTAAAAAATACATCAGTTATATATATTTAATCAGTAGGTAATACATTACACCTATAAATAAGATTGTATATGTGATATTTCTAACGAGCTACCCCATGTTGTGCTCAAATCATGGTTATTTGCAACATTAAAAACAAATAATTGGTTAAGAACAAAATTTCATCATCAATGAGATTTTTCATGTCCAGATAGATTAGATAGAAAAATAGGCGCGAAATAGAATGGAAACTGTATATAGAATAATATACCTTTGAGAGGGATAGAGCCCGTGCACAGAATTATACGCGCGAGACGGTCCGTAGAATGTACAATGTACATGAAGAATTCAGTGAAAATTACCGGGAAAATATGAATGAAAGTTGGCATTATTAAGTATATATATATATATATATATATATATATATATATATATATATATATATATATATATATATATATAAACTTGTGTATAAATATTAGAAATTTCTTTTTAGAAATCCATGCAACACATTTTTATAAAGCTATATTTTACAGCTTGTAGGTATTATATCAACTTTCTTAAACTTTCTCCTTCTATGCATGGAGAGTTATTCATCAATTTGTTTTTTTTATTTCAGGTACGTGATATTTTATACTGCAATTGTGCTAGATGTCAGTAGCCAAAGTTGAATTAAGTACCACTATGATAATGTGTAATAATGTGTGTAAATATAACCCATAGAATTTTGGGTGGGGCGTCAAAAAAACAGTAACTTAGCAAAATCTGATAAAAACAAAAAAATTGTCTGTATGTCTGTTTGTGTGTGCGGTTTCTAAAAAATTATAAATGTTGTGTAGTGATAACTTATTACTCGGGTCATTAACGATGCCTTTTCTACAGGAAAATCTGTATTCCCACGGGAAAACATAATAACGGCTTCTATCGAGTTGTCCTTAGTTTACAAGGCTAACCAGCGCTGGTTTTACACTAGGGGCACTCGAGGCTAGTGCCTAGGGCGGCGAAATTCGAAGAGTGGGAAAAAAATCTCTGTTATCGAAAAAAATATTATTATTTTCCAAAAAAAATATAATTGATATGATTCATAAATTATTTATTGCATTTTTTAATACTTTCTTAGATTTACGCGAATATTTGACATTTTAAATAAAACAATCTTTTCGGTTTTTGTCGCGGATTTATTTGCATTTTTGTTTCCCGACGTTTCGAATGCTTTACAGCATCCATGGTCACGGGAGAGACTGAGGTGTTACATGTCTTGAATGTATAGTTGTTACAGAACGAATTGTGGGTAGGCTGTCTGTAACAACTATATCTTTAAGACATGTAACACCTCAGTCTCTCCCGTGACCATGGATGCTGTAAAGCATTCGAAACGTCGGGAAACAAAAATGCAAATAAATCCGCGACAAAATCCGAAAAGATAGTTTTATTTAAAATGCATTTTTTAACTTATCGAAACTTATCCATTTTATGCAAAATTTCAATAATAGGGCGGCATTATTTACTATGCCCAGGGGCGGCGGTAAGGTTGAATCCAGCACTGAGGCTAACGCTGGCCAAACCTTAAGAGATACATCATACATCAAAAGAATGTACTAGAAAATTGCAGATCTTAAAAAGGCCTAGAATAAAATCTGCAATAGCATAAGTTTTTCTTCTACGGTACATTCGCAATATAGGGACACCCCCGAGCCAAGCAAGGGTAGGCCGCTAGTTATAAATAATAGAAAGAAAAATAATACTTTGTATAGCGCATATTTAAATTAAAGAAAAACTGAACAACGAATAAAAACTTAATTTGTTTCGTATTAGGTACTTAAAAAAATAATCCTTGTGTTCTTAAACTTGAAACTTCTTAAAAAAATATTTTATCTCTGCTCCATGACCCCCATGACCATCCCCCTGGATCCGCCCTTGGTTCAAGAGTAGCCTGTGTCCGATCCCAGGATGCAATCTATGCCCACGCCTTTTATCGAAATCTATTCAGCGTGCGTGAAGAAGCGTAAAAAACAATTAAACAGGATTTCCCTTATAATATTAAATGAACAATTCTCGTATATATTATGTATATAAATTTATTTCGTGTAGGTACTTATCTCGGAAACGGCTCTAATGATTTGGATCAAATTTTGTATTTAGATAAGCTTTTGCTTCTTAAATTTATCTATATAGGTGTCTTTCTAAAAAATATGCAATTTTTACTTCTTTTTGAAAAAAAAACGAATCAACCGAAACGAATCGCCCCAGAACGAACAAACGAACGGGACATGGAAGAAAAGTACCTTAAATAATGTACATAATAATCTAGTTCCACTCAAAAGAAATAGCTGCATTCAATAATTTTTAAAAAGCTTCGTTGATTATGAAAAAAATTGAGAGATTTCATGATGTTCATTAGTTCTAAGATACAATGTTTATTCGAGAGATATTATTTTTACCACGTATTTACGCTGGTGCTAACTCCTCCAGATAAATTTCTAAGAAATTAATTAAATTTCCAAGAATTCTATCTTCTAATCTATTCTTAACTGTAACGCCGGCGTTTTTCTTTTTTTTTTGTTTTTATATAAATATTACGTAAATTGATATTGTAATAAAAATGTCATAAAATAGTTAATAATAATTTATTATATCAGTGCATTAAAAATAACATAAGTTATACATACATTAAATATATAGAGACCTATAATAAGTATAACTAAATAAATAGCGTCGTGCTTACCCGTTGTAGGCAATTTTCTGAAGTCTGAACAACTTCCAGCTTTTTTTCTGGCTTAATTTAACCTTAAATTTTATAAAAGTTAAGATTTCGACATAATCTCTTTCATAGCCAGTTCGATTTTCAATTGTATACACGCAACACGCTCTTGGAATATCTGGTTGACCAAATTCAGTCTCTTCTGTTCCAACATGGCGTTTTCTTTCATCAACTTCTGCCTCAACTCTTGTTCTTCTAATGTGTAGTTCTCTTTGTTTTCTTTACTTTGCATATTCCCTTCTTGTTTGCTCTTCAATGCCACGTGACTCCTCAATTTCACTATTTCAAACTGTTCAGAATTTATTTTAGCCTGAAGTAACGATTTCAGTTGTAGATATTCAGCGTTCTCTAATTGTAATCTTAGCACTTTTAGCTCTTTCTCTGTTAACTTTGGTTTTTCTGGTGATGATTCTGCATCGGTTATATCTTCTGCTGGTTTAAATTCAAAATTGTCTTCGAATTCTACTGGGAATGTTGGGTCGGGCATAGTGTTTGGAGATTCTTTAATATCAAATGCGTCTGTTTGCGGGATTTCTACTTCGGTTTGGACAATTTCTATTGGTTGCGAGTCTCTTCGTACTGGTTCTGGTTTTTCTTCCGGTTTGTCTTTCTCATCTATAGAAGGTTGCTGTACCGGTGCTGTGTTAGGTTCTACTGATTTTTGAACTGACCGAAGTTTTCTCTGTGTAAATATAAGAGAAATCAATAAATTAATAATCTTATCATAAATCCTTAAATAATTGGATTTTACAGTAAGTAGATTATTATTACAGTAGCTTGTTAAACTCGGTTTAAACAAATTTTATCGTTAGTACTCTCTTCCGATTTAGTAAAGACGCGACTGCCATAATTCAGTCCGTGGCACAGGTTCGATTTCAGGATGAGGATTATGTTTGCATTGTACACTGTTAAAGTTACACCTCTGATATTTTCATGTGCGAATCATTTCCAACATTATCACTTGTCTTATAGTGAAGGAAAACATCGTGAGGAAACTTGTATGTTTGAGAGAAACTAGTAAATTTTCGAAAGACATATGAATTTCATTAGCCCACACTTGGCCAGCGTGGTGGAAAACCTGATCCTCTCGTATCGAAGACAGGTCCGAGCCTAGCAGTGGGACGTTAATAAAAAAAATCTGAATATATACCTTGAGTTGTGTGACAATTCGTTGCGCCTCCCACAGCTGCTGGTCCCTGGCATTAGTAATGAACCCGGCGTGCATTTCCGCGTGTATTTGGTTCAACAGAGACTCTTGCTTTCGAAGCTCTTCGCTTATTTCATTCGCTGTTTCTGGGAAATCAGCTGGGATGGACTGTAGTGGTGGGACATATCTGACATAAAATTAATAGTTTTAATATATGAAAAAAAAACACATGTCTTTTTAAAAAAATCATGTATTTAGAAATAATAATAAATCCTGATTGACTGATATATCAACGCACAACCTAAACCGCTGGTCCTTTAGTTTTTAGGTAGTCTTTTGAAATTCCAACCCTAAGAGGGTGAAATGGGGGGGTTGAATTTTCCGTATAAAAAAATTATTCTTCGAGTAGATTGACTCGAAAATTGGTACACATATTCTTCAATTAAAGTTATAAAACAAGTGTATCACAGTTTTTCTAAAATCATCCCCCAACAGAGTCATATAGGGCTTCGAAAATCCTATACGGCATGGCAGACGTGCGCAGGGTGGCGCAGGACGTGCGGGAGAGCGGGGGTGTTTCAGAATTAATTACTTATACATAAACACAAAGAACTACTTATACATAAAGCCAAAGAATTTGTTATTTTTGTAGTTTGAACGCGAGCGAAGCCATGTGTTCTGCTAGTGATTCATATTAGTCTAGACTTGGAAGGTATTAATAGCGGCTTTTTCAATGGAATTCCTTCTTCCGACTCTATCATCAGACATGCTCGATACTATCAAATTACTGTATTATCATGTTTTTATTTATTTACAAAAGTGTTTAATCAATACAAGAATTACAAGTATCAACTTTAAAGATTAAATTACATAATTAAAAATGTGCTTAATTAATAAAAGCGAAAAAAAAAACTCATTGTATATAATATCTCATAGCTTTCTCACCGATCTACTATACTGACACTCATTAAATTGACGATTCAAAAGTGCTTGTATAAATAACTCCATTTGAATAAATTTAATTTTTATTTCATTTCATATAAAAAATTTTTTTAAGATCTCATATTAATATATTAAAATAAAATACTCTACTCTTATTATATCAATTATTTAACCTGAACGGAAATCGAACTCATACCGATAGGCATAAAAATGAGATCATTTTATAGGATTGCTACTGTTTATTTTTAACATGACAGCGTATAGACATAAGATTTGCTATAATTATTATTATTTCCACAACAATCAAAGCAGATAGACGATGTGGGAAACCAACACAATTACTCTTATTATTAAACGGAAAACTTATAATGACTTCTGGTAATTGCACGATTGTTCTATTTTAATTGTGTTTAGTATTTCAAATTGTCACTTATATATAAACAAATAAATACTACGAAGTGATTTCTTTATTTTGTTTGTATACAAAAACAAAGAGTCTTAATTCATTATTTGCTGATGGTGAACAAAAACATTGTTATTAACCTATTATTATTTGTTTTATCGGATATATCTTTAGTCAATTATAAAACTCTTCGATATAAAATTATAGCGTTATGAATATATACAGGGTCATTTTTAATTTACTGAAAACCTTTTGGGAATACACTATTTACAACATAACAACAACATCTGTAAGAAAAAAAATTATATATCTTAAATTTAACAAAAATAAAACGTAATTTTATTGCACCTTCTAAACGGTAATAGTCCAGCATTAGCGTACATATTATACTCCCAGTATATATATAATACGCCCAGTCGAATTAGCTCAAAAAAGAAGTAAACGATACGAGTTATTTAATAAGCGCAAATTCTCTGCCTCTTTTCGAATATAAATCGAAAAATATCGATCCTACGAAAAAATTGATAAGTAAATATCATAATATCAGCATCATAATTGTAGCAAATTACTATCAACACATCAAATTTTCATTATATTTTCAACGACAATCAACCGAAAAACTGACGAAAGATATAATAATACGAAAACATCAATAATAAACGTGATAATACAATGATAAGATTTAACCCCCTCCTTTTCTCAGGTATAAATCGTAAAATATCGATCCTAGGAAAATAATGATTAGAACCAAAATTGTAGGAGATTTAATTTCAAACAACTTTTGTATAACTATTTTTCGATTTATTCAATAACCGAAAATCAACCCTTAAATTCAAGTTGGCGGATGACGCATCGATAGACTGCTACTGACCCCCCCCCTCCCCAAATTTGCAATGTCAAATCCTAATTTGACTGGGCTAACTGGCCTAGAGTAACATATAGGTATGTAGGTGATAAGCATCTAGGGACTTACCCGAACAAAGCAAAGTAAGTCGCTAGTATAAGTATATATAGAACGGCGGACATTACACCTGATCGATTTCGGCCACGACAGCCAATCTCGCCGAGATAAACCAACAGCGCAGGAGATATTATAGTGCACAAGTGTGAGCATAAGCAATGTGCACTCTCTATTCCTGACACTCTCATACTCCGGTGTTATAGTTATTGAGATTTTCTTAACAGAAAGACTCAATGACTGAGCTTGGCCCAATCCGGGCTTCGAACCCAGGACCTCCAGATCTACAGCCATAGCCGTGACTGCCATAGCCACTAGACCATGGAGGCAGAATTAACCTAAATAAGTCGCTTAATAAGACGAAAATCAACTCACTTAGTAAGACGAACATCTGGGAAGAGTTTGTCGGCTTTGGTTATTAAATATGTAAGGAGATTCAAGGACATGTTGAGAGCTGGACCCATTGCCGTCGCTATTGTTTGGATGTTTACGTGATTTACCTGAAAACGCATTTATGATACATTTTAATATAAAATTAATTCTTATAATTTAGTGAATTTAATATCTATACATATAAAAAAATCGATACTCTTGTTTGATTTTTTCGACAATGTCACGTAGAATGGTGAAGACACGAAGGAGATTGGTCGGTAATCAATACATATATTGTGTAACAATATTCATTACAAACATTGTGACAAATGATTTTTTATAATATCCATACTAATATTATAAATGAGAAAGTGTGTTTGTTTATTTGTCCTTCTGTCACGTTGAAACGGAGTAACGGATTGGCGTGATTTTTTGTGTGGAGATAGTTGGAGGGCTGGAGAGTGACATAGGTTACTTTTACCACGGGAGATTATCTACAGGAAAACATCATTATAAATCAATCCAAAAAAATATTTATGGTCAGAATTAGTTGAAACTTAGTATTAATACTCTACTACTTTAGTACATGTTTTAGAATTTTTGGAAATTCATCCTATAAGGGAGTAAAATAGGCGATGAAAGTTTGTGAGAAACTACCTTTTCAGAGATTTTTTTTGTAGTTTTAGCGCGAGCGAAGCCGCGGGTTCTGCTAGTATTTAATAAACTTATCAATATAACTAAACATAATAATAATAACTAACTAACTAATAATAATAACAACAAGAAGTTTCCTAAGTCAGAAAGTAGAATAGCCGCGGGAAAACGCTTATACAAAATGTAATGTGTAACGAGTCGGTGGTAAATGCCTCACGGAGACTGGCTACACCGACACTTAATTTAATTTAACTTTAAAATATAAAATTGACGATTCAAAAGTGCTTGTAAGTCTATTTGAATAAAGTATATTTTGATTTGAATGGTAAAACAAATATATAGTCAACGCCAGCCTGGGCCTGGCCCGCCGTGGCCGAAATCGGATAATACCTGTTCATTAGCGACAACATGTTCAAAGTGCTTCATGAGCCAGGCCAGCAGCGCGTGGTGCGGCGCGGGCAGGCGCGCCACGAGCGCGGCCAGCGTGGCCTCGCGCTGTGGCTCGGCCATGGCCGTGGCCTGCTCGAACTGCCCGTGCAGCTCTTGTGTTAGTATCGAGTCCGGGAGCTCGCTGTGGGATTTTAGTCGTTATTTTTAACGAGTTTGTTTCTCTCTATGGAGGCTTTGGTTTTATTTTAAAACATAATTTAGAAATTTGAGGTTATGGAATAGGATGAGTTTGTTTTGGAGTTTTTGGTATGTGACGTGATAACTTCAGTTGTTAAATTGTGAAAGAATTTTAATTATTATATTATTATTAGGCTACATAGTCCATTTACTATTAATAGTCTGTTACATGAATCAGAGAAGGAAAGTTCTCACGCAAATGACTCATGCTATACAAGGAGTATAGTACAAAGAAATGAATATTTGACTTTTTTATAAAACATGTATCTATATAATAAAATATTTCTGAGTCAGAAAATTTTGTCAATAATATCACATTTTGTTTTTTTACGAATACAGAAATACCTTAAGACTTAGTACTGTAAATTTCATTAAAAATTATTCCTTTCGATTTTACTAAAGATTTGTCTATTAAATGTAAAACTACTACACATGACATTGGGTCAACTATCAACTAAATTCACAAACCAAAGGCGATGTACTGATAGAAGTTTTTATTACATTAACCATTTTTTGGGTCACTTTCGACCTATCCATAACTTGAAATCTGTTCGATCTATAGACTTGCAATAGCAAATTAGGTGTCTATTCTAGTCTCTTCTTAATAACAACACCCCAAAATTCAATAATAACACATTTAATACAGCCATTTTCGCCATTCTTATACTATATGTACTTCGAAAAGTACATAGAAATAAATTAACATACAATATAGATTAAAAAGTTCAAATATTACCTGATAAAACTCTTAAGAATAGCGCAGGCGACCGACACGTCCCAGTGGTAAGGGAACGTCGGACCCCGATCCGTATACAACTTGCGTAGTTGTTGCAATTTTATCTTGTCGGGCTCCGCTCGATATATTTGATTCGATTTTATACCATACGCCTGCAATTAAAGGAAAAAAGAATAAAAAAAAAATTGACGATATTGTTACTACGTGTAGATATTATTACTGTTTATTATTATATTATTTTTATTATATGTAGATTGTAGGTATATTATTATTATTACTTATAGTATACGAGTATAATATAGTAATATTATTACAAATTATAAAATTGTTAAAAATTCTAGTATTATATATATTTTTATGGTGCAAATATGAAGACAAAAATAAATATTTTAAAAATGATATTTTTATCATTTTCTTGTATACTCGTAGAACTTTTTAAACTGTCGAAGTAAACTAACTTAATAACTTTTATGTTTTCTATTGGGATAAGAAATAAACCTAGTCATAAAGCCCACAAAAATATGACTATATAAAACATTGTTATACAATCATTATTTTACAGAACATGGGGTATATAAAATAATGGCTTATACTTTGCAAAAAACTCAACTAAGTTGCATATTATATTCAAATCTACACTACAAAACTACATTGGCCCATGTAGACAACTAGAGCACTTAACGTTGACAATAATTGATATGGCATATAAAAATTGGTCACATAACTGCATAAGTAACCGCAATACGTCATATAGAAAAGATAATATTTCAGAGAAACGATTTACAAAGCACTTCAATATATCATGAAGACCAAAGCTATTGTTATACGTTGTTAGTGATGATCATGCACACTCATTTTCGTAACAATACAAGTTATACACCATTATTATTGGACAGTATATGTTTGTATGAAATATTTTAATATATTAGAGGCTTTTGCAGACGAATGTAGGGTAATTACCACTAAGCCTATTAGTTCACAGTCTATGGCAATAGGAGCTACGTTTAAAATGTACCAAAATCCAAGTCATGTGTTACTAAAATTATTATTATTATTCTTAACTATCGACTTACCTTGGCTTCGTTCGGGTTCGTCCCTAGGTACGTTTTAATCGGTCAGTACCGAATAGATTAGAGTATATAATATGATATATATCGCTTACAGCCTTCCTCAATAAACGGGCTATCTAATGCAAAAAATTTTTTCAAATCGGATTAGTAATTCCTGAGATTAACGCGTTCAAACAAAAAAACAAACAAACAAACTCTGCCTCTTTATAATATAAACATAGATAAGATATTCTGATCTGACGCATTTGACAAAGCGTTTAAGACACAATTTTGATCGAGACGATTTTATACTTTTCCGTTTTTATTATTTTATTAATAAAACAAAATGTTAAGGTAAAAACTGCATTAAAAATATTTTTACATTCGAATATATTACGACTAGCGACTCACCCTTGCTTAGCTCAGGTTCGTTCCTAGCTTGATTTCCCATAGAAACTTTCATCACCATTTTCACCCCCTTAAGGGATGATTTCCGGGATAAAAAGTATCCTATGTCCTTTCTAGGGTCTCAAACTATTTTTTTATCAAATTTCATATAAATCGGTTCAGTAGATCCAAAGATTGAAAGATCTAAAGACCCTACAACGTCACAAACTCATAATCTCACAAACTTTACCTCTTTATAATATTAGTATAGATATGAGAACAATAATACCTGTAAATAATCGATGCTGTCCCGAACTACTAGAGGCAGGCCGGTATCGTCGTGGCATCTTGAACGCTCTACAGACTGTTGTAGTGGAACGCCAAATATTGGTAACGCGACTGAAACCAAAATTCAACTTATTACTTACATATTCAGTGTTTTCTTAGAATATGTAGTAGATTTTAATTATTTTCTTTCAATCCATCTTTTTAAAATTAGGTAATACGTTTACCGACTGCAAAAAAGGGGTTCTTAATTTGGCTGAATATTTTTGTGCTGACTTTACGTAATATTTGTACCAAGTGAGGATCCAGTATTTTTTTTTCAAAAACATCTATATCTGAGTGGTTTAAGTTGAATAAATATATACATATAATAAAGTTGTAACTAAGCCGAATCAGTACATTAGATATTTTTTGGAAAACCTTATTGAAATAAACATTATTATCGATACAGAGGCCGAATCTATAGTTTTTAGAATTTTTGTCTGTCTGTCTGTTACCGCATCACAGAAAAACCACTGGAGGGATTTTGATGAAATTTGGTATGGTGATAGCTGGTTATCCGGGTCAACATATAGGATACTTTTTATAGTGGGAAAATGTCTCTACCTGAGAAAAAATTCAAAAACTGAAATGTAAGTGTACTAACTAATATGTAAAACCTAAAAATTTGGTTTTTGGTCATCTGAACGCGGGCGGAGACGCGGGCAATTCTAGTACATAATATAAAAGATACTTATTTGAAGTCGGTTTTATTTGTTGATAACCTACTTAAAATATTTTTTCCACATAAATTTCGAAACACTAAACAACTAGTACATAGTATGTAATACATACATACAATGTATGTTTTATACTAAGAAGTCTTTATCGTAATAGTACTTTTTAAATAAAAAATCATTTAATTAAATATAATTATTTTACACTACATTTGGAATGTATTTTGAGATTTATGTGGGACCCTTCTGGTATAATCCATTCCATAGATATAGACTTTATTACATTTTACATACTTTATTAAATAAAGTATGGAAAATGGACGATACGTTTGGTTCAGTTTGTAGTGACCTTACTTGCTGTGCCAGCGGTCGCGGGTTCGAGTCCCGCTGAGGGCTTTCATTTGTGTGATGAGCACGAATGTTTGTACTCCAGTCATGGGTGTTTATATTTATAATATGTATGTATTTAAAGTTATATATGTGTAGTGTATCAACTATCTGGTATCCATAACACAGGCCTCATTGCTTATCATGGAACTAGATGCTGTGTGTTAATGTATCAACATATTTATTTATGAATTATTTCCTATTCACTAAAAACATATTTTTTTAAATTGTTTCACAATTGACGAATATATCGCTTAACATACAAAAAAATAAACCCAATTTAATAATTCATCCATATAGTTTTTTTGTAGTTTATTCATGTGTTTATCATGAAATTGAAGTTTATATCATAAAACAAGTTTTAAAAGTTAATTGTGCAAATTGTATAAAATTTTGTGGAAATAAATTATAGCCACTTATTACGTATAAACATAATAAAATCATATTATGTCAATAAATATGTAACAGACAGTGGGCTATCACGATTCCTAAAAGAATTAGGACGCGACTGCTTTCAATATCACATATTAAGAAATGTTATGAGTTTAGGCATTTCATATAAACATAAAATTTTGCTATATATTCGTTAATTTCTTTATTTTATTTTTCCAAAGTTTGTACTTCATATAAATATAGTATATAAGTGATAAAACGTATAAACAAGTAAGTAATCTTTGCAAAGTCCGAATTAAAATTTAGAAAAAAATATATATGCAAACACTAATGAAATTTTCAACATTTATTATTATTATTACAATTCAAAACAAAAACCAATAAAACTTACCACCAAGATCAAAGCCATATAGAAATGGATTCGTGGAGAACATTAAAAATATATGAACTAATAAGATTCTAGGTGAAATACATATAAATATTGCCGTCACCTTATCATTTGCCTTGAGCCAGTGTTTTGTTTTGTCATTAGCACAGATAATAGTACATTTGACATTTTATCACTTAGCGCAGTTTTATGTAAAATATACATTTTTCGGTATAGCAAACCTACGCTTTAAATTCTATTCGCATACTTTATTAAAAATTATAAAAGTACGCGTTATTTCGTGACTATGGGATAATCAGGGAAGTATCGTATTTTTTTTTTAATTTGGGTTGTAGACTACATATGTACTGATGGGTGGTTGACTAAGTCACTATCCTATTTGGTGTAGCTCTTGAGCCAACTTTCTAGGAAGCAATACTAAAACTTAACTATTTGCCCAATCCATTTTTATCTCAAATCTTATCAAAATAACATTAAGTATGGATGAAAATTAAATGTGTTATCTCTTAATATTAGAAGAATAATACTTTCTTAGATTGACGCGAATATTGGACATTTTAAATAAAACTATGTTTTCGGATTATTTCGCGGATTTATTTAGATTTTTGGTTCCCGACGTTTCGAATGATTTACAGCAATCATTAGAAGAATATTTATTAGTTTTTTTTTAATAAAAAAAATACATTTAAGCAAAATTTGAACGAACTACTGTCAAGAGTTTCTATAAACAACAACAAATAGCGTTAACAGCACGATATTTTGATAGATTTGAATAAGAAATACCTAGTTGATTCCACAATCTTTCGCATCAGATTCCGGCTTTGAGCCTCAGAATTGGGAGAAAAATATTTTACCAGAATTTTTATATTAGCCTGTATTTGGTAATTTAATGGTGATCGTGATGATGAAATACTCCGGAGCCTTGGAGAGAAAGTGTCTCGTGAACCCTAAACCTGACCTCTCCGGTCGTGTCGGGCTTATACATACGAGTATGTGTTTTTATATTTACCGCGTGAATGAAAACAGGTCAGTAGGACATCATTATGTAACTAATCACTTGTGACATTTGAAAGGAATTTTCAAGATAGGTACTTGTTAAAGTCTCACTAATATAAAATATTAATTATCGAAGATTGGTGTTACTCGTGCTGTAAAGACTTAAGTAATATAAATGAAATTCGGAATGAAGATAGCTTTTATGGTGCATGATCTCACAGGCTACTTATATACTATATACGTTTTATGAATGAGCTACCAGGCGAGCGGAGTCGCGGGCAAATATTATTGTTAATTTCATTAAAAACAAACATTACATGAAGTAACAAACACACTAACTTACAACTTATGGCTTTTATAGCAACACAAGTGTATTTTAGTGGTAGGTATATGATTATATCTGTACACTTACCTCCTAAAGTAAATATTTCTTCGAAAGGAACACCTGACGTGACTGTGGACGGTACCTTTGTGAGTTTCTTGTCTTTTTTATCTTTATCTTTTTCTTTGATTTTCTCCTTATCTTTCTCCTTTACCTTTTCCTTGTCTTTATCCTTAACTTTTTCTTTTTTATCATCTTTTAGTTTTTCCTTCGATTCAAGTTTAAATTTCGCTTTTTCTTCCTTTTCCTGTAAACAATTTAAAATTATTTTAAAATATCACGGTAAAGAGAATTACTCTGCATTTGTCAATTTGAATAATATATATATTTTTTTATACATTTTGGATATTTACTACGGAGTCATAAGCTAGTGATAGTTTCGTTCGACGTACATATACGTATATATATGCAATATATCTACAGTAAATAAATCCGACTGGACTAATTGTATGTCCTAATTAAGAACGAAAAAAAAATTAATTTCATAGCATAAACCTCGAGTACCCTACAAAAATTTATCACAGACCTTTAAGTAATTTGGCGGCACTAATTAATATCTACTTGATACTTCTCTCGATACCCTCACATTATATATAGGTATTATATATACGAAAAAATTTAAATGTTTTTAATTTTTTGTTTGTTTTTCACGCAGTTATAGAACCTGCTCGATTGCCGATGTGATTTTTTATGGAAATATAGGCCGAAGAATAATTATACAGACTTGCCTCAGAAAATGCTAGAGTTTATAAGAAAAAAGTGATATCAAAAACACTTTTTTTTCTTAAAAATTACTGTTAATAAAATATATATTTTTATTTATATTGCCAAGAAACCGACAAATAGAATATACTTTACAACTCGAGAATAACATGTATTAACGACTAACAATAAATAATAACCATAAAATCAATTGTCGCACATTCGGACACGGACGATCATTAAACTGAACAAATCTGCACATTTAAATTTTACTTTTACCAACTAGGTAATAACTATCTACCACATATCTACAATTTATAATATATATACACGTTTTAGGGTAAAACTACGTAAAATAATATATTAACATTATTTTTTATAATCACTGAAATACGATATGATTAGTTGGATTTTTACGCGCAATCGATCAGAAATAACATGATCACCTTAGCGAATACGTTCCGCAGGTGATGCATGTCGCGGTCTGAACACAACTGAATAAACCATGTCGGCTCTGTCAAGGTCGGTACTGTCTACACAACAAAATATATGGATGAATGATCCATGATTTATTTTACAATCTTGTAATTATTATTATTATTTATGGAAGTTAATCAAGTAAATGGACGTATTGAATTAATTTAATTGGGGTTCAAGATTAGTCCAATGTTTGCGTATATGATATATGTATGTAATAATTTTGTAAATTATAGAATAGATTATAGAAATTAGAATACAGTGACTGCTGTGAAGTATGGAAGCTGTGTCCGGTGCCGTGGAGACTGCCTATTAAATCTTAGTAGAGAATAATATAGTACAATCTTTTTTTACTTTATTACGTAAAATGATGAATGATATTCGAAGCTACCATAAAACACTTCATTCACTCTGTCTAATCCATACAGATAGATGATTTACGCGTATGGGATAAAACAAATAAGATGTCTATATGAAACATTGTAAATACTTACAAAATTTACATGACCTAGACAATGCACATTTTACTGTAAAAATTTCAAATATGGACAAAATAAATAATAATACGCAATACATACATAATGTAAAATGTCCAACAAAGATGAAGATACATACTACGAAATTAATAACAGGTGATTATTTTTTTTAATTCCACTTACTATATATTTTTAGACCACAGCTGTAAATGCCAATACTTTTTATGATAATTTTTTGTCATTTGCAATAGGTAGTCTATGAACAAAGCTTCGTAGGAGTTTCGTATCTTGACCTATATTTGCTAATTAGTTGTTCAAAGGCTGCTTGTTTTCTACCTTGGCTTGTGTTATCGCGGGGGCCATTGTTTATTTTTGGGACAAAAACGGACATTATTATAAAAGAAATACATTGCAAACTTATATATACCTACTAGTAGAACTCGCAGCTTCGCTCGCGCTAAAACTACCAAAAAAAAAACTTTATAAAGTTAGGTTTCATACAAACTTTCATCCCGTACTTTACTACCCTTATGGGACGAATTTGGAAAATTGTTAAAAGACGTATTTATTTAATTGTATTGAAGAGCATTAATATGAAGGTTGAAGTAATTCTGATCATAAATATTTTTTTGGGTTGTAGTACGTGTTTTTCCGTGGGAATGAGAAATCTCCCGCGGCAAAAATGGCCTACGTCACTCTCCAGCCTTCCAACTATCTTCACACAAAAAATCACACCAATCACTCTCTCCGTTTTGACGTGAAAGAAGGACAAATAAATAAAGAAATAAACAGTTTTCTGAATAACAAATTCAGCTGATGAAATGTGATTAGTGAGAATAGTGTGATTTAATTTTACATAAGCAAATCCGTGTACTTCAAGAATCAAGACACTTTTTGTTATTTTGAGGTAGTTTAAATGTTGAATGATAAGCATGAAGGAATAAATAGTCAATCTGTCTACATGATAACCATTAAAATTCATTAATATATGAGAAATTTTCATCGTATGGCATAATAGAAAAAGCTCGATGTGTAATGTGTTACAATTGAGAATTGAGATTATTACATCAATTTGGTTGTGAAAAGATAACAGACAGACAAAGAAACTTGAATTTATAATATTAGTAAAGATACTCTTATCAATACTACTCGTAATATTATAAAGAGGAAAGATTTTTTTGTTTGTTTATTTGTACCAAATAAGCTCCGAAACTACTGAACCGATTAAGATGAAATTTGATAAGAAGATAGTTTGAGTCCCCGGGAAGGACATAGGATAGCTTTTATCCCGGAACTCATCCCTTAAGAGGGGTGAAAATGAGGATGAAAGTTTGTATGGGAAAGCAACCTAGGGACGAACCCGAGCGAAGCGAGGATGAGTCGCTAGTAAGAATATATAAATTATTGTATATAAATAATTAGTATAAAATATGAGTATTAATTAACTAATAATTGAGCAAGAAAGTATTGTAAACGATTTAAATGAGATTATAATATTATTGATAATATTGTGATTGTGATAAAGAAACATAGAAATCTATTATTTTACTACTATACCTACTAATTATAGTAATAGTATGATACAAATTGATTGATTGACGATAAATAATAATATAAGTACCTTTTTCGTTTTCTTGAAAATAATATATAATAGATAAGAAAATCTGTTATCACATTTGTATAATCTATACAGATAAATAAAATTGAAGTGTCTGTTTGTAATGTCAAAATATCAGCTTTATACTAAACACATATGAAGTATATATACTTATAATAAAAAAACATATTTTTTTGTCTGTTTGTTCCGGCTAATCTCCGAAACGGCTGGACGAATTTTGATGGGAATTTCTTTGGCAGAGAGCTGATGTTATAAGAAGTAATTTAGGCTACTTTTATTTATAAAAAAGAATTAGGGTTCTGCGCAAAAAAGTAAAACCGAGCGAAGAGAGGATAAGTCGATAGTTTTATATATAAATAATACACACATCATAAGATCTAAAGTCATTTAAAAGAGTTTCGCTTTGCACAAATTAGCGAACGTAAATCCATTCATTTGCAAGTCAATCCAATTTATGTTTTTGTTTGTTTTGTGTTCCAAGTTTCCAACGATGTTGCTTATTACAGTACGACATCATATAAAAGTTGACATTTAAAAAATAATAGTTAAATTATTAAAAAAGAACATCCGACTGCGTAAAAACTAAAATGCGAACCCTCCTTTTGGGCTTCGCCGCGGTCGGTTAAAAATATCTTCAAGGTCTAGTTCAAGTAATTGTCTTTTATTAAGGAAAAACGGGTATATTATTATAATATGTATACCTATTACCTTAATTATGTGAATACCTATTATTTGTCACATGTTTTTATAAACGTACCTGACGTTTCACGTAAATTAACTATGCTGATGACTGATGATTACATATATGTATGTTATATGTATGTATGTTATATGTATGTCTATACTTTACTGAAGTGCAGTTTAAAAATAAATGGAACAATTTCCACGAGTGTAGGAGTGTCGAAAATGAAGATTTCAGACGGGTACCTAATATATTAAAATTTATAATGTATTTATAACTTAGCCTAAGTTGTCTGTCCGTTTGTCGTTCTATCTGTATTGTATTTAAAAAGCTGTTTGTATGTTTTAAACCATAACTTAGCTTTTAGTGTTATATGGTATAAAGCATTCAAGTGCTTTAAAAATCAAGAAAATGTAATATTTTCCATTAGAAAAATCAATTAATTATATAAAAATTAAAAAAGGTTCTTAGAAGTGTACAAGGTCGAACTCACTTGCCATAAGGCGACTGTCTACAAGACATCATATTATACTCGTACTCGTATAGTTGAGCGCATTGGGTTTCCCCACTATGCATTCATAAATATATTTATAACCTTATTGTAATATGTTTTACAAATTAATAAGGAAATTGTACGTATATAATAATCTTTATAAAAAAGTATAAATATTTTTGTGATATGATTGTAAAAAACAATTTAATTAAAGGAAAATCTTTAATAAGCATGGTAGGGTCATGTTTTTAAATGACTTTAAATAGGGAAGGAGTTACGAACTATTTAGTTTTTTCAAGGACTATTTTTTTTTTTTCAGGTAAAAACCTAAAAAATGGTGCCCTTAAGTTTTTAATTTGACGCTTATGATTATTTATACAATATCGGCGTAAACATTCCAACTTTGCAATTTGACGAGTCGTCAAAAAATTATAAAAGTTAAAGTATACTGTGGCTTTTGTATATATTTGCCGTATATATATTTATATATATATACATACATATATAGTACATGGGCTACTCGGAGTTTTAGACCGAGAAAATATTAAAAAAAAAAATTTGAATAAATACAAAAAAAAATAAAGGTAATAACTTTGTATCCGACTGGGATACGAACCCAGACACTTGTGGTTGACAAACTTGAGCCTTGCCGCTTGACCACGATGCTTATGTAGTGCTTAGTGTGCGAATTAGCGACCATATTTTGCGTGGTATAATGCGAAAAAAAACCGCATGAAAACTCGAAAACACGCGTTTTCCCAGACATAAAACTAATCTAGATCGATTTATCGCCCCCGAAACCCCTTGTATACTACATTTCATGAAAATCGTTGGAGCTGTTTCCAAGATTCAGATTATATATATATATATATATATATATATATATATATATATATATATATATATATGTATTATATATGTCACTTTACTTATTAGTTTTGCTGTTTGTAATTTAAATAATAGAGAAATAAAAGCAAAAATTTACAAAATGGATTTTGTACTGATTTTGACGGGACTTTCATTGGCAAATCTAATAGCTAGTGTTATAGGAGTAACTTAGACTACATTTTATTTAAGAAAAAAAATAGGGGTCTCTCAATCACTCAAAAATATTAAAACGTACCTAGTTAATAAATGCCATAGGGCATAGCGTAAACATATTACGTATTTATGTCAATATAAACGAAATAATACAATTATTACTTAAATATGAAAAACATTCACCTGCTAAATTGTATACATAAAAATTTATAAACTTAACATAAACATTTAATGGAATTTAACAATGAGCGTGTTTTATAATATAAAAAAACATACATGTCAAAGCAACATACATCTGTCATTGCAATTTGCAACCATCTATAAATAAGTAGCAATGTGTGTTTCCCTTTAGGTGCCTTTTGCAATTAAAATATTGTGTGAAGTTAGCACCAATACCTATTGGTGAATTTTGTTACTAACAATAGCCTAATGTTACTCAAGGTCTTAGTTTATTTATAAACTAAATTACATCTAAATCCATTCAGTTTGAAGGAATAAGAAACACATCATACAAACTTACCATGAGTTTCAAATAAGTTAGGTCTGAAAAAAATATTTTCTATAATTTTTGCCACCTTTTTTTTACCCCATTAATATATTTTATTTTTGATCAAACTATAAAAGGAATGAGGTACTTCATTTGAGTGTGCTTGTATGTTATGCAATGTCTTCTCTGAATCCTCAATAGATTTTTATTATTGTATTTTAAAAGAACTGGTATTATTTAGTTAAATTTTGTTTGTGAAGATTTTTATAAGCTCAATCATAGATGAGCCTTATCGTAGCAAAATATAAAACTTATTACACACACTTCTATATCTTATACCTAAGTTTTATAAACATAATGTTTTCTATGGTCTTCTTAGTTTGATAGAGTAATTATATTTTTCCTTATAAGGATTCAATAAAAACAAATTGAAAAGAACACCTACCTTATCTTTTTCTCTCAGCTTCTCTCTTTTTTCTTTTTCTTTTTTTTCTTTTTCTCTTTCTTTCTCCCTTTCCTTTTCTTTTTTCTTTTCTTTTTCACTGAGTTCTTTTTGTTTTGTTGCATCATCTACAACTTTTTCCTTATCCCTGGATTTCTCCCTCTTCTCTTTACTTTTAGTTGGAAATTTAAATGACTTTGTCTTCTTCGTTTTAGATGGACTTCTGAATAAAATACATTATAACAGGTACTGATATAAAAATAATGTGAAGTTATTTTAAAACAGTTAGTATTTTTTGTGAGAGATGTGGTATATTCATGATTAAATATAAATTAAATTACTTTTATTGTTGACTTTGTTACATATTTTTTAATTGCTATTAATAACTCACTTAGTATCTGTGTCTTCTTCAGGAGAACTTTCTCCTTCCAAAGCAGCATAACCTCTATCTTTCTTGGATTCTTTTTTGTCCTTCCGTCTACCAAGTAAATCTTTTTTGCTGGGTTTTTCATGCTCTCCGCCATCACTAACTGTGTAAATTATTTTTAATATCAAGGGCCTTCCCAGAACCAATAAGAAATTAATACATTTTGATTTTAATATTGGTAAAAGATTTTTAGTTTGAAACAGAAGTGAAACTGGGCAGGGCACTTATCAATATACAAAGATGGACCTACCAGACAACTAAATGGCAGGGCCCAAAAAGCAAAAGAAATGTGGGAAGACAGAAGAAATGATGAGCCGATGATATAATAAACACAGCAGGAAAAAACTGGATGCATTAAGGCCAAAGATAGGGAAAGATGGAAAAGAATGGAGAAGGCTTTTACCCACCGGGGGGCCACATAACAAAAAAATGTAAAGGAAATAATTATAATTGGATGTATATTAGAAAATTGTTATGTGGAATAATAAAGCTATAATAATAATAAAAGGCAGTGGTAGCCCAGTGGTAACGCGCTTGCTTGGGAAACCGAGTGAAGCGGGTTCAAATCCCGGGTCTCGCATCTTTGATATATTCATGTGCGAATCATTTCTAACATGATTACCACTTGCCTTACGGTGAAGGAAAAACATCGTGAGGAAACCTGCATGTCTGAGAGAACTTAGCAAGTTTTCGAAAGACATGTGAAGTCCGCCAACCCGCACTTGGCCAGCGTGGTGGACCATGGCCTGATCCCCCTCGTATTGAAGGGAGGCCCGTGCCCAGCAGTGGTACGTTAAAAAGGGCTGAATACAGTAATAATCGGTAAAAGTTACAGAAATGTTTGAAGCATTATTACATTAATTAAAGCTTTATGGGTAAGAATTTGGGCCGTGCCTACTATGTCACAGTAGCGTCATATTTGTAAAATAATGTGTAATTCGTGTACTAGCAAACCACAATACTTCCAAGGTACTATTATATTCGAGATATTTTAAGCTAATTCAGGTAATTGAAAAAATTAAACATTCATATAACTTACAATCACTTTCATTACTTTTACGTCCAGTTTCTGATGCATACAGGCCCGGAAAATCTTTTTCTACGTCTGGGCTCTCAAAATCCATTTTATATTTTATGTTATAATAAGATTAGGAACAAATTTATGGTTTAGAATATTAAGAAAACTTTATTTTGCAACATAAATATTAAAAAGCCATATAGTTCACAATTCAATATTTTTTATTTTGTTAATATCGAATGTCAATGTCAATATTTTATGACCATTGATGATTGAACACAGATAAAAAATACGATACAATGTTACCATAATATTATTAATTATTATTAGATTGTCACGTAAGATATTGAAGAATTATTAAAATATGAAAGAAGTAGAAGAATTTAGCTTCATATCGAATGATAATTGCATACTAGCTAATAAATGTACCATAAGATATTTTAGCAATTCTAAAATATGAATTTATAATATTTAAACATATCAATACTACTTGATACTTCTTTGTTTACGTGTAATTGTCAATAAATAATGTCATTGTCATAAAACTCATGACCTAAACATAAAAGTAGAAATGTGAAGATGTTGTGATTTGGGCTTCATATTTCTAATTAGGAAACTTTTTTGGCTTATATTTTACGATAAGAATAATTCAAATAAATTTATAAAGTTTATGGAAGATAGTTCATTTTGCACAAATAATGCAAGTAGGCAAAATGCCTATATAGCAGTTATTACAAGACAATTTATTCAGGTAAAACTGTAATATTATAAATGTCATGGTTCTCGGACCTCGCTGGCAAGGCAGAAAGCCTCCTCAATAACCTTGATGAACAGACAGGTGCAGTTCTACGTAATCACAATGGCACTAAAGAAAAAAAACATGACTTTATTCTTCATCCCGAGGGCACTTTGGGGCAGAAGAAAAAGACTCCGCGTAACATAAAGAAAAATGGTTCCATTTCTGAAACAAGGTCTAGTTATACACCAATTACAAGAAGTCCACCAGTAAGACAACCCAGATCTCCAATAAAACAAACTTATGATAATATAAGAAATGGAATAGAAAATGTTAGAAAAAAGTCTCCACCAAGGAAAGCTCAATATACTCTTAATAATAGCCCTAAGACACTTGTTGATGATTTTAAAGATCATGATTCAGTTGATCATTTTGGACTTAGACATAGGAGTAAGTTAGCCATTTTTTATAAATTTTCTATCATTTATTATCTAAATATTAAAAAAAAAATGTTTTAGGATACAGTTTGCCTTCTGATCTGGAATTTATAAACACAGAAAAACTTACATATAGTATGCAAAATTTAGAAGTAGAAAATGCCATGTTGAAAAATGAACTTAATGTTATGAACAGAGAAGTATCAGAATTGCTGGATAGATTACGTAAAACTGAAGATGGTTAGTATTTATTCTTTATCAATGCTTTTTTCTCTAATTAGTATTCATATTGAGGTAACATTGTTCATAATTGTACTTTATGTAGAAATTGTGTCTCATTTGAATAATAATTTAAATAATAATATTGCATCTTTTATTATTTATAACACACTTGTAATATATTCTTATCCTACAATGATGAACAGAGTGTGTGCAACTTTAGCAAAAAGTGACTAAATTTAAGTCCACTAGGTATCTGTTATGTCTGATTAAAATTATGTATATATTTAATATTTACTAACCTTTTTTTATATTTCTTACTAGCAATATCAATTTATTATTTTTAATATTTAATTATGACATAAACAATGATTTACAGAGCTCAAAACCACTCAAATTAAACTAGAAAGTAGTGTAAAATTGAACTGTATGTTAACTGATGAAAAAGAATCACTAGTTTCACAATTGCAATCAAAGATTCAAATAACAGACAAAGGTACTTGTGAGATAAATAAATACAAAGAACACAGCCAAGAGTTGGAGTCCAGTATATCTTTGCTGAATGATAGAAATAAGGAGTTAGAAGACAAGTAAGTCAAGTTATTGATCCAAGTAAACAACACTATGTTATAATAATTATTCCATCCCATACATATATGTATAGGTAGCCCAGTGGTAACCATTTCAACATGATTATCACTTGTCTTATGAGTTACTGTGAAGGACAATATCGGGAAACCTGTGTATCTGAGAGAATTTAGCAAGTTTTTGAAAGACGTGGTCTGCCAACCTGCACTTGGTTAGCATGGTCCATTGGCTTTGATCCCTCTCGTGTTGAGAGGACTGGGACATTAAGGGGTTGTAACCAATTTTTTTTATTACATATTAAATATAAGAATTTATATTTTCATTACAGAATAAAAGAACTAACAGAAGAGGTGAGTGTTAAAAATACTGCACAAATAAAACTTGAAAATGAATTACGCCATGCACAAACAACAATAAGTGAGCAACAAGGTAATTTAGAGAAAACAGTAGCTGAGTGCCATCGCTTAGAAAAAGACTGGGAAGCTTATAAGTTACGCGTAAAAAGTATGCTATTTGCTAAAGATAATCAAATACAATCTATGAAAGGAGGTACTAATATAACAGAAGATAACAAAATATTACTTGAGCAAATTGAAATATTAAAGTAAGTATCCAATGTTAATTTTTGAGGCTATAGTACTAGTGATTTTTCATGGCTTTTCATGCGGCATTCATTTGTGTATTACATACTATAGTTTATAAATAACTAGCAGAATCCGCGGCTACGTCCACGCTAAAACTATAAAAAAAACTCTAAACAGGTAGTTTTCATACCAACCCCCTTATGGGATAAATTTTTAAAAATGCGATAACACGTATTTATTTAATTGTATTGAAGAGAGTTACTTCCAAGTTTTAAGTAATCCTGACCATAAATATTTTTTGAGTTGTGTTTGGAATGTGTTTTTGGAATGAGATAATCTCTCGCGACGAAAAGTAGCCTATGTCACTCTCCAGTCTTCCAACTATCTTCACACAAAAAACCACACTAATCCGTCACTCCGTTTCGAGGTGAAAGAAGGATAAACAAACAAACACACTTTCACATTTATAATATTAGTATAGATTATAGCCTATGTATAACTTTAGTCACTAGTATATAAGCTATAATAAGTTTTTGCGTGAACAGGTAATATACATCTATCATCTGAAACTTTTATAATATTCATAGGGTTAGTAGTTGGTATTTTTAATATTATTGCTGGACGCTTCTTAGCCTCTCCAGCACGACCTGGTCAACACATCAGTGACTAGTACCCGTTTTTTAACATTACAAATTGCATTTACACATATCACCTGCATACATTCAGGTGGTTATGTGGGAGTCCGAAACAGACCACACAACCAAGGGGTTGCTCCCACGGTCCACTCTGTTGTCGGAGAAGTACCAGGAGCAACCAGTATGGTACACCGCCCACCGAAGTGGGCCACCTCCCAGTATGTCTTGGCGTCACGTCCGGTTGGATTGCCAGACGCTTATGAACCCCCTCCCCTAGATTAACTCATAAGAAACTTTTTATGTATCATGCCAACAACACGCAAAACATAACACAATAATAAATCTAAACAGGGATGAAAAAGAAAGTCTTTCGCAAGCGGTATCACAAGTACATAACGAGTGCGATGATATGAAACGGTGTATAACTCAGTTAGAGCAGCAGAATATATCAGCAGAGCGTGTAGTGACGGCGCTACGAGATACCCTGAAGGAGGAACGGCTGGCGAGGAACAGAGCTGAAGGCCATTGTGCTGTTTTGAGAAAGGTTAGTTGTTTTATTTACTTTAGAATAACAGTACAATAACTTTGAATCATGGAAGCCTCTGGTATGGATTTTTGAAATTATACTTATTTAGGGACGTTTGGAAAAAAAAATCTGAGCGTAAAATTTTTGTGTGTCTGTCTGTCTGGCTGTCTGTCTATCTGTCTGTCTGTCTGTGACCACATCACGAGAAAACCATTGGGATTTGGTATGTTGATAGCTGGTTATCCGGGTCAACATATAGAATACTTTTTACTGCGGGAAAATATCTCATCTCTGCGACATCTATCCTAAACGTTAAAACGTATCTAGGATCGAACCCGAGCGGAGCGAGGGTGAGTCGCTGGTATATAATATAAACAGAAACCCCTATTATAATGGAATATGAATCAAAATAATATTTTTCTTTCCAGGAATTACAAACATTACAATTAGAAACAAATGAAACAATACTAAATCTTCGAACGTCCTTACAAATTAAAGATGATGAACTAAATAACTTGAGGGAGTCTGCGTCCACCGCTCGTACGGACAGTGCTTTGAATGTGGCGGACTATGACGTCAACAAGGAAGCGGATAGCGAAAAGATACAATATTTAACGCAAATGTTGATCCAGAAACAAGGAAAAATAGACTCACTGTTGGCTGATAATAATATTATGAGGATACAATTAGGTAAATTAGAGGTAAGATTTTGTATGTAAATAAAACTATACATTCTTAATAATTACTAGTGACTTGCCCTGGCTTCGATCGGTTCAATCAGAGCGTTATCTGTGCCTGTGTTTTGTACAAAATAATAGCTTATTTGTAGTATACACGGGAAGTGTCCCAATTATAATGTAATATACAAAATATCTCGTGTCACGATGTTTGTGGTCGCACTCCTCCGAAACGGCTCGACCGATGTTAATGATTTTTTTTTATATTTGGTAGGTATGAGGATAGGCCGTAAAGTATTTTTTACCCTCCTAACAAACTCCCCCCCCCCCCGCACGCCCCACAAACAACAACCCCACCCCCCCAATTTTTAAATAACTAGTCTTCACTAGTCTACCTATAGTTTTCAGCACTTTAAGTGAAAAGAAGACCGCATATAAAACTTTCGCACTTATAATAGTAGCCCAATTTCGATTATTTTGATTGATTTGATATTTGATTATTTTTTATTGTTTAAACAATATATGTCAATGTTTTTACTGTTTTAAATTATAAATGTAAGTACCACTCATGACACATCACACAATTCGACTGTCAAAACAACGAAGTAAAGCAAATACGCCTCTGCCACGCTCTTGATGGGTGACCGCTCAGTAGCTTAGCGATACCAAAGATCACTAAGGAATTAGTGATGTAAAAACTTATTGTCTTGTAACTTTTTTTTCAGTCCAAACACAGATCAGAACTTGCCGCTCTCCAAGCCAAATATTCCCACAGTATAGTCCATTTGCAAGATGACAGTCGGTTAAGGGCTAGAAGTAATTATTCGTCGTCGCCTTTATCAGCCTTATCTTTACGTATCGGCATCATGATCAAGAGGTTCCCCATATTTAGACTGCTAATTTTGATTTATATGGTAAGATTATCTTTTCTATATTATAATAAACTAGCTGTGCCCCACGGTTTCACCCGCGTTAAGTTAGATTATAAGCCTGTTTTCATATACCTACCCTTTACACGATGAGTATTTGACTAAAGTTTCTGAGCTTAAAGCACTTAAACATACTATAAGCATCAGTTTTATAATAATGTATGGAAGTTTGCCGGATTTGTTGACATTTATGATTACTGCTCCGCTCCCTTGGGTAGTAGCATGATGATATAAGTCTTCCTCAATAAACGGGCTATATAATGAATTTTTCAAATTGGATTAGTAGTTCCTGAGATTATCGCGTTCAAACAAACAAACACGAACGAACAAACAAACAAATTCTGCCTCTTTATTAAATTAGTATAGATTACTTAATATTTTTGATAGCAAAAATAATCTCGACGAACTAAAAACAAAAACAGAGAAAATACGCTGTGAAGCTTATCTACTACTAATTATCTTATATTTACCCAATATAAAAAAACCCTGTGGACCAACTTTAATACAGTTTAAACTGTATAAAATATTAATTAAATAATCGACTTATTTTTACATTCAGATGACTGACTTATGACCCTTAAAATTGCACTGATGACTGAAGTTTACTTTTTGGGGTCTTGCTGAGTGTGACAAGATGTGACACTCAGCAAGGGACAAGGGGGGACGGGGGTATACGGCAACGTGACGTTCGCCATTCATTATTTTTCGACATGAGCGCTAGCTCTGTGGCGCGGCTCTAGCGGCCTTTTTTTTGAAAAAAAGCTAAAAAACCATTTTATAGATATTATCTAGTACTGGAATTCAAAACACTATTATAAGTACATCAGTTAAGTTTTAATCTAGCTAAAACGGCAACACTGTTCATAACATGCCATGTGACGTCATGCTTTGCGAGGAATGGTGATGCGTTTCGCAAATTTGAATTTCGCTCGCTTATTTTGGTCTTTTTTTTATTAAAGTTTTATTGCATTAAATAAAAACTAAATAAGAAAATAACTGTTTAGGTGTATTTGTCAACTCCATAAAGTATCGGGAGTAATAAAATTAAATTTTTAAACTTACATATTCCCTATTGCTGCAATTCCAATTATACATTTTAAAACCCTGTCCGCCAAATTGCGACGATGCAGATACAATGTTATTAGTATTCATAATAAATTAAGTAGGGTATTTACAGTGTCATTTTAATGCACTTTGGGAAATTATAATGTAATTGGGATTGTCCCTTGATATTGTATGGAATAAAAGTCCGCGCAATTATAGTATCACTAGTGATATTATAATATCACGGCTAATAACTCAATTGTTGCGACATTAAGTTATTTTTCCACTTAAAAATACGCTTTTTACCCTCCTTTGGGTTTTGGCCGCAGGCGGATAAATAGTTTTATATTAATTTAAAAGGTTTTTTTTTACAGATTGGTCTACATTTATGGGTCGTTACTGTTTTATTAACAAGCACTCCTGAAGATTTCGTACCGAGACCGCCAAAATTATAAAAAAAATCGCCACAGAGTACCTTAATTTAAAATAAACTATTTAGAAATTGTCACACTTAGAAAAACCAATAGATTAAAATTATAAATTTTTGATGTCAGATAATGATATAAAGAGGAAATATAGTTAACAATTATACCTACGTACTGTTTTAATTTTTATATTTTTTTTTTCTGATTAGAGATTCTAATTTTTAAATTTGAATACTGCAATTATTATTAAATTTTGTTATATTTGATGTTGTGCCACGGATTTTAATTTTAAAACATGTTAAATTATGAGTTTTTATATAAAAACATAAATAAATTTCGGTAAATCTCACAAACACGTTCTATTTAGAAATGTGTCGTAATACAGATACAAACATTAAAGATGTATTCATTATTTATATTACTTTTTCGAACGTGCTGCCTTATAAATCATTCATAGTAAGTAATTGATTCCATGTTTCACATCATATAAATTATAATATATTCTGTAGTCATTCGTGAAAAGAAATATTGTGTTTTACATAGACTGGTATTTAAATTGTGTATTAAATATTTGAAGGAATATTATTTGAAAGCAGCCACTTATATAATAACGTTTATAGACAAAACTATTAAAAATTGTAAGTTATGAGTATAGAAACATTACACTAAAATAAGATATCGAGTGAATACGGTTAGAACATGGTTTGAAAAGAACATTTAATTTAATCATTTATTTCAGGCAATATATACAAAAGGATCTTAAATATGTAAACAGAGGCCCATAGAATACATACCTTAAAACTAACATATATATTAAAATATGCAAACATACACAATTACTATTATAAAATATAAATACATTATTACTATATATTTGGTATCTTTCTACTTGTTGAATATAACATTTTATATTAGACCTCTTATTCCTTTAGTCTGATAAATAAACGCACAATATTATAAAATATTAATGTTTATAATTGTATTATATAATTTAACATATAGATATAAAATTAAAAATAATAATTATAGTGACTTACATTACTATTAGTTATCTTCCAATCTTTTTTTTTAATCCAAATATTATATTTTAATATGTTTATAATGTAAATATGAAATTGAAATTAAAAGTAAGAGTTAGCAGTAGTTAAACTTATGACGAAAAAAATCGATTTTCCTCTAATGGTAGGGGAGCCCACGAAGCTAAATGGATTTACTCGAGCGTCGTAGAGACCTATTGGGATGCAAAGCTTAGATGATATTTGAGGGAAATCTTTAGAACGCCGTTTAGTAGATTCAGATCGGTTTAGTCGTTGAAAAGATATAAGCGAGTCACACATACATACATACAGACTTAGTGACAACATTATACACGGGGGTAGTCAGGGAAGCTTCCTATGACCTTAAAACGTCAAGATCTGATGAAAACTCGATTTTCGAAAAACGAGGTAAAACCAATAACTTCCCGAATTTTTTTTTTTAAATCATTGAACTTAATTAATTGAAAAGCTCAGGAAATAGCATGCAAATAAATAAGTGTATGCTTTTTTAGTAGAATACATGTATTTATAAAAAAATTACTTAAATTAATTTAATTAATTACTTAATTTTTGTTATTTCGGCTTGCGGAAATCGTCAGATTATATATTTTTCATTATTCTTGCATTATTTCCTTCAAAATAAAAAAATTTTAGCTACGCTCGAGAATGTCGAGATGACGTTTTTTTTTACAACTTTGTTGCCCTCCCCTTTTTTACGTCACTCTCAAATTGTCAGATTAGTGGAATATACACTTTTCAGGATGTAATTAACTCACCCTACCTTAATCTGACGCGCTCGAGAATTTCTGGTGGTCAATTTTTTTTTACTAATCTGATCCTGTATCCTTCACGGGCGGCCTTATATATGGGCCTCATGTTTTGTGGAGGTACTTAACCGGGTACAAGGTATCCCCCTGTATATTAATCTGCCGCGCTCGAGTAACTACAGAAAATCCCCACTTGGGCTCCCCTACTATAAGGCATAATTGTGTATTTTCAATATGGCAATATCACTATATTAAAATAAAAAAGTAACCTAAACTAGCAAATATTATATTATATAAATAATTTAAACCTGGTTGTTATATTAATAATATAGTTAACTAATTTTAATCAAGTATGTTTATTCATATAGATATTATATTGTATTACAAAAATTGAAAATATTCAATATTTTTTCATTCAGAAACCCTAATATATGTAATTGTATACGCTATAAAGGATGTTTTCTGTACCTACAAGTATTAAATCGATTTAAAAAAATCTATCGTCCATTATTGTCAATTCAAAAAAAAACTTTTTTTTAATATATTGTACGTCAATGCCATCTCTTAGGCCATAAAAATCCCACATATTAAACTATAAAAATCTTCCTTCAGCCATATTTGTCTTGCCAGTATTTTTTTTTTAGATTTAGAACTTATATAACATCACAAAAATATTTTGTTACTTTAATTGTTATTACAGATGTATAAATAAATTTTATGTATAAATCTTTTTTTTTTTATTTGTCCTGTCACATACGAAGCATGGACGGTACTGAAGTGTGCCACAACTGCAAATTCATGGCTTTGAATGCAGTATGCGAAAAGAGTTTTGGTTAGTATTATTGTCCTTTTGACACATTTTAGTCATGGCGGCCATCTCACTAAGACATCTGCGCAGGATATATTATAGTGCACAAGTATGAGGAAACACAAGGTGCAATCTCTATAATTCCTGTCTTTTTCACACTCCGGTGGGACGACAATTTTACATGACCGGTGAGAGATTTTGATGTCAACTTCCCAACTCCGGGCTGTTACTGGGAATTGCTTGATAGAAAAACTCAAAAACTTGGCAAGTCCAGGATCTCTGGATCTGTACCTGTATAAGCTAGCCACTAGATCACCAATGCATTTACAGTTTTGGTTACTAAAGAAGCTTTAAACCGAAATACGTTGTCCAACAATATCCATCGAAAATAGCACACAGATGGTATTGCATTGCAATAATGAAATTTTATATAACAGCTAAAAATACAAAATATCTGCTGGGAAACTCCTAATAGATATAAACACCGACGATTATAACTTCCAGAGACCTTTGCCTCAGAGGCTAAAGCAAATAATTAAAATATGTATATGTATACAATATACATGTACCTATGTGTGTGTAGGATTAATAAAGGAAGTACATGAATAATAAAAAAAAGAAAATACAGCCAAACTGAGAACCTCCTTGTTGATGAAGTCGGTTGAAAAAGAATTAACATTTTTACTTGCACAAAATTGAAGAAAGATAGGAAATTTAATTTAAAACAGAAAAGATTTCTATATTTTTTTACGTAGGATGAGCCTTTCTGGAGATATTGAATAAACGCGTTTTTCGCGATCTCTCGAACTTGGCATTAGGCTTAGAAATGTCCCTTCAACGAATGGCAATGTCGCGAAAATTGCTTTATTTTATGTATATTTCGCCGTTTTTTCCTATATTGACATGGACAATATGTAAAATGCACAAACACTTTTCTTGGGAATTTGGTAGGTAATTTTTAAGCAGAATGAAAAATAGGAAGAATCTATTGAGTCATTCGATTACTTACGCGTTTCGATTATTTACATATAGGTTTTTACGGCTGTCTATTTTTAACGTTACTAATTATGATAATGACTTATCTATACTTATTATTATAAACAGGCAGAGTGTGTTTATTTGCACGCGCATTTTTCATTTTATAATGATTTTTTAACAAAACTAAATTTTGTAAATATCAACCTAATTTTTTAAAATTATATTTTTAACTAATGAATAAACAAGATTAGACTATGAATGAATGAACAATTCTTTCTGTTTTTCAGAAAAAAAAACATTTTATTTAACTCCAAAATCGACCAAAAACTAATAAAATATCGATAAATTTAAAAAAATTATAACAAATAGATTCTACGGCAAAAAAATACAAAAGCAATGGTACGTACGTTTACGTGAATTTCAACTTTTATTATTTTTTCACGACTCGTCAAATTGCAAAGTTGGAATGTTTACGGCGACATCGTGTAAAAAATAAGCGTCAAATTAAAAACTTAAGGATACCATCTTTTTCGTTGTTTCCCGAAAAATACATTACATACATATTTTGGTCAATATAGTACACTTACTCAATGATAATTGAAAAAAATGTAGTTTACAAAGTGAAAATTATCGATTTTTCCAATTTATAAAATTTTTAAGGGTGTTTTGGCAGGACGACTGTACAATGTCTTTATTATTTCAAAAAATAGAGTTCAAGGCGAAAAGAAAATTGAAAGATTTTTTTTTAAATGTAAACGTCCACTTGAAGTTGGGAGTGATTTTCGAGACCATAAAACATACTTTCCTCGGATATGCCTAAACATTTCAACCTCCATTTTTATTTATTTATTATATGCATTTAGAAGATTACATTCCCTTAGTTTCATGAAAATCAAAAGATTATTCTAAAAATTAAAAATAAAAAAATAAGAAAAAGTTAAAAACCGAGCTTTCTGCAAATATCTCGAAAACTTTGAGGTAATTGTAATAAGTATTATTTATGAAAGTTGTAGATTTTTATTAGACCTACAACTTTTGCAGAAAACATTTTTCGATAGAACGTCACAGTAAACCGGAACCGAAAAAAAGCTATTTTTCAACGCTTTGCGTCCCCCCATTTCTCGGGGATAGCTGGACATAGGGGGCATTTTACGAAATTTTATTCCCTATATACCTGCAAACATTTTAAGATCATAAAACTTCAGGTTTTCTTTGTATGTCTCTACGCGTTCCTAAACCATTCATCAGATTGCTATGAGTAGTTCCATGTATGCCCATATGTGAAGGTCCCTGGCCAAAAAAAAGACTATTCTTTGAATGTTTGTCCTCTATGCGTTCCTAAACCATTTATCTTTAGATAGTAGGAACGTACTTAAGCGAAGCGAGGATAAACCGCTAGTATTCACTTTACACTGCTAGAAGGGGAATATCCGAATAGGTACTACAGTACAAGTTCTGAGTATGATATACATTCTACATATATGTAGGTCAAGTGTTTTTAAGCAATCTTAACAATTTAAAAACTTTACAATTTCTCAGTAATAGTGATGTAATAAATTAGTTGTCACCAATATGAATGTATTCACTATTCATATATCGCGTGGCTCATGCGTAAATGACGTTATAGCTTAAATGCAAACCTCACTTTAATATCTATACTAGATTATATGGGTATTTCTCAGCGCCTTAAATTCTCAATTTCTGGAGGTTTATCTCCGTAACTAGCTAATAAAATATAGAAATACCGGAATAAATATCTTGTATATATAGATCTATCACTTCACACTATACTAAAGGGAGATTTAATGACTAACTTCATACTGTAGTCTAAATCTGTCGCATCGTAAAAAGGAATTCTCATCATTTTTTACTTAATGTGCCAAAAGACGTATAACTTCAAACAATAAAAGAAAAAAATCGACTTTCAGACACTAAAAGGTAACTGAACGGGGGTTTTTATTTACTATAGATACCTAATCAGATTAATCAGATATTTTCTAAGTCGGTGGTACGACGTCACGTTAGAGCATGTGCTCTACTATAAATTTTTACTAAAGTAGTGGTTGTGGATACCAGGATGCCATAAGTGACACATTATTGTAATGAAACTCGGAAAGGAAGAATCCTTTCAATTTTATAAAATTTAACGCTCTCTTCGTATTTTACTAATCAAAATCACCAAGAATAAAAATTTTGCGAGTCAAAAAATAAATCCTTATTCTATATATACAAATCCATGTGTTTGCGTGTTTTATCGTAGTTAAATGTAAAGTAAAAATAAAGTGTTTAAAGCCTCGGGCAACAACTTGTATAGTAAAATAATGATCACAAGCAAGACTTGTGGTTGAATACTAATGATATCTTATGACTTATGAGTGCATCGTAACTTGTTACCACAGCTTATATGGGTTTTCCTAAAATAAAAATCAATATTGAACGGGTATCTGTCGGCAGTTTGTTTACAGCAACGTCGAAGTTAGTGAATTCGATATTGAATACTCAAACAAATTTTAGTACTTTTTCCCTTTTTCAGTTACGTGATCAAATATACAACATCAATTCTGTATCTATAATGGAGAAACAAACCGGTTACTCCCGTCACGCGTCGTAGACAATGCTAGTCTGCACTATTAAGGTCGCTCAGTAAAGTAATTTGTTAAAAATATTCATAATCAATTTCAATAGCCTACTGATAAATCATTGAAAGCAAAGTATCGTACATATGTATGCATATCTGCTTCTGCGTCATAGATTTATTAATATTAGTAGAACACTCAAGCGGCAATTCGGTGAACCGGGAAAAACCTACCTGTTTAAATGATATATGTATAGTACGCAAGGTTGATGAGTGACAGAAGGTATATTTTATGATATTTCTTAGACCCATAAATTATAAAGAAGTTATCTTTTCGACAGACTAGAAGTTTGTATATATATTTCTCTTCTTTGCACAGTACCTATAGTTTTTGACGGTATGTTACGATATATTATATTCATTTTGTAATTGTAAAATGATTTTCTATAATTCTTAGGAAAACTTCTAGGATTTTCAGTAAGTCTTGTGCCAAAGGATTGAAACAAAATTATCCCAATTTCCTTAACACTATGCTATACTAATATCAAATATGGAATTTTATTATTTATCTTTATCTTTTTTTTTATTTACAATAAACAAAATTACAAATATACTTAATTATATACACAAAACAAATGTACATTTGATGATTACTGTACAAGTCATGTCCGTGTGGATTAGTGGCTAGTATGCTAGCCGCATTCCCCCGCTGAATGGTAATGCCAATTCTTCGGGTGAAAAATTAGTAGAGGCGATAAGACGAGGTGTAATGTCTTTTAATAATTGCTTCGCACTTTGACTCCAAGCGCCAAGGGTCTCTATAGCAAATGATATAAAAACATAAATTTGACTAAGGGATGCGTATTTACGTAACTGGAGTTATTCAGCCATCTCTGCCGCGGCTCCCACTTTAGACGCCGTGTCCCTGACATGGGACGGGGCCAATGTGTCAACGCATGTAGCGTCCCACAATAGGGTCCGTCCTCTTTCCCAAGGAACTAGCGACAGGCCATCAGGTCTCTTACCATAATCTCGACTTATTCCAGCTACCTCAATAAGGGCAAGAATGTCAACGATGGCAAGAGGCCTTTTGATGGTATCGTTAGGGAAGCATGGCGGAAAAGTCTACCTGAACTTCTTCTCCAAGAGAGTCCATGGAGTCCATAACAGCGGTAGCATCTGTGCTCAGTGCACATCGGTGTATCCAGCCGGAGAACTAAAGTGATAAAACTATCATTATCCAAAAGTGTACCGAGATTAGTTGAGGGTAGGACGTGCATCCAGTGCCCCAATTCTTTGGCGGATGTCGCTAAAAGTCTGGATCTGCATATTCAACCGACTTTCAAAAAGGAGGAGGTTCTCAATTCGTCGGAATCTTTATTTATGTATGCTCACCGATTACTCGAAGACGCCTCAAGCGATTTGGAAAGTTATTTTTTTGTTTCAAAGGGAATACTACCTATTCTAAATGAAAACCTCCGTTTAGTTATTTAATACTTTTTAGTGCCTGGAAGTCGTTTTTTTTAAAGTTTTTATATAATATTAAATAAGCAATTTGTGTATAACGGAAAATTTGGATCTTTGTTTTTAGATAATATTTTGCTTTTTAGTTTTGTCTATATGTAGTATAGGTATCTCCTGAAAAAAAAATGCATTTTTCATGTCTTTTCCGAAAAAATGCCGAGCGAAATTAGGTCGCCCAGATACTAAAAAATAAAAATAAACAATTCAAATATTTCTATCCACTCTTCAATTTCAATTTTATTCTACTTCATTTTTGTCTAGAACAATGTGGATGTTAAAGCCAGCAAAAAGAATTAGTCTCATCCAAAGCAAAATGATATTATAATGGACTAGTGGCTCACCTTCGCCTCGCTCGGGTTCGCCTCTAGACAAACAAAAACAAATCTATCCCTCGGGAACTGTATATTTTTTCGGGATAAAAAGTAGCTTATGTGTTATTCCAGACTATGATCTATCTCTGTGCCTTTCATCTAGATCCGTTCAGCCGTTCTGACGGGAAAGAGTAACAAACATCCATACATACTGACAAACTTTCACATTTATAATATTAGTATAAATTTTTACAGCTTATTATTAAAATATTTTGATATAAAATTCATATCGACATATGAGTGTATGCTTAGTAAAAACACGCTATCGTCATTGAACCGGTTGTGAGGACCTACCTAGCGAATAATGAATATCATCAGTTGTGATTTACACATCGTCGAACAGACACGCATTTTAACAATGAACATAAAATAAGGGCTATATAACTAATAAATATATACTTTTATATTAATTAAATAGTTTCATGAATTAGGCAAATCAGCTTCTATAAACCTGACTTCTAAAACTTTACGACAACCTTTTTTTTTATTTAGTTTTTCCTCGTTCACAAACAAGTGCGAAGATGAAGTTTTTTCTTGTCATCTTTTTAGGTAAGTGAATAAATCTATTCGTTATTCTTTGTTAAATTGCTATATTGTATAATATATAGGTGTATTCTATATTCGCCGATTCCTGACTTTGTCCGAAATCATGGTACGAGTAGTTATTTTTGTTGGAATGCATCTGAGAAAAAAATGTGCTGTTATTTGTAATGATAATTATCATTTAGTAGTTGTTACATTGATAACATTCAGCGTTATGATTATTACTATATATTGGAAAACCCAGAGATCTTTTGCGGGAGACTGGATAGGAGAAAAATTTGGATTGATTCATATATCTTGGCATGAATTATACACTTGATAATAATGGTAGCCAAATAAAAGAACATTGAGCATAGTCTATTAATAGATATAAAAAAGTGATTTGGACGTATGAATAGTAAATATGAAAAATCGCGCCCAAAATGCATCATTGCCATAAAGCCTTCTTAGTTAAAAATATCATAAACATTAATCAATATAATAGTTTAAATTATTGATACAGGAATATATGACGTAATATAAAAATTACTAATTATTTTTAATTGTTCTAACTAATAACAACGCATTGTGTAATTCTTACGACAATTAATTATCCATTAATTTATATTTTTTTATTTCTATAGAAATATAATTTATAAGAATAAGTCCATCTGTTAATTTTTATGTATGATAATTCATATATTTGTCATTTTTATTACTATACTATTGTTTACAATGACACAGTTGTTATTTTCCCGATTGATAGTTCCGATTCACTGACACCTAATTAATAAGGAACCTAACGGGAATATACAGATTGAAAACATAATGTAAATTTTTAAGGAAAAAATATATGTGAGACTACCTACATTATAAAATAAATTGATTTCCCTAAAATTGTAGTTTCCTAAAAGTATAGTTTGTTTCTATAAATTTATACATATAATAAAATTCTGAGTCGAATCTGTATATTAAATATTTTTTGGAGAATCTTATTGAAATAGCCATTATTATCGATAGTGAGGCCTAATCTATAGTTTTTAGAATTTTTGTCTGTCTGTCTGTCTGTCTGTCTGGTAACGCAACACGAGAAAATCACTGGACAAATTTTGATGAAATTTAGTACGGTGATAGCTGATTATCCCTATCAACATATAGGGTACTTTTTACTGCGGAAAAATATCTCATCTCTGAGAAATCTATACTAACCGCTAAAACGTATCTAAGGACGAATCCGAGCGGAGCGAGGGTGAGTCGCTAGTTATAAAAAAAGCAGTCATGAGGATTACCGACAGAAGTGAAAACTTAAAACTATAGGCAAACAGTTGTTATATTTGAATATTCAAATTAATTGTTTGATCTTTAAGTAAAGTTTGTAAATTAAAACTGTATACCTGGTTTCGACATCTGTCTGTCTCTATGAGTATTAGCGTTAACACGTCACTTGACCATGTCGATGATGACTTACATGAATTTACTCCCCGTCCAAACCTGCCTATAGAAGTTTTCACTTCTATAAATATATAAATTTAAACAAACTCTTAAGTAAGGCATAGGTCTCGCCTGTTGTTTTACATAATATTTATTTGTATATATAGAGATAGTGATAGCCAAGTAGATTGAAGCGAGTTCAAATCCCGAGTCACGCACCTCTGATAGTTTCATGTGCGAATCATTTTCAACATGATTACCACAAGTGTCTTAACGGTGAAGGAAAACATCGTAAGGAAACCTGCATGTCTGAGAGAACCTAGCAAGTTTTTAAAGGGCATGTTAAGTCCGCCAACCCGCACTTGGCCAACGTGGTGGACTATAGCCTGATCCCCCTCGTATTGAAGAGAGGTCCGTGCCCAGCAGTGGGACGTTAAAAAGGGCTGAATACTACTCGTAGATAGACTATATATATTTATACATTGGTGTGATGAGTTTTATATCCCTTACTTGAGAAATGATGTATGGATTGGTCAATAGGATGCGTGTGAGGCCTATGTAATATATTTTTGAAAATCTATATTTTTCCGAGATTTAATGAAAATGTAAAAAAAAATTATAAATTCTTGCACCTTTTTCCGCATTTTTATATTTTAGTATAGTCTATCTATGTATAATTTATTCAGAATGAACCGTTAGCAAGGGCCGAGGACTATGGGTCAACAAAATACACCCACCGATGACCGTAGTCGTTTTCTGGTTGATGACCGCCTTTTTAAATACAGTATAAAAATTCATATTTAATAAATAATACAGAACTGTTTGTGGTCTAAAATCAATTATTAACAAGTTGTTTAATTATAGTTATCATAAAATTTAATTTTATTATAATAACCATTCACATTTGTGATATCAACAGGTCATTTCGAAGGTCATCGCAATCGTACACCAGTCACCTATAAATTTATCTACTTGGGGAATACATGATTATAAAAAAAAGTTTATTAGCGGTCCAGTAGGTAAAATTAAAGTTGGTACTTTTACGAAAATATCTTATATTATATTCTGGCATGTTTTAATTAGGTTTGTATTTTAATAATTTGGTCATTCATTTGCATTATTTGAGTTGAATGACTCTGTATACATATATGTAGGTATATCATGAAGTAATATAATTATTGCAACTTGTAAATAGTAATGATCGCTGGACATAGGGATATTCTCGAATATTACAAGAATTTTGGGATAAATCTTGTACTTATCTGTAAACTAATCTGTGTTTAGGGCTAGATCTTACATGTACAACAGCATATACAAGTAAATACATATTATTATGTCGGATCTGCGTCAACCCGCACGAGGGTAACCTGTTGTCATAATATTTTATAAAGCCCTGCTGACAAACTCCTCGGCTTGTGTCGAGGTCGGTGGCTTTGGTGTGTAAACATACATCTTTGACTTTACTATGCCGAATTTTAAGCAATGTAAATATCATTAGATACCCTATTTTAATATAATTTGTAGAATATCCGGTTTACTTAGTATCGTTTTGCAAATTTTTTCGCTTATTCATCCAGACACGTCCATGTAATGCCATAGGGTCTCATCAGGAACAAAGATGTATTAGTTCGAATATATACCTATCAATAATGACGTTAAATATATGCATTTATCGAATTGTTAATGATTATTGTGGAAAATTTGTAAAAATTATACTGGTTTGTGTGTCAAATTGGATAGATAAAAAGCTCAGAAAGTACTCGTATGAACTCACTCACAAGTCTTTAACTTTGACTTAAATTGTTGTATAGGCACCTACAAACGAATTGACGTTGGACGAGCTTGCTGTGAATTAACCAAAACTTGTCATCTACTCAATTCCACTCGCGTCTTTAAATATCGTAAACGGACTTTCTCAAAATTACAGAAAGTCCGATTAGAAACTCTCCCTCGCCCATTGATTCGATTATTTATCTATATAAACGTTTTTTTTTTGTTTAGAATGTTAATTTTATTTTCGTTGATATATAATATAATACATTTTCTTTCTTTTCTTTGAAAATTTTGTGTAACGTTACATAATTAATTATAAGCTCAAAACATTGAACAACAAAGTTTAACTATTAGCCCAAGGAACGCCTTTACGTGTTATATGTTGATCCAGGATATGGTCAGTGCCGGATTCAACCTTACCGCCGCCCCTGGGCATAGTAAAAAATACCGCCCAATTATCAAAATTTTGTATAAAATGGGTAAAGTTTCGATAAAGTTTTTTTTTATTTCAATTATTTTTTTGGAAAATAACAAAAAGCATTTACGATAACGCGAAGAGACTTTTTTTTCCACCTTCCGAATTTTGCCCCCCTAAAAATTTGCCGCCCTGGGTCTATCTGTATCAAGATTCATTAATAATATAATAATATTATTATAATACATTAATGTTTTCAAATAGAAAAAAATAAGCTATATTTATTGCAATCACGAACTTAACCGGTTTTTTATATTACCATGTGTAATCTGTACCAGCATAATCCAAACTCACGTTCGGTTTGGTTTTCCCCTGAAATTATCATTTATAAAAATACATATCTTTTAAATTGTTATTATTTATTTTCTTTTTATAGTAATTCTATTGGATTTTAAGAACTAACTTATAAGAAAGGATTTTTTGACATCGAAAGGGGATGAATCCCCTAAGTGATTAAAATATGGGGATTAAGATAAAAAATGAGAAATATTATTTATTTTTTTTGGAAATTAAAGGAGAAATATTTTTTTTTTGGAATTCGTCCCTTAAAGGGGTAAAGGGGGGTAATAAAGTTTAAATAGACAAAAAATATTTATGATCAGAATTACCTGAAACTTAGTATTAATGCTTTTAAAATAAATAGTGTTTTAACATTTTTCGAAATTCAAGCCAACAAGGGGTTAAATTTGGTTAAAATGGGGGATAAAAGTTTGTATGAAAATCTGTAATTAATACACCGTAAGTGGTACCTTTAAAATGAAAAATAAAACAATACAAATATTATCATTTTTTCAAAATTTATCCCTTAAAAGGGTAAAAGGGGGTTGGTTGTTCAGTTTATATAGGGATAAAATTGTTTATGACCAGAATTATTTAAAACTTGGTATTAAACCTTTTCAATACAATTAAATAAACATGTATATTAGAATTTTTCAAAATTCAGCCCATATGGGGATAAAACAAAATATATATAATACATGCATATTACAGAAAAGCCGAGTAGTTCAAAGATTTGTATTTCATACCAACCTCAAAAACGTACCTAGGGACGAATCCGAGCGAAGCGAGGGTGAGTCGCTATTTAAAAATAACATACATGTTAGCCTGTTAGTATGTTAGTTAAAAATGCCATATTAGCCGAGTTACATGATTCTACAGTCGTAAACATTGTATGCGAGTTGAGAGTTTAGAAAGATGGAGTAGAAAAATGTGCAAAAAATAGAGGAAATAAAGAGAGTGGAGCTTGCTTGCTAAACCCCTAATACGAAATTTTATTTACAGAATAACCTACATTTAACATCTTTTAAAATCCTGGATATTTTGAGTTACGATCGCTGAAATTAAATTTGTTTTCCATATACATATCTTTAAAAAATAATATGAAAGACGAACTTATTTTTGCAAATATATAAAGTATGTACTGCGAAAAAGTTTTTTTTTTCGTAGTTTGATCGCGGCCGAAACTGCGGGCTCTACTAGTAATTACTAAATATAGTTTTAATTTTAATATCGTAACAATCGACAGAAGTGTACCTTCTTTAAGTAACAAATGACCTAAGGTTAAAAGTTCTAACATTAACAGTTTTTTATAGTGCCATTTACAATATGCAGTACAAATATTGCTATAACGCCGGAGTTGTTGGAAAGCGTGTTTGGAAATCCAGGCCTGTCTACTAGCGAAACGATAACGCAGGCGTTTGCGCAGGCCTCACCCGTATCTCCTCCAAAAAATGATGCCCAGGCCGCCACTCAATATGAGAACGTAGATCAATATCTACCATCCAATGTGAATTACGACAAATTCGATTGGACGCTTACAAAGGTAATACTAGAAAATGTGTAACTATAATATACTGAATCACTACATCGGGGGGCACGGCAGTGCCCCCGCCAAGCCGAGTAGTATATAACAAAGTCGCTTCCCGCTCTGTCTGTCCCTATATATGCTTAGATCTTCGAAATTACGCAACGGATTTTGATGCGGTTTTTTTTAATAGATAGAGTGATTCAAGAGGAAGGTTTATATGTATCATACATGCATAACATAGTAGAGAAACACTGATAATTTTAGAGGTTTCTAATGTGATGTCGTAAATAAACAAATTTTTGCGCTTACATTGCAAATGCTGGCTGGACCCTACGAGATAGATCAAAATAATGTACTACAGTATTTTACATAAAAAGATCTACAAAAAAGCCCGCGATGGCAAATGTCTATCTCGTAAGGATAACATAGTAACTATATCCATTATAATACCTAGAGACAAACCCGAGTGAAGCGAGGGTGAGTCGATAGTTAAGCTATAATAAATAGTTTTTTCATTTATTTTTCTATATTTGTATGGATTTATATGTGAACTTTATTGTCTTAAGTAATGAAAATGTAAATAATTAATAAACTTCCAATAATCTTATTTAATGTGATTATAAAAATGAGCTAGAATAATTAAGCCATACTCCTTCAGTCCCATTTTCGTTAGCATTTTAACTATGCATCAGGCTTTAAATTATATGTTAATACAAGACCCGGACTAGGAAAAAATATGAGAAAATATAAAACAATAGCTTATATAATCTAAACATTTTATTTACATATAATAAAAGCGCAACTGATCGCTGTCTGTACGTGGAAGATATTTGAGAAAAACTATCATTGGGGGTCTTTATTTATGCAATAGAACCCAAAACAATGATTTTTGGAATTTTTATTTGTCTGTTTGTTTGCGCGTTTGTGCGCGCTAATCTCGAAAACGGCTTAACCGATTTGGTTTTCACTAATATATTGTGGTAAGCTTCACTTAACATTTAGTATTTGTTTTATTTCAATCGATTCATAAATAAAAAAGTTGTGTCCATTTAAAGAATCACCTATGGATGAACCCGAGCGAAGCGAGGGTGAGTCGCTAGTTAAAGCTAATTTTCTAGTATGGCATCATCACATATTTACTATGTTGTTTTTGTATATTTCAGCGTGTAGCAGCGAGTTCCCAAGAAAACTTCCTGATATCACCTTTGGGGCTTAAATTAGCGTTGGCTATACTTATGGAAGCTTCGACGGGGATTACTCAAGTAGAGCTCTCTTATGTATTGGGCTTAGATACTGATAAAAACGCCGCGAGGCAAAAATTCGCGATGATCTTAGATTCTTTACATGTAAGTTAACTTTTGGCTTACTTTTAGTGCATGTATCCAATTTAAAAACAAAACTCATATAGAAATATTCGTGTGTCTATCTATCTACCCGTTCGTCACAGACTCTTCGAATTTACTAGAAGAAAACATAATACATATATAGTGTTAGCCCGCCCAATAACGAGTGAAATTAAACGAAATGTTATTTTGGACTTTAATTTTGAACGCTAGAAGTTGGCGTTGAAGAAAAATTATTTTGATGCATGTCAGTTGCATTTTGTCTAATAAAAAAGCTCATTCAAGCCGCGGTAACACGATCAAAGTCTACTTTAACATAGTAGTTTTGATGACTACTTTGACGCAACTTTGGTAATATGTAAACGAGCAATCAGAGAATACTTTGAGTGGACTTGGACCGTGGCCTACTTTTTTCAAAGCCTGCTTTGACAAAATAGTTTTGATGACTGACAAAGCGCACTTTGACGTCGGCGTTCAATCAAAGTTAACTTGGTTAACTTGGAGCCGTGTTTGTCATAGAAAACTTCATTTCAAAACTTTTTGTCAAAGCTACTTTGTCAAATCAGACATTGACTTTGTCAACACGGGTTCAAGGGATACGAAAATATATTTTTATCATTTTGAATTTAAAGTTTAAAAATATTATAAATATATGAAAAATTATTAAATATAACAGTTTCTTAATTGTTAGCACAAATTAAATTTATACTAAGATTCAAATTGGGCTTTAAATTTATTTTTATGCCATTAAAATATTTTTTATACATATAAAAAATAATTAGTTATTTTTTCTTAGATTTACGCGAACATTTAACATTTCGTAAGTTAGTTAGTTTCGTAAGAGACATCCGGTGAACATGTTTGTTACCACGTTGTAATAGTTTTTTTTTTCTTAACTTGTAGACGAAGTCCTCACAATATATCTTGAACTTAGCTAGCAGAATATATATTGGTGGTAATATAGTACCACAACAACGCTTCTCTGCCGTAGCAGAACAGTTCTACAAAACTGAATTAAAGCCATTGAATTTTACTGATCCAGCAAGTGCCGCGAAGAGTATCAATCAATGGGTATCTAATAACACTGAAGGAAGAATCAATCATTTAGTTGATATGGGTAAGTAAAATATTCCTTCACTTTCTACACAATAAATCTACATATAGGTGTGTTTGTATGTGTTGCTAGCTGCATTATGTACATATGTTCGAGTCCTCGTATCAGTCCTAAATAACTGGATACTGGATTTTTCTGTCACCAAATATTTTTATATAAAACAAAGTCGGGTTTGTTACAACACTTATTACTCGAGAACTGCTGGATCGATTTTTTTGAACTTTGTTTTGTTTGATTTGTCTTCACCCCGAATATTAGAATAACTATTAAAATATTGGAAAAATTCACGAAAAAAAAACAAAAAAAAAAACTATTCCATACTAAGCGTCAAAACGTTCTTAGAGACAAACCTGAGCGAAGCGGGGGCGAGTTGCTAGTTATTAATAGGTAAGAGTCGGGAAGTTGGTAATGTTAACATTCTCTTGCCTTTGTAAGTATTTTAGAGCTCATCTTGTGCCTTTCACTGTAAGTGTTATGCAAACACCGTCATATTCCCGGAGTTTCACTGAGTTGGGCCGCAGTAATCCGAGATCAGTTAGGAGGGCATTGTATGTACTATCCTATCAGTCAGTGTAGCTATTAGTATTCCGATGATAATGGCTTGTTATCGGCATATGGCAGTAATTAATGATCTGTTCCAAACATTATTGCACTGTGCGATTGTATGCAATAGGGCTATGGATCTATTTTATTTTACACAACTATTATTACTTTAGAGTTAGTACCTACTACTAATTTTAAAGCTTGTCGAGCTTCAAGAAGAGATATGATTGTAGATCATGATTTCGATTCATTTTATATAATAACCAACAACTTACCCTTGCTTCGCTCGGTTGCGTTCCCAGATACGTAACCGATCATAATCTATGTACTAAATTTCATCCGAATTCATCCATTCATTTTATCCTAAAGAAGTAACAAAAGTTTTGCAATTATAATAGTACTCCGATTGTAACTACATTTCTCATTCCAGATGATGTAAATGGCGTGTCAGCTCTAGTACTTAACACAATATTCTTCAAAGGTACTTGGCTCTATCAATTTCCACCAAATGTAACTAAGAACGATGCATTCTACGTCACAGCTAAGGAAAAGAAAGATATACCTTTCATGAATGTTAAGAATAAATTTTATTATACTGAGTCTACACGATTTAACGCGAAAATTTTGAGGATGCCATATTTAGTAAGTATTTTTGCCATATAAATGACTTTCTATAAGCCTGAAATGAATGATATTTCTAGGAATAACGTGTATTCTGTAAATAATCATTACCTTATTATTTTATTTACAGGGAAACAAATTTGCAATGTACATCATAGTGCCGAATTCTCTCACTGGCTTGCCATCACTATTTAACGAGCTAAGTGATATTCGTTCAGAGTTGTATTACCTTCAAGAATCTATTGTAGATATTACTCTTCCTAAGTTCCAGTTTGAATACACGTCCTTATTGGATGGAGTTCTAAAAGAGGTAAGCTATATGGTAGTAGCAATGATGGCCCATTGGTGATGCGCTCGCTTGGAAAACCTATGTTGCGAGTTCAAGTACCGGGTGTCCTTGCACCTCTGATATTTTCAACCGACTTCAAAAAGGAGGAGGTTCTCAATTCGACTGTTTTTTTTTATGTTTGTTACCTCAGAACTCCGTCATTTATTAACCGATTTGGACAATTTTTGTGTTGTTTGAAAGTGTATACTTCCAGATTCTTCGAAAATATTTGATTAGGTATGTATAGTAAATGAAAACTACCAATCAGTAATAACTGATTGAAGTAAAAAATATTTTACTTTTTAGTGCTTTTCTTTGAAGTCGGTTTTTATTTTTTTTATTAATGTGCGAATCATTTCCGACATGATTATCACTTGCTTTGCGGCGAAGGAAAACATAATTTATATTTACTCCCCGCAGTTTCATGAATAACTTTGCGCGTAAGTCGTGCTTTATTATAATTTTTCAGTATCTCCTAAACTATTTAACCTAATGTGGTAACCGTCAGACCAAAAATTTTACTCTATTAGAAACTAATTGATTTTAAGTAGGCATAAACATTTCATAGTCAAACAATACTTTTTTATGACATATTTACTACTATATCTATACTAATATTATAAAGAGGTAAAGTTTGTGAATTGAGAGTTTGCTACGTTGTAAGGGGTAATCTCTGGATCTACTGAACCGATTTAGATGAAATTTGGTTAGAAGATAGTTTGACTTTGGGAAGGACATAGGATGCTTTTTATCCCGGAAATCATCCCTTAAGGGGGTAAAAATGGAGATAAAAGTTTGTATTGGGAAGCAAGCTAAGGACGAACCCGAGCGAAGCGAGGGTGAGTTGCTAGTTAATTATATAGTTACTAATCGTTTAGGCAGCGCACATCTACATATATTTAGCACTAAAATCTTTCGGAAAACATGCAGACCATAACATCAAATTCGAAATTAACGTAAAGACAGACGCTCGTCAGAGACTTCTTTTTATACGTGTAAGGATGATATTATATGGAATTGTTATTAGTCTATTCCTAATTATAATTGTTGGGTAAATTTTACCGTTTGTGTACCAAATAAAAGTCTCCCTTATAATAAAATCTACAGTGAGAGCGGCAATATTTATACTTTTTGATTAAACGAAAAACTAGCGTGTTTTAATTTCGTCAACTTTTATCATTAAAAATTTCAATTAAACTATTATTAAAGAAAATGTGCGTGTTCATTCGTGTTTCACACAAATACTACTGAACGGATTTTAATTAGCATACGCATAAAATATTACGCATGCCTTAACAACAAATAGGGTATTTTTATCGTGATACACGAAAGGGCTTCCCCTGGATAAAAGTGATTCCCTACTGTAAATCATGATATGATATGTTATTTCTAGAAAATTTTAAATATTTACTAGCAGAACCCGCGGCCTAGGCCGCGTTTAATCTACAAAAAAAAAACTCTTTCGATTTATGTTATACAGCGACTCACTCTCGCATCGCCTGAGTTCGTCGCTATGTATTTAAGTATATAATATTGTTGTAGAAGGGTGAAAAATACTTTACCTACCAAATATACAAATAAAAAAACGTGTATAGGTATTTATGTACGTTCGTAAAAAGTTATACTTCTTTGGCGTAAAGGAACAAAAATAGCTAATGATTTCATCCCGTATGTCACAACTCGCAACTCTCCGTTTGTAAAATGAATGCAGCTAATTTCATCATGTCGCTTTTTGGCTGTCGGTGTGCACGCGCGTCGTAAAAATTTTACCTGAGATAGTTTGATTACTATGGATTTTTATTTTAGTTGGATATATATTAATGTTTTAGTTTTTTATTTGTCGTAATTAATGTCTATTACGTAACTTCCATTTCACTAACATTTTCCTCTTCGCGATATGCTACGAGCGTCATATGCAAACGACTTGGGTATTTCCTTTGAGTATATTTGTTTTATTGTCGGTACAACAGACGGTTCTAGTAAATAGTATTATGATCGTGAACCAAATTAAGAATATCTCGTTTAATAATATACCAATAGATTAAATAGACGATATTTATGTTAATTAGTTTTTTGTACTAATGTTTACTTAGGGTTAGTACTTTATTACAATTGTTGGCGTCCAAGCGAAAAGTAATTTATGCAATTTAAATTTATAATAAAATTCTTATATAAGGGTACTAATTCTTATCATTCCATCTGTTTTTGTGCTTGAAATTTTTGATATAATGAGGCCATAAAAACTTTTGAAATATATATAAAAACCGTGTGCTTTGATTTGTATCGGCCGACACCGACTTCGAAAATATCTGATATTAAATGAAAACTACTAATCAGTTAATTTTAACTTTTTTTTTGAAGTCGGTGTTAATTTATTTTTTTGTTTTTATTTTTTTATTTTTAGTGTAGACATAGTAATAGCAAAATAAGAAGAAAGTATTTTAAAAATTCATTAGATGAGAAATAATCATCTCCTATTTTCTACACTTGAGATGATTTTTGACTATTTTTTTGGATTTATACAAACCTAAAATGTGTAGCTCTAAGTCATACTTTATTTTTGTACTTATCCAACTCCTTCCAGTTGTATAATACTTTCTGTACATACATACACACGAACACGTACCCGCACAAACACACACGTATACACACACACACACGTACCCGCACAAACACACACGTATACACACACACACACACACATAGACACATACACACACGCACGAAATACGTTTTTAGGACGACAAAAGCAAGGCTTCAACATAATATGTACATATAATGCTTTAACATGGAGCTTAGAATAACATGGAAAGCAGGTATCGACGTACCAGCAGGCAAAGTGTTGACGAAAAATCCTAAAATTATAAAATAAACAATATTTATAACTTTTAGATTTCGATTTTTAAGATATTAGGCAAAATAACTAAATGATACTTTCATAATTCAAATAAACAAAAAAATAATAATTTTTGATATACATACGAACATATATTGTTACAGCTTGGCGTCAGGCAGGCGTTTGAAGATACAGCCTCCTTTCCCGGTCTCACTCGTGGACAGTATCTCTATAACAGGATGAAGATCTCCAAAGTATTACAGCATTCTGGTATTGAAGTCAACGAATTAGGCAGTGTCGTATATTCGGCTACAGGTAAATTATGTTTAATTTATAGTCTCCCTACTTCTCGTAGCTCTGCCTGTGCTTAGACCATTATCAATAAGCATTAATATATATAAGAAGTCAGTCTAGTCTACTAATATTATAAAGAGGTAAAGTTTGCGAGTTTGTGACGTTGTAGGCGGTAATCTCTGGATCTACTGAACCGATTTAGATGAAATTTGGTTAGAAGATAGTTTGAGACCCTGGGAAGGACATAAGATTATTTTTATCGCGGAAATCATCCCTTAAGAGGGTGAAAATGGTGATGAAAGTTTGTATTGGGAATCAAGCTAGGGACGAACCCGAGCGAAGCGAGGGTGAGTCACTAGTTTAATATAACTTGTTAATAAATGTTGTTCTATGATTATTATATGTCAGTGATAAATTAATAATACCTTAAATAACGTAGATACTATTTTAATAAATAATATACATATTTAAATTAGTCAAGATACGCATGTCAATGGATTTTTCAATACAAAATACCTATATGTTATTAAAAAATATACAACATTATTTTTTTTATTCCGTAGAAGTTGCTCTTGAGAATAAATTTGGCGAAGACGGGATGCCAAATGCCGAAGTGATTGCCAACAAGCCTTTCCTATTTTTCATACAAGATGAGCAAACCAGACAATTGCTGTTCACTGGGCGCGTTTCTGACCCTTCACTTCCCATAGGTGCCTTTAAAAAGACATAGACCAAGTTCAAAGTGACTTAAACTGAAATAAGATTGATTAAAAGAATAATAATAACAACGAAGATTATTTTAACTTTAAGAGCATCTTTTCAAAATAAATGAAAGCGGTCATGCGATCGATGTTCGTTTAGTTGAGACCTCAATATACTTATATATAAATATTTGTGATAATTAATCCATGCTATACTATATTATCCAACTAATATTATAAATGCGAAAGTTTGTGAGGATGTATCGATGTCTGGATGTATAGACGTATAGATTTTTGTTACTTTTTCACGCAAAAACTATTGAATGGATTTTAATGAAACTTTACAATAATATATATAACTCATATCAGAAAAACACACAGGCTATTTTTTATCGCAAAAAATGTACGGTTTAAGTGGGATAGATTTGTTTTTGTTAGTAAGTCGCTATCTATACTAATATTGTAAAGAAGAAAAGTTTGTGAGTTTGTGAGGTTGTAGGGGGTAATCTTTGGATCTACTGAACCGATTTAGATGAAATTTGGCAAGAAGATAGTTTGAGACCCTAGGAAGGACATATGATACTCTTTATCCCGGAAATCATCACTTAAGAGGGTCAAAATGGTGATGAAAGTTTGTATGGGGAATCAAGCTAGGGATGAACCCGAACGAAGCGAGGGTGAGTCGATCGTTTTTATATAAATTACATTGACTTCAATATAAACTTATTATTAAAAAAAGAATCATAAAAATCATAAAAATAAAATTGTTAAATATGTAATAAGACACAATGGACAAAGAAAACATATATTAGATTTGAGTAAATTCACCTATTTTAAAGTCAGTTAAAAAGTATTATAAATGGGAATGATTTATACCATATTCCCAAATCAGATTTGCTATTGTTATAATTTAAAAGATGTATTTTGTACTGTGCATCTGTCATCTAGATAGTTATAGTCATATTATATTATAAACAAAACAACAAAACAAAGTATTAAGAACGACCTATGTAGAGATATCCGACATTATGCGGTCACAAATGTTTTTTTTTAATTTAATTAATAGAATTAAGAAGTATATATTGTATGTATATTTATGTAAAACATTGTGCATTAAAAAAAGTGTAATTTAATGATAAAAAAATGTCTTAAATACGTAAAGCTTAAAATTTGCAGGTGCTCTCTATTGCTAAAGTTAATTTGCTAAAAGACAAATAAAAGTAATAAAAGAAAATATTATTTTATTCTTGCCCCTGTGTTTATATTGTCATCTCCATTAAGTTTTTGCGCCATTTGTTTATTATAATAATTCGCCAAGGTATGTGAACATACATGCATCGTTTATGCAACTTATATCACAAATAATACTTAATATGTTTAGTATCCGCCTTTAACATATTTGAGATAATTACTGCTTTAATTTCTGTTATTTATATAATAAAGTAATGAAACATATACAATATGTACATATAGTTAATGTATAAGGAATTTCTGAAAATAGCTTTTATATAAAGTACTAGCATTGCCCGCGGCTCCGTCCGCGTTCAGATGACCAAAAACCAAATTCTTAGGTTTTACATATTAGTATACTCTTACATTGCAGTTTTTGTGTTTTTTCTGAGAAATGAGATATTTTCCGCGGTAAAATGTATTCTATATGACCCGGATAACCAGCTATCACCATACTAAATTTCATCAAATTCCCTCCAGTGGTTTTCCGCGTTGCGGTAACAGACAGACAAAATTTCTAAAAACTATTGATTCGGCCTCTGTATCGATAATAATGTCTATTGCAATAAGATTTTCCAAAAAATATTTAATGTACAGATTCGGCTTTGTTTGAATTTTAGTATGTAACTATCTATAGATAAATATTATAATTGTTTTTTAGTGTTGGAGGAAGTCTAACTTACAAAACACAATTCAAACATCATTTAACCCGATATATGTATATGTAGATCAACCTCACCATCAGGAAAGCTTATGTAAGCAAAATCGGTTCATAATTGCCTGAGATCTGAGATACAAAAGAGAAAACACAAACATGATTAAGAAAAGAGTCAAAATGAGATTTTTTAAAAACCGGTTAGAAATTAAAAAAATCGAATTAAGAATGAATAAAATATTCCATGAGTAGTACCTTTTTATAAATGTTCTATTTTTAGGTTTCCAAATTGTATCTTACGTCTTTCTATCTGTCCTACTTTTAAATGGCTCTTACATGCATCATGTCTTTTTATTTTGTGTTTAGCATCAATGTTTGTATAGCATCCGGCAAGCCAGCCAGGCGTGAAGCCATGATACAAACTTGCGCGGCACCCGCCTTGACCTGCTTTGATAGCAGATCGTCACACATAACCACTATTACCTGTATACACATGTACATGGTGATGGAATAACGAAATGAATTTCCTATTTAAAAAAAAAAATTAGAAAAGAATAAATAAATTGTGTTTCAACTGCTATTCAATATAATATATTATGTATATAATTTATGTCTGTTCTATATTTTTTTTACTTTTTGTTCTTCTTACTCTTTAATTTTTAGAATGTTTTAATCTCGTGGAACGAACAGTAACAACGCTAGGAGTTATGTTTATTTATATAATATCCAATATCGAGATTATGTGTAAGCATATATATACTAAACATTGTGATTTGGGTTAATTTAATTATTAATTTTTAATATTCAGATTTAGAGGAAACCAAATTTCTGACTTTATGAATAGTACACAATGCCAGCCAGACCGGTTGCCAACTGCGCTACTACGATTTATTTGTTATTTGCATTTCTGAACTACTCAGAATTTCGTCTTAAAATAATTATTTGCAAGAAGGCTATAAGGTGTGACTATAAATATTATTTTTAAAGAATATAGTGAAATATAAATGTATTACGCAACATTTGCCTATCAGTTTTTCAAATAAAAAAACACAAAAAGGAACCAAAAAATAGGAAAACAAGTTGATGTAAGTAGGAACTTATAGTTGCTACTAGTCTTGCTACAGTCTAATATCTGTAACTTAGATAAATTCAATAATAATTTGTTTATTTCAAATTATTTTTAAGTATAAAAAAGTTAATTTTGATTAGAAAAAATATTTATCTAGCAAAAATTTGAGCTGAAAGCCGACCTCTTCTACTTTTTATAATTTTAATATCGGGTATATTGGTAATATATTAAATATTAAAATTATAAAAAATAGAACAGGCGGTTATATTCGCACTAATAATTGGTATTCGCGCTATCAAGAAGTGTAATAAGCCACGAAATAATGGAATTGAATTGAAGTATAATCATTCATCAAAATCGCTTAAGTCTTAAATCGGTAACTTCCAGTTGCCTTTCTGGGCTTTCTATTCTCGTTGTCGGCTTCTAAATTGTACAGATTTTAGTGTTCATTTTTTAAGTTTACTCTATAAGGCATATTACATACCAATATTATTTTATCAATATTATTCCTCTAAAAGTAACCAATCATGTGCATTTATAAATATTCAGCCTTGAAATCATAACCTTGTTAGTTTTAGAATTTAACGAAACTTGTTTAACGTATGTGTTGATCCTAAGAGAAATAATAAATCATAATATATATATATATATATATTTATTATATATATATATAAATATATATATCTATACTAATATTATAAAGAGGTAAAGTTTGTGATCTTGTGAGTTTGTGAGTTTGTGAGTTTGTGGGTTTGTGAGTTTGTGAGTTTGTGACGTTGTAGGGGGTAATCTCTGGATCTACTGAACCGATTTTCAAAATTCTTTTACCAATAGAAAGCCACGTTCTTTCTGAGTGTCATAGGCTATATAATAACCCGAAAAATGAAAGTTTTTTGTGGAAGTCGGATTTGCAAAGTAAGTCGGAGGAAAAACGGTCGAACGAAAACGTTTCTTACGAACGCTGCCTTAACGGTGAGAGATATATGATTATGTTCTAGAGAAAAGTTGTAGAGCTTAATAATGCCTACAAAAAAGTCAGCGACAGCATATGTCTAACTTTTATATTTAAGTCACAATAAGTAGTTTTTTATATTAAAAAAATAATTTAAATCGGTAGGTCATGTTTATTGGTCATATTATCAACAATTATGAATTCTTATTAAAATAAGTAATTTTATCGTCTAAAATGTTTAAAACAAAAGACTTTTCCCTTTTACTGCATATAATTTGGACTAATGGTTAAAGAGATAATATAACATATTCGTAGGTATGGACGAACCGGAGCGAGCTGTTTGTCTATTTTTCTGTTTGTACGGGCTAATCTCCGAATCTATTGGACCGATTTAAATGAAATTTTGCATGGTGGTACCTTATATCCCCGGGCAACATCTTCGATACTTTTAATACCGGAAAATTAAAGAGTTCCCGTGGGATAGTTAAAAAACTATAACAACTTATACAGCTTATTACACAAAAACTACTGATTGGATTTTAATGAAACTTTACAATAATATAGTTCATACATGACAATAACAAATCCGCTACTTTTAATCCCGGAAAATTAAAGAGTTTCCGTGGGATAGTTAAAAAACTTACGCACCTAATTTAGTAAAATTTGGCGTGCTGATACCTTATATTGCTGGTCAAACAACAGGTTACTTTTCATCCCGGGAAAATGAACGGTTCCCGTGGGATAGATCTGTTTGTGCTTTTCTAGAGGTGAACCCGAGCGAAGCGAGGGTGAGCCGCTAGTATATATATATTTCATAAACACTTCTTATAGCTCACCCACAAAAAATAGTTATACAAGCACCTAACAGAATAGAAAACTTACTGTACAAGAGTAACCTTATCGCTTGCGATCTTTGTATTTCCATTTACTAATAAGGATTTTCGTTCGTGTCAACTCAAGCTTTAAAATTGGTCAGATAACTGACCAACTTTAAACCTTGAGTCGATTAAAATAATTTAATGACAAAAATATTAAAAAACGCCAGTTTTTTAATCTACATTTGTTATTAGCAATGTCTCCAGGAGTCTTTTGTGAACTGAAACAAACTTGTTGGTTTATAACTAACATCTGTGTATCTACTAAATTTCATGCAAAGTCCAGCAGTTTCAGCGTTAAGGAGCAACAAACATACATCATATACAAACTTTTGCATTGGTATTAATTCTCATTACATGAGATGACGCAAAAACAATAAAACCAGTAAAAGTTTTGCGTCCACATGACAAATTATTTGATTCGCCTCATTTTTTGTCTTGCCTTGTTTTCTTAAAATCTATAGAGCCTCACGTTAAAATTTCCCATTCGCATCATTCATTATTTTTAAATTATCATTTGTGTAAAGACCGCATTGGCGGTCACTCGTGCATATAGATTTTTTTAATACTTTATTTACGTCGAATAAAATGAAAACTAAAGAAATGTTTCTATTCACAGGTAAGTAATTATTTTCAATAATAACTTTTTAATAATTAGGTACCTAATTAAATGTATTGCTATAATTAAAAATATGGGAAGTAATTACAGTATTACGTCAAGCCGTTAATTATTTTTGCCTAACTTATTTGTGCTGTCCGTTTAATGGAGTCAAACCGGTTTCGTAAACATCTTATTAATTTGAACTATTGTAAAATTATTTGAGTATTGTTCAGCACTAAGACGTTTATAATTTAAAATCTCCAATGTTTGAAAAATATAAAAAAATACGCAAAAAAAATATAATTATAATTTACTAAAGACATAAACTGGTTATACAAGGAAAATATTCAAACCAAACTCAAAGATTGCCTTGCCAAGAAATGTTATAATATAGAATATATATTAGAATATTAGTTAAATGTTTATTCTAACTTCATTTAACGTCAACTTTGGCTTTTGTTCTTTATTAAAGTCCTTGCTTCCTTATTAATTCCTAGATAAATAATACTTTCTTAATACTTTCTTAGATTTACGCGAATGTTTGACATTTTTAAATAAAACTATCTTTTCGGATTATTTCGCGGATTTATTTTGATTTTTGATTCCCGACGTTTCGAATGCTTTACAGCATCCATGGTCACGGGAGAGACTGAGGTGTTACATGTCTTGAAGGTATAGGTGTTACAGACAGCCTACCCACAATTCATGTGTCCTAGATAAATGTTTACTTTTGTCAGGGTTTTTCTGGTTTAGAGCATAATAGATCTTTATTATGCTCTTTGCGGTAATGGAAACCGATTCCTCTTGTACTATGCATAAGTATTATGAATAACTATTATACATATATTGTTTACACAAAGAAACTAGAATTGATTTAAATCTTATTGCTATAGTTTTCCCGCTTCCTTTAGATAACTTCAAGCGATATAAAAAAATTGCTTAATATTAATTGTTATGTTTGTGTTGCTTTATAGCGAGAACAGTAGCCTTTGTGTTACTCCAAGTCATAGTCTATTTGTATGCTAAAAATCATCTAAATCCGTCCAGCCATTTCAGCGTGAAGGGATAACAAACAAACATACACGCAAGTCGTACATACAATCTATTGCATTTAAAATAAAAGTCCGATGAATTAAATATTCGTTGTTTAGTTGTTGTACATTTTTTCAGCATTCCTCCTCACGTGCATATCAAGCTTGAATTGTCTTGATAATGTTCCACCAGAAATTACGCGGCTAAATTTTTTTGATACTGACCTTCTTCGATATGTTGCCGAGGATAAGACGGGCAATGTGATGGTTTCACCGGCCAGTATCAAGTCTGTCCTAGCTATGATTTTAGAAGGCACTGATGGAAATACTGAAGCAGAAATCAGGAGTGCTTTAAGATTGTCGCCGTATAAAGATGAACTTAGAGAACAACTAAATTTATATTTGGCAGCACTGAATGTGAGTTGTGTACTATCATTTCTCAATTATTATATTTGCAGTATTCTTTACATTATTACATGTTGAATTCACTATAATCGTTAAAACTAAAAAAAATATCATTGCAAGAAAAAATCATCTATCTGTATATTTACGGTGAATGAAAACATCGTGAGGAAACCTGCATGTTTGAGAGAACCTAGCAAGTTTTCGAAAGATATGTGAAGTCCGCCGACTCGCACTTGGCCAGCGTGGTGGCTGATTACCCTCGTACTGAAGGGTGGCCCGTGCTCAGCAGTGGGACGTTAAAAAGGGCTGAATACATTTGTATATTCAATACAAATATCATTTACATTTTACAATTAAATACTAAAGTTAGCATCAGAAAACGAGTATAATTAACATATAAATTCGTAATATATGACATGTGCAATGTGCATTCGATGAAGCTAATTTATTTTTAATTTCAGGCAAACACTACAGGAGTATCTCTTCAAAATGCAAATATTGTATTTGTATCAAAGAGGTTGAAACTTAAAAAAGAGTATGAGCAGATAGTACGCAAAGTCTACTACTCCGAAATCGGGACAACTGATTTCGAAGATACTTCCTCAGCGGCCTCTGAGATAAATAATTGGATTAATTTCCACACTAAAGGGCTTATAACAAACCTTGTTCAGTCTTGTAAGTAATTTTTTTTAACCGACTGCACGACGTGAAGGAGTATAATTTATCAGTCTATGTATCTACGTTTGTTCCTATGTAGCATTCTAGAGACCAAACGGATGGGTCGATTTTGATTATTCATACGTCGCGTCGTTAGATTCATCTTGATAACGCGAGTGTCTTAGGCTATATAAATAGTTAAAAATTAAAATGGCGCATTTCAGACGCCAATTAAAAAAACTTCTAAACCAATCGAGTATTAGTACATACATACTCGTACATATGTACATCTTGCGGCAAGGATGAAACGTGTATATATATGTGTCACAGGCTATATGAATATTATTAAAAATCAAAATGGCGAATTGCAGGCGTCAATTTGTATGTCTTTAAATATTTTTTTTCTTATAAGCTTAAAAGCTTAAAAGTCATTTGGGATTACAAATTGTTAAATAAAACTCCAAATGCTTATCTGGCCAAAAATAAGAATCAATAAATAAAAAGTAATTATAAATTACTAGCATTGCCCGCGGCTCCGCCCGCGTTCAGATGACCAAAAACCAAATTCTTAGGTTTTACATATTAGTATACCCTTACAATGCAGTTTTTGTATTTTTTCTCAGAAATGAGATATTTTCCCGCTGTAAAAAGTATCCTATATGTTGATCCGGATAACCAGCTATCATCATACCAAATTTCATCAAAATCTGTCCAGTGGTTTTCTCGTGATGCGGTAACAGACAGACAGACACAAAAATTCTAAAAACTATAGATTCGGACTCAGTATCGATAATAATGTCTATTTCAATTAGGTTTTCCAAAAAATATTTAATGTACAGATTCGACTTAGTTACAATTTTATTATATGTGTAGATTTTTATAAAAAAACCCGATTGCTTAAAAACGAACTAAAACGATAGAAAGAAGTTCATGAAGGAACATAGTTTAATGTAGTTCTGTTTTGACGCAGTCGGATTTTTTTATTTTTAGTAATATTTTTTTTATATGAGGAATCTGAGTCCATTCCTACTGATCCAAGTCAAGCTTTATTTAAGTAACGACTTCGAATTTAACGAATCCGAAGGCATAAAAGCGAGAAGTTACAACCTTTACTTGGACTTGAAATCTACATGCAAATAAATAAAATTGAAGTGTCTGTTTGCAATATCAAAATAACAGGTTTTTACTAAATGCATATGAAATTATATACTGTATAAATTTTTTTAACATTTTTGTCTGTATGTCTGTTTGTTTGTTCCGATTAATCTTCGAAATGGCTGGATAGACTTTGCCGGGACTTTCACTGGCAGAAAGCTGATATTATAAGGAGTAAATTGGGCTACTTTTATTGTAGAGAAAGAATTAGGGTTCCGCTAAAAAAAATAAAACGTACCTAGAGACGCGACCCGAGCGAAGCGAGGGTAAATCACTAGGTATTTTATATTAATATCTACTCGTAGTAATAGTATTCGTAGTAAATCAAATTATATTGATGCTAGAAAAGATTGAAAATGTAAATGATTATGATTTACGATTTTGATGTAATTGGATAGGTATAAAGGTACAGTTACAAGTAATTATTAATAGCATATGAATTATTTTCATACATTTAGAGCGAATCTTTTTTTGTTGAATGTAATGTAATCAAGTCTTAAATAAATTATTATTGTAATATTCTTCAATTATTTTTGTCCAAGGAAAATTTCCTTGACTCACCAACTGGTATTTCCGCAATATTGTATCTACCTTAAAATTACTAAAAGGTCGTATCCGTAGGATTTTTGAATAATTAAGTAAGAATATTTTTTTGTCATATTTAACTAGATATTTTATCCCTAAGATCGATTGAGATCACCCGACCAGAGTATCGCCTCTGATTTTGCTTGAATTTACTTACGACTTAGTAAGTTTTAATATTAAATGTGTAAATCGATTCTTCTAATATCAATTTATTATGTTCTAGCTGACATCAACCCATCTTCGGACTCTATGTTTATAAACGCTCTATATTTCAAAGGATCCTGGCGTCACGCATTCAACCCTAAGCATACACGACCGGGTTGCTTTTATAAACAACGAACCTGTCATAAAGTAGCAATGATGGAACTACATAAAGACCTGAACTATGCGTTTGTGGACAATTTGAGAGCACACGCCTTGGAACTTCCGTATGAGGTGAATATATTCAAAATTCTTTTAAATTAGACGAAATTAATTTATCTGTATGGGAATAAAGTGCCTTAAAATCATACTTTTACCATTCAATACTACCATTTAATTAATATATATTTTACAAACTTTATTACAACTTACAAATATCTGTTTAGTGACTACAAATAAAGTTTTAAAATCAAAATTTATGTATATTGCTATATTATATTAGATTTTGTTATTTTAAATGTCCTCTTTATAAATATTTTTTTAAGAATCTTTCGTAATAATTTCAAAATATTACCATTTCGAGAGTTTAAAAAAAAAAGTTTTAACCATAAATGCTAAATAATAACATGTTTATAAATTACAGGAAATGTATTTTAACTCAATAGGATATATTAGACATTTAATCTTGTTTCCAGGGTAATCGTTACTCAATGATTATTTTGGTTCCGCAAGATCATGATGGCATTTACACTCTTATCCGAGATTTACCATACATGAGTCTGCCTCAAATAGGCCAGCTTTTGCAACCTGCGAGTGTTCGTCTGACCATGCCCAAGTTTACTGTTGACTACAGTGCTAGCATGGTAGAACCTTTACGTAAAGTAAGTTAGATATTTGAAAATATAATATTGCCACTAATTCTAATGCTACTGCCACCAGATAAAAATTAATACGAATACTTCATGCTTTAGGTACATTCAGTAAAAGTATTTTCAAATCTTAAAGGCAAAGTTTCGGTGATTCATATGCTAGAGTTTTCTGTTAGGAAAATCGTAGAAAAAAAAAATGTGTCCCTGTGCTAAAACTCATGGCGCTTTTAAAATGAGATAGTGATCTTACATCTTATTACAATCGCTTACAAAAAGTTTTTTTTAAATCACAAAATCAATGGTTATGCCATAGAATCATATTCATACGAATATGTCATACCATGGATATTTTTAACCGGCTTCCAAAACGGAGATTTTTTCAGATTTTATTGATCAACTAGCGACTCATCCTCGCTTCGCTCGGGTTCGTCCCTAGGTTGATTCCCCATACAAACTTTCATCCCCATTTACACTCCCTTAAGGGATGGTTTCCGGAATAAAAAGTATCCTATGTCCTTCCCAGTGTCTTAAACTATCTTCTTACCAAACATTTAAATTTGTACTTTACCATTTTATAATATTAGTATAGATTATAAAATGACATCTTGTTTAAGTCTCTATCTTTTTCCATATACCTGTAAGTAAAGAAGAATACTAATAATTCTAAATTTATTTTTAATAGATGCGAATAAATAGCTTATTCACCAAGGAAGCTAACATCACTGGGATGTTTGAAAACGAAGCCTCACAAGTGAACAATATTCTGCACAAAGTCTACATGTCAGTGGACGAGATTGGTACAGTTGCGGCTGCTGCAACAGCTGCTCTGGTCATACCTCTTATTGAAGATGGTATTCAATTACGTGTGGATAGACCATTTGTTTTCGTTATTCGAGACAATCAATTAGGATTGAGTCTATTTGAAGGGAAAATTGAGGAGCCTACTGTTATACTCGATGACAACGTTTTAGTTAGTAAGTAATTTATATTTGTTCATAAAAATTACAAGATGAAACTAAAAAGCCTGCTACAATTAGCAAGGCAATATCTATGATGTTCAAAATGTAAATAAACCATCTAATAATGATTAGAGGTAATAGCTTATGTCCCGTATAATAGTATTAGTTATGTTTTTAATGGAATAGTGGATATTGGGACTAAATAATTCAAAATAATTATATACTATAGTGTGATTATCACTACATACTTAAAGCTTTATGACCATTTTGTAACAAAAGAACACGATTTTTAATGACAGATAAATGTACGTTGCATAATATCATCAATGAAATAAAGAAACCGGAAGGGAGAAGTAATGTTTTTTGATGTTTTACAGACACGCATTGAGCTATTATATTCAATGCCAAACACTAACATATATACTTCTTTAGAATAACATAATATATGAATAAATAAATAATTATTTATCATCTGCCAAATTACTCATTACTGGCCCTATAAAAGAAAAAAAAACAAGTATAATTTATTCAAATATCTGCACTTAAATATGATTATAGGTATATGGTAATTATTATTTTCTAAATGAGCTATGATTGACTTTGTTCTCATATGGAAATTGATTATTTTTTTTTTACAGATCAAAAAAAACAAAATGTAGATGCTGTTCACCGTAATTGGCAAGTGCGGCAATATGTTTAGACATAAGTTAATCAAATTATAATGTTTGTATTTTATATGGCATTTATAAATAAATAATTTTTATTATTAAGAATTTTGATTTTTTAATTGTACACTGAGCTGCCTTCGGGTTATCTATTATAATAAAATTGTAACTAAGAAGAATCTGTAGATTAGATATTTTTTGGAAAATCTTATTAAAATGAACAATATTAATGATACAGAGGCCGAATCTATAGTTTTTAGAATTTTTGTCTGTCTGCCTGTCTATCTGTTACCGCATCACAGAAAAACCACTGGAGGGATTTTGATGAAATTTGGTATGATGATAGCTGGTTATTCGGATCAACATATAGGATACTTTTTACCGCGGGAAAATATCTCATTTCTGAGAAAAAATACAAAAACTGCAATGTAAAAGTATACTAATATGTAAAACCTTAGAATTTGATTTTTGGTCATCTGAACGCGGGCGGAACCGTGGGCAATGCTAGTAGTATAATATTTGTATAGTCAATAACACATTTCGCCACGCCTCGCTCGGGTGCATCTCTAAGTGTCAACTTTTTGTCATATATTTTAATTCTTTATTTCAAACGTTTTAGGCAATGCACGCCGAGAAAATATCTCGACAGCAGTTGAGTTAGTAGTGTTAGTTACGATAGTGTGGCATTCTATTAGTAAAAGTATTATAGTATCAGGTCCGTAATTTCGGAGATTACACCTTATATACAATTTAACACCCTATATCCAAATTCACAAACTTATAGGTACTCTTTATAATATAATATACCTCATAACATTAGAATATCTTTTATTATAGAAAAGCTTTTCAATCCCACGGGAAAACACAATAACTGGTTTTGTCGAGTCGTCCTTAAAAATTTAAATGGCCGACGCTGGCTTAACATTAAGCTACATAAGAACAATATCTTAGAAAATTATAGGTCTTAAAAAGGCCACCGCTAGTGTGTATCTCCTACCACAGTAACTATTTTTATTTTTTTAAAACGTATCTAGGGCTGAACCTGAGCGAAGCGTGGATAAGTTGCTAGTTCGTTAGTTAGTAAATAAAACACTAGTTTGCTTCAATACTGCTTAGTGGTTAACTAACGCTATTATTTTAACAGGATATATTCTGTGGAAAATTCTGGATGCTACATACGAGTATAAGACACTGATCGAAAGTTTTGACCGAACAAGCCCTTTACATGCCCATAATATAAGGAGACAGATGGACTGATCGCTTGGGCTAAAAGATACATTTCTGAATATTCAAAACCTCCGTGTCGCCCCTTCAAATACATAATTAACTAAAAGTCATGAAAAAGAATTTAAATATTAAACTTATTTATAACTAGCAGAAACCGCGGCTTCGCTCGCGCTAAAACTACAAAAAAATATCTAAAAAGGTAGTTTCATAAAAACTTTCATCCCCTATTTTACACGTATTTATTTCATTTTATTGAAGAGTATATATACCTACCAAGTTTCAAGTAATTCTGATAATAAATATTTTTTTGGATTGAATTATAACGTGTTTTCTCGTGTGAATTAAGTAATCTCTTGCAATAAAATTAGCCTATGTCACTCTCCAGCCCTCCAACTATCTCCACACAAAAAAACACGCCAATCCGTTACTCCGTTTCGACGTGAAAGAAGAACAAACAAACAAACAAACAAACAAACAAACAAACAAATAAACAAACAAACAAACAAACAAACAAACAAACAAACAAACACACTTACACATTTACAATATTAGTATGGATGTTAATTTTGCTAAAGAGTAGTTTCATTTCAATAACATAAACATAGTAGTCTTGTAGCTTTTACCTTTCCACTTTCACACAACCTTGAAGTGGCACAGTAATACAGGACGACATTTACATATTCGATTAAATTTCCGGACATAATATGTATTAAGAAAAATATATTATAATAATATAATTTTTAGTGCCAATTTTTTGTTTAGTTAAAAACTCATATTGCAGTTGGCTTTGTTATTGATATAGACCACATAACAGCAATTTTATTCAATAAAATCATGAAAAATATGTTTGTGTTTTTCAATCTGTCCGTATTTATACGCATCGCATTTTATCCAGAAATACCAGCACAATTTTGATCAGTATATCTATAAATATAATAATATTGTAACTAAGCCGAATCTGTACATTAGATATTTTTTAATCTTATTGAAATAAACATTATTATCAATACAGAGACCAAATCTATAGTTTTAGAATTTTTGTCTGTCTGTTACCACATCACAGAAAAACTACTAGAGGGATTTTAATGAAATTTGGTATGGTGATAGATGGTTATCCGGGTCTACATATAGGACAATTTTTACCGCGGGAAAATGTCTCATTTTTGAGAAAAAATACAAAAACTGCAATGTATACTAATATGTAAATCCTAAAAATTTGGTTTTTGGTCATCTGAATACGGGCGGAGCCGCGGGCAATGCTAGTAGATAAATAAAATTAAAGTAGCTGTTTGTAATGTCAAAAAACAGAATTTTACTAAATGCATATAAAATTAGATGCGGTACTTATAAAAGGAACACAATTTCTAGAAACTTTGTCTGTTTGTTTGTTACGGCTAATCTCTGAAACGGCTGGACTGATTATGACGGGACTTTTACGAGATAGCTGATGTTATTATTATAAAAAATATTATATACTTGACTGTCTCTTTGTTTTTTGTGTTAAAGCCGCGTGCAAAACTTATCGAGTTGTAAAGACGAACATTCCGTAAATAATTTTAATCGTGGCGATAAAACGGACATCGGATTCCAAGAAGGTTATGGGAGGTTCAAAATTGAATGCAGTCAGGTATCTGAAGTTTGCTTTTTATATCGAATTGGACTTGACGAGTTGTATCACTAAAATTAGAATTCGTTTTTCGAGCACGCTTTAAATTATTTTAAAGCTACATATACAAATATTTTACAAAATACGTAAATGCTTAAACTTTTATAGGTTCATAAGAAAAATAAATAATATATCGCTCTTAATGTAATGAATTATTTATTGCAACAAAATATATAATTTATAGAATGGGGTATTTTTTTAATACACAGCACCATCTAGTTCATTAGTAAGCTACGAGGCTTGTGTTATGGATACCAGATCGTTGATACACTACATATATATAACTTTAAATACGTACATATTATAAATATAAACACCCATAACTGGAGTACAAACATTCTTGCTCATCACACAAATGAATGCTCCCAACGGAATTCGAACCCGCAACCGCTGGCATAGCAAGTAGGGTTACTACACACTGAGCCAAACGTGTCGTCTTAGAATAATAGAATTTAAAAGAATAATAGAATAAGGTACCTACTTAATTTATATAAAACAATATAAAAGTACTGTAAGCAAAAACATAAAATGTAAACCACATCAGCCAACCAAGTGGCCCAGATTTAGCCGCAAAATTTAACGAGGGTGACAGTTTTAATTTTATAGCTCAATTAATTCAAGCCAACTTTATTATAACGGAGGAATATGTGTTAGGAAGTATTGCCACCGTTTCAATATTTCTACTATGCTATTTACATGTACATATGTATTCAGCCCCTTTTAACTTCCCACTGCTGGGCACGGACCTCCCTTCAATACGAGGGCGATCAGGTTATAGTCCACCACGCTGGCCAAGTGCGGGTTGGCGGACTTCACATGTCTTTCGAAAACTTGCTAGGTTCTCTCAGACATGCAGGTTTCGTCACGATGTTTTCTTTCACCGTAAGGTAAGTGGTAATTATGTTAGAAATGATTCGCACATGAAAATATCCGAGGTGCGAGACCCGGGATTTGAGCCCACTTCACTCGTTTTCTCAAGATCAAGAGCACTGGGCTATCACTGCCTATACATATACTTATTACTTACATATATCCCCCATTCCGTGTACGATGTAATGACATCAAATTATGTATCAAGATAAAAAGAAGCTAATCAAAGCATTCTTCGACTTTAAAAATTACACATCTTAATGTAAAAATTACGGACAAGTGCGAATCGGACTCGCCCCCCGACGGTTCCGAAGTAGGAAATCTGTTTTACTTTAATTTTAATTTTTTTTTATTTGTGCTGTAAGACTTTGCTTTTTGCCAAATTTCGTGAGTCTAGGTCAACGGGATCTACTATATAGGTTTTCGACTCAAAACCTATAGGGTACTTCCGGTTGACCTAGAATTGTCAATTTTGGTTAAAAGCAAGGCCTTACTGCACAAGTAAATAGAAAATTCCGAAAAATAAATAAAGTTGAAAATTAAGCTAAATTTAGGTACTTTCAAGTTTTCGCGAAACTCTAAATTTGCCCTTATCTTTTTATCGTGTTGACTCAGGATCTTGATTTTTACACACCAATAGGGACAATAGACCTCAGTATCTGGTTATAAATTTCAACTTGCAAGGTCCACCCGTTCCTGAGAAAATCGGTGGTGATACACGGACAGACAGACGGACAGACGGACAGACACACGGACAGACACACGGACAAGAGAGTGATCTTATAAGGGCTCCTTTTTTACCTTTTGAGGTACGGAACCCTAAATACCACATTGCACTGCGTGATTTAAAGAGTACACCAACAGACATTTTATGTTATTTTAAGGAAATATTTAGATTAAATTGTAAATATTACAGATATCAATCTCAGTTATAGAGGCGAAAGTATATATTTGTTATTTTTAAAGCTTTAACGGCTCCAGAGATTTAAGTAAAATCTTATTTACATCCCGGATTAACATACTCGTATAAGTTATTTTTTATCGATGTACCTACTTACATAACGCGTAAGCGAAAACCAGTATTTATAATATGTAGGTAAAAAGGTTAATTTAAGGTTAATATAATTTATATGAACTGTAAATTTTCACAATTATAGTATATTGTGGTAAAAAAGACGATTTCGAGATCAAGATTATTCAGATACGGGCTGTTCACACAAAGTTGATTGTTATTATTATCATTCCGCAGCCATATTATATTATACGATGAAAATTTATCATGTAAATATAAAATCTACTATGATGATGATGTTCTCCTGGCCGATTCCGGCTACGGCGGCCAATCTCATTGAGACTAGCCAACTGCGCAGGAGATAATATAGTGCACAAGTGTACGCGCAGACACAAGTGCACTCTCTATTCCTGTCACTCTCATACTCCGGTGGGACGACTACTCGACACGACTAGTAAGAGTTTAGGCGCTGGACCGACGGCTTTACGTGCTCTCCGAGGCACGGGGGTGAAACACCGGCAACTTCCCAACTCCTGGCTGTTACTGAGACTTACTATACAGAAAGACTCAATAACTAAACTTGGCCCGACCCGGGACTCGAACCCAGGACAGTGTGCAGCCGTACATGCTAGCCACTACACCACCGAGGCAGTTAGAGATACTATCGGACTTATCTGACGCTTGGACCTGAAGGTAGAACTCTTTATTAGGGAAAGGTTTATTTTAATCGTTTTGACGAACATGAGATTTTCGAGTATGTGTTTCTGAATCATAGTCGTCAATAGTTAAAACCTTTTGTTTATTTTGAGGAAGTTCAATGGATATTGTTCTTAGCTATAATAGTACCTAATGAAAGATCGTTCCAGTTGTCCAAAGTGGTAAGAGAATGCCGCGAATAAATAAAATACAATAGCTAATTTTGATAATGTCTGTTTAACCAATTATCCTACAATTGTAGGACCATGTAATAATGAAACTGGTGCAATTTTTAAGCTTTTTGAGAGCTAAGCGTTGGGGAAACCAACTCTGAGACCAATTTTTTCTTTTTTAATGTTCCATTTCATTTATACATATATATATTTTATATATCTATTGTATATATTTTTATTTTGAAAATTTTAATTGCTTATTAAGTTTTCAAAATCTTTAATGTACCTATCTATTTTTATACATTTTATAGCTTATAAATAAAAAATATAGTACGTTCTATTCTTATATTAATCTTACTATAAGTATTTGACAAAATAATCCATTTATTATCATGCAATAATAGCAATGAATGATTGGTCATAATTTCTTATAATTTTACTCAATTACCATCATTTCACAACTATGAAACTCTCGCGGAGTTACGATTATTTGAAAACTTACTTCTAATTATACCGATTTTCCAAAGACTAGAAAATTATCTGGTAAAAATATAATCGTTAATCTATATCTAATAGTGGAAGACACGTTTGCCTCAGTTTGTAGTGACCCTACTTGTTGTGCCAGCGGTCGCGGATTCAAGTCCCGCTGGGGGCATTAGTTTATGTGATGAGCACAAATGTTTGTATCCAGTCATGGGTGTTTATATTTATAATAAATATTATGTGTAGTATATCAACTCTCTGGTATCCATAACACAAGCCTCGTAGCTTACCATGGAACTAGATGTTGCTGTGTGTTAATGTCCGAACGTAAAAATAAAAAGATTTACGTCAAATTATTAGTTTTAGTGCAATTGATTCTTTCTAAAACCAGGCAATATTAATTAATTATAATAATTGGACTACAGTATACATATTTTATTGCCCGCACAAACATAGTTCCTAAACTGGTGACCCCGACGTGATCTGAACACGCAATCTTCTGATACTTCTTTTACTTCAAAAATATCATAACACATACAGAGGTGTGATCTGTTAGTGTTAGGATGTCTCTCGATTTAGGTTTACTTAAATTTTTAAAGAGTTCCTTTTCGAAATTAATTATCGAGTAGATACATCGATCAAAAAAGCACTAGATACCATGCAAAAATTCTCTTAAAACTGTCACCAATTTCATTAGGTAATTATTTCAGTTGAAATAAATATACAAAATGAAATATGCATATTAAGCTTACACAAATTGCTTAACCCTACAAAGGCATTGTATATAACATTAGTATATCGAACTAAATTAGGGCTGTGGACATGCCCACCGTACCCATAACGGTGGTTCCGCGCTTGCCCCTAGGCAAATATAAAAATTAGTAGATCAAAAATATATTATAAACGAATGAATATTTTTAGTCTTAGGTTCTATATAAAATATTAACAATTCACAATTCATAGGCAGTTTTTACCCATATATTTTATTTCGGTCATGATAAAAATTTACTTTATAATTAGCATACAATTAACTTAAATGGCGCCTTATGCGAATATTTTATTAAATTAAAAAACTTTCTTCTTACACATTTACTACAACGTTTACACTAAAATTGAAAAAATAAAAGCTTAATAAAAATAATAACTGACTCCCAGGCACTGAAAAGTAAAAAATAACTGAATGGAGGTTTCATATATTAGGAATAGATAACTTATCAGATATTTAATTTCTAAAATATACTACAAATTACACATATTTAATAATTTGATTCATATTAATTTAAAAAATTATTTATTAATTTAAAACTGCAAGAATTATTATTTAAATATATTTTTTCTAGTTTTAGCTGAAACACTTATGGAAAATAGAAATAGGAACCTGACTGTAGTAATTGTGTGGTATTTCCTAAAAGAAAAGTAGCCATAAAGTTTTTAAATGAAAAATTACTGCTTACAGTAATTATAAAAATAAGCTTATGTATTATTAATTTTCATTTTTTTTTCCTTTCCATAGTCAATTATATACTGAGTATTGTTTATTCAAACATAACTGTTAAATGTAGATATAAAGCATGGCCAAGCAGCTTCCGTGCACGTCACTCACGGTCGGACACGACACGCGCGCGGCCGCTTCCCGCGCATTTTCACGTCATTTTTTTATCTGTACAATTTTGAAATTTGTGAATCTGTTCTGTTATTCTTACGACTTACGAGTAAGTATTTATACAATTGTGCAATGTAGGTCAATTTTTTTTTCAATTTCTTACAAGTGCCATGTCGAAGTTGTAAAATAAAATAAACCATTTTTATAATTTTTCAATATTTAGCAATTTAAATTTGACATAATTTAATTTTAAATTGGTTGTATATTATGTTAATGTGGGAGCCGGTTTCTCATAAATATTTTTAAGATTTGTGGCTGACATCACAGAGTCAAATGCATAATTGATTTTCTCTCCAGTGAACGTGATGTCACTGTGATTACAATACATATGATCATGTCCTTAAAATAAGCGTTACGTATGAGATAAACAAATACATTTTTTCATTGGGTTATAATTCTAATACCTAGTAATAAGAGATAGAAAATCTATCAATTCTATTCACACTTATATTAATACAGATTTTGTCCAGAATTTAGTATGTATTACAAAATTAGATAAAAAGTAAATACAGTTATTTTTTAAATGTTATTACTAAAAATCCAAGAATACGTTTGTAATAAATATATTTTTATCTACAACTAGTAAAATTAACGTGTCTAACGTAGACACATGCAAATCTCTTGGAATTTTAATAACCTAGTTCACATTGAAGAAGCTAAATGGAAAATCATGAAAATGACGCAATACTCGTTATTGACTTAAGCTAATTTTGTCCTTCTTGAGTTTAAGTCATTGCTGATAAAATCTTGTTTTTAAATCTGAGAACGAAGGTTGTATTTATTTAGAACATTAAAAAAAGGACTATCAAAAAACTCTTTAGTATTATTGGAAGCTTTAGGCGTAATATAATTTTGATATAACAAAACAAGATAACACAAAATAAACAAAACAAACTCCATAAATAAAACTAGTTAACATACTCAGAAATCGATTTGAATCAAATAAAAAATTACCATTACTATGCAGATTGTTTAAATTAAGCTATAAAAGTAACATACTTTCAAAATTCCATTAAATGATATTCAAGTTATTACATCGTTATCCGTAATATTTTAATATTATAAATGTGAAAGTTTGTGAGTATGTATGGATGTTTATTACTCTTTCACGCCAGAACGGCTGAACGGATCTGGATGGAATTTGGCACAGTGATAGATTATAGTCTGGAATAACACATAGGCTGCTTTTTATTCCGAAAAAATGTACAGTTCCCGTGCGATAGGTTTGTTCTTTTTCCTAGAGGTGAACCCGAGCGAAGCGAGGGTGAGCCGCTAATCACATGATATTTTTTTAAGTAGGTAAGCATATCTTTTTCAAAAAATATAGAATATACATTTTCATATTTTTCTTACTTTTTTACAGTTACGACAAGGAGTGAATGATCTATAAAATGAAGCTGTTATTCTTAGGTAAGAAGAGAAGCTTCTATAATCTTAACGTATTATATGCTTTTAATAACTTTTAACGTGAGTATTATTAAAGTCAGCAAATTCTTCGGTTAATCGTTTATTAGTATTTACTCGTATATGCGCCCTGGCCATTTCTTTTTCTTTTTTTTTTTGGTTTATACATACATGGGAAATCTATATAAGTAAATATTATTAAATTCTGAGTCGAATCTGTACATATTTAATGTTTTTTTTGGAAAATCTTATTGAAATAATCTTTATCGATACAGAGGCCGAATCTATAGTTTTTAGGATTTTTGTCTATCTGGTAACACATCACGAGAAAACCACTGGACTGATTTGGATCAAATTTGGTATGATAATAGCTGGCTATCCGGGTCAACATATAGGATACTTTTTACTACGGGAAAATATCTCATCTCTGAGAAATCTATACTAAATCTGAGCGGAGCCAGATTGAGTCGCTAGTTATATAAATAAAATTAAAGACATGAGTGCATGAAGATGACATGTCGCATTTTCGAATTTTTTGCCGTTCTTTGCATGGATGTAAGTGTGATGTGTGTACAAACAATTATTATCATACGTAGATATTTTAATAATTGAACTAAAACATTCAAAGGTAATATTACTAAGATACCGGTTAAAAAGTTGTGTATAGGTACTAAAAGTATTCCATTCAATCTCTTGAAAGAAATCTATCACATAACGTTTATTTACGTGTAATTTGTATTGCAAGCTTGCTTCTTAACATCCGCTAAACAGATCATAATTCCTGATTCTACGTGATAGTCATATTTAAGTGGGTACAATGGAAATTCAATGAGTCCCTTTCTATTGCATTTGTCGTCTTTTCAGCGAAATAAAGAGCAAAAAGTTTTACTTGTATGCATTAATATAAATTAATTACTTAACATTATAATTTTTACTCGTAAAAGGACAGGCAGCGTTTTGAATGGCATCTGATATAACTATGTGTAAACTAGCGATTTACTAATTGAAAATTAAGGTTTGAACTGAATATCAATCACTATGGATTTATTATCTATACAGATAAATAAAATTGAATTGTCTGTTTGTAATGTCAAAATTTACCACATGCATATACAATTTTAAACGGATATTTTAAGAAAAACACAATTTTTAATTTTTTTGTCTGCCTGTCTGTTTGTTCCGGTTAATCTCCGAAACGGCTGGACTGATATTGACAGGGCTTTCACTGGTAGGTAGCTGATGTTGTAAGGAGTAGCTTAGTAACTTTTATTTTAGAAAAAGAATTAGGGTTCCGGTGAAAAAATTTAAAACCTATTCAGGGTATGTCGCTAGTAGTACCTAAAATTATTGTCTTAATAATTGTTAACTATATCCCACTTTATATGTGTAAGTATATCGTAAATTTATTATATACATACCTACCTAGTATTATCTGCCTACTATTTATGTTCTTTTAAAGATATGATTTATTCTATTGTTGTCTGATAGTTAAAATCAACAATTCTAATAGTAATTTACAACAAATTAATGACTACTGCATCTAATCGCTTGATCACAACAATAATTATTATTATCGTCACTCATGAATTAATTTTAAAGTAAAATTTGTAAAGTATAATCAATATTCATGTGTAATAATGCTTCGCTTCCACTTACAGCAGTAGGTATCTTAGCACTTTTTTCTTATACCTAAAGGTACCTAATGAATTCTATACCTAGTAAATTCCGTTGATCTATTACAGACTGTTTCTTAATGAAAATTCCTCTTTAACCGACTTCTAAAAATGAGGAGGTTCTATGTTCGTCTATATGATTTTTTCATTTCAACTAGCGAGTAAATAGTACTTGTTAGGTATTAATAGTAGATAGTTTTTTCTACATGTGATTATTCTGTTTCGTTAGCCACTTATTCTCGCTCGGCTCGCGTTTCCTGGGTAACAGAAGCTTATATGTAACTCCAGGTCATAGTCTATAATAATAACACTTTATTTACACTGAAAAAGAGAAAAGAAAATATACAGAATATAGGACAAAGTGCAAGAGGCGGCCTTATCGCTAAAAGGGCGATTTCTTTTAGGCAACCTTTAGGTGTAGGAAATAGTACTAAGATCTCTATTTATTACTAGCGACTCATCCTCGCTTCGCTTGGGTTCGTCCCTAGCTTGATTCGCAATATAAACTTTCATGCCCATTTTCACGCCCTTAAGGGATGATTTCCAGGATAAAAAGTATCCTATGTCCTTCCCAGGGTCTGAAACTATCTTCTTACCAAATTTCATCTAAATCGGTTCTGTAGATCAAGAACAAACTCACAAACTTTACCTCTTTATAATATTAGTATAGATATCTATGGACCTAATAAATTTCATCCAAATCAATGCAGCAGTTTTACCGTGGAGTAACAAACAACTTTCGCATTTATAGTAGTCCGATTGTTAGAATTATTTTCGCATGAATTATTTTCATATACTTATGCTTTTAGACTGTGTACTTTTTGTAACAGAATAATCATTTTATTGTCCGTGTGGGCTCGCTGATTACTTTCTCGCCCGGTATGTGCTAGATTGTTAAGTGTTATGGTAGCGTCGGCATTACACTTTATTTAATTGAAAGAAGTCAAATTTATGTTCATGGCGTCCGTGGCATTCATGGGTTCCTAGGTCCGTTTGGGCACAATTTATTTTGCCAATGTCGCGTAGAATGGAGAAGATACGTTACATTATATAGAAAGATCAATAAAAAAGAAGAAAATCAAACACTAAATCAAATTAATTAAATTTCTAAGAAATCTATAAACTGTAACGCCGCGCCGGCGTATCCGCGGTCGTGGAGGGATTAACTGTTTAGTATAAAACGTCACCTATATTATTATTATTGACTTTGACATTGATAACATTTAGTAAACAGAAGCTTTCTCTAATCGAAAATTTTTTATCAAATAAAAAAACATAAATTAGCAAAAGATGTTTTCTTTTATTCAATAAAAGTACCTGGGCAACCGAGCTTCGCTCGGCGTTTTTTCGGTAAAGATAAAAATTGCGTTTTTTTAAAAAAAAGACACCTAGGTACTCGTATATAGATAATCTTAAAAGCAAAACCTTATCTAAATACAAAATTTGATTCAAATCGTTAAAGTCATTTTCGAGATACATGTGGTATGTAGGTATATACAAGAATTGGTCATTTAATATTTATAAGATAATTGTGGTTAAAGTGGCTGTCAAAAGGTAATATCACTCGATAAACTTACATATTTATTGAATATCTTTACTTTGTTCTCATTATATCTTAATAATAAAATATAACTTAATATTATTAATTATTAAGGTTTTTGTCAACAGTACACTTGTGAGAGTACAATAGCGTAGGGTCAGCGCAGTGCGTTCACCGCGCACTTGCCGTGCCTTACTTGGCTATTCCTTTTGTAGGTAGATACTCAGTACTATTAAAAGGTTACATTTAAAAAGATCACGTATGGGTGTTATTTCTAATATTTTTTTTATATTGATAAAGATAACATTTTTCTGAACATTTTGCATAATAAAAAAAATATAAAGTTACAGAATGCTTTAATTTAACAATATCCTTATTTCTGGTAATATAAAATATTAAATATGTTTTCTTATGGAAGTAAATTACTTATTACTATTAGCACAGATCATAATAATAATATAGATACTAGCTAATCTATACTAATATTATAAAGAGGTAAAGTTTGTGAATTGTGAGTTTGTGACGTTGTAGGAGGTAATCTCTGGATCTACAACCGATTTAGATGACATTTGGTAAGAAGATAGTTTGAGACCCTGGGAAGGACATAGGATACATTTCATCCCGGAAATCCTCCCTTAAGGGGGCGAAAATGATAACCTTATATTATTTCACTATACTTAGCTAATATTAGATTTTGCGGATATAACATATCTTACAATTGTTCTAACAAGAATAACATAAGTTTCATAGTTAATGTATAAACATATATAAAAAATATATGAAAGGAAATCTAATTATTGAATTAACTAATTTAACAAAATTGGGATTTATTTTGTTATAGTAGTTTATACTTTATACTATTACTAGAACTACGCTCTCTTCGCCAATAAAATCGGTCCAGCCGTTTCGGAAATTAGCCGGAACAAACAGGCAGGCAGATGAAAATTTAAAAAATTGTATTATTAGTATTGTATATACTTTCATATGCATTTAGTAAAAAGCTGTAATTTTATCATTACAAACAGGCACCTCAATTTTTTTTCTATATAGATGTGCATAATACTATAGCAACTCAAATTGCATCTCTGAGGCACGCGGTGGTTGGAATGCACAGGTACCGCTAGTGACCTACAATCTAGTATCTAGTCTAAACATCAGTTATATTAATGGCGTTGTTTTAATAAGGAGTAGGTACTAAGCCTCAATCTGTGTTAATATGATCGTGCCAGGTGGTAATCTTGTTACTTCTCCTTGTTTACATTTTCATTATTCAATTATGTTAATTTATCTAATGCGAACTTTATAGTAAAATTATGGATATATTGGAGACTTGACTGCCTCGGTGGTGTAGTGGCTAGCATGTACGGCTGCACACTCGGAGGTCCTGGGTTCGAGTCCCGGGTCGGGCCAAGTTTAGTTATTGAGTTTTTCTGTATAGTAAGTCTCAGTAACATCCCGGAGTTGGGAAGTTGGCGGTGTTTCACCCCCGCGCCTCGGAGAGCACGTAAAGCCGTCGGTCCTGCGCCTTAACTCTCACCGGTCGTGTCGAGCAGTCGTCCCACCGGAGTATGAGAATGACAGGAATAGAGAGTGCACTTGTGTCTGTGCGTACGCTTGTGCACTATAATATCTCCTGCAGTTGGCTAGTCTCAATGAGATTGGCCGCCATAGCCGGAATCGGCTAGGAGAACGTCATCATTATCATCATCGTATTGGATACTAATAAATATAAAATAACAAAATAATAATAATATTCACATTTATATATTTTTTTTACTGATCACATGACAATAAAGACCGTCTGTGGTATAACTGCGTACTAGTTAAACGTGCTTATTTTCCGCAAAGGAATATAAATATACCTAATAAACAAGTTTTTTTTTTAATTTAATTTTAAGAAAAAATCAATAATGTTTTAAGTAACTGCGACTTAGCCTCGCTTCTCGTTGATGTTCTTGTCTCTAGGTGCCTAACAGTACCTATTTCAAGTCATAGGTTATGTTTCAACGTAAAGGAGTAACAAACATCCACACACATACAAACTATTATAATTATATTAATAGTCTAATATGTAATATTATATATTATACGTAAAGTGTATATAACACAAAAATTATCTTTTCAGCCCTCTTGGCTGTGGGACTTTCAAATGCAAGATGGGTGCGCCGCCAGCGGTCCAACCAGCCCAAAGAGACAAGTTTCGTTGGTAAAGCTACTAACGAACTTTCTACAACCATCTTACAGGTTATATATAAATAACATTTTTATTGTATTGATATGAGAAATATGAACGTATTTTATTTCTTAATTCGGGATTCCGTGTGTACTTTGTATGAGTTCAAAAAATTAAATTACCTACTAAACTTTAAACTGATATAAATATAACATAGAATTGATAACTATTTTTAGGTTAATTTAATTCTAGAAAACTTGTTTAATTAATTACATGTAACAAAATATATTTTATATTTTTAAAATATATTAAGCTACCAAGATGAAATATAATTATGTACAAAAGAATTGCAATTATTAATCATATCGTCTTCCTTATTCAAACATAATATACTCTATGAACTTATTTTTATTTTATATTTCCAGGGATACATTGATGATGATAAAAATATTGCTTTCTCGCCTCTTGGCTATTCCGCCATTCTTGCCATACTCGCGGAAGGTGCTAAAGGAGAGACAAGAAAACAACTAGTATCGGCATTACATTTGCCAGAAGACCAAGATTTAACAAGAAAGACATACCGTTACATTTTGGAACGTCTTAAATTCAAAAATGAATATAATTTTAATCAACCAGAATTGAAAAATTTCTTCTACATATACAAGAATTACACAATTAATGATGATTATAAGAAAATTCTGGAAGATTACTACTTAACTGAAGTGAGATCCGTCGAAAGGTATAACGACCATGAACCAGAAGACAAAAAGGAAGAAGTTAGTGACATAATACCACCGAATGAAAGTGTTCCATCCGATACGAGCGAAAAGTTAATTTCTTATGCTGTCGAGGATACTCCAGAAAAGGTCGACGTTACTCACACTGAATACAAACCAGCTAAAAATATCAAGGAACAAATAAAGCTGGTAAAAACAAATGATGAAGAAATTGGTGAAGATGAAGAAACTATGGTTGCAGTTGAAGCTAGGAATCACGCGCGGAGTCTTAGAGTGCTGAGTGGCAATAATGACGTAGCATCAAGTATTTCAGTTAATAGTGTTGGGAAAAAATCTAGCAAAAGTAAGTAAAGATTTTAACAAATCATATTTCATAATATATTATCAGAATTATTAAAAGACAATAACAATGAATATTGTTATATTATATATCTTTTGAAAATAAAATACATGTTATTGCTAACAATACATATATTCCTCCATTCGTTACTTAGTGGAAGGAATATTTTGGCACAATTTCAACAAATAAACATTGATTTTTAATATTTTTATTAATTTTTTAATTATATTTCAGCAACTAACTCATTAATGTTGATTTTCAACGGAATGTATTTCCGTGGAACGTGGGAGAAGGCATTCGATAAAGTAGAATCGGGTGTATTCTATAAATCCAATACGGAGAAAAAACAAGTGCCAATGATGAAAACAAAGGGCAGTTTCAAAACCAGTTCTCTACCAGATTTGGACAGTGAAGCCATTTTGTTGCCGTACGATGTAAGTATATACCCACAAAATATAAAAATAAACATTAATTTAAATATTGATTATGATAAAATATAATTTTGTAAAATTTTGTCTCATTTACCTCTCTTGTGTGTCGTCTCAATAAAAAAGCTTACAAAATGCATGGAAATCGGTAGAGGTTGGCTACTTATTGAGACAAAAAAAAACAGATTTCTTATTCTCCAAAATATTATAATGAACAAGTAATAAGTATGTATTAGTTTTACAGCACCATGTTAATGTTCCCATTCTATTGTACATTATTTAATATCCTGTAATTTTATTTAAGGTGACTTGTGCATTACGTATATCTAATTCAGGAGAAATTTGACCGTATTTTTTGTGTGTAATTTTACTTATTCTTTTATTCAATTTTTAAAATTTTCTTCTTTTAAACAAAATCTACATTTAAGGTGGAACATCAAACATTTAAAGCGTTTTTAAGGCATAAAATTAATTATTTTATTACAGGGTGGTCGCTATGCTCTGCTGTTGCTAGTGCCGCGCGCACGCGACGGTCTCAGGCGATTAATAGCTGATTTGCCCGCTACCACTATATCAGAAATCCAAGAAAGTTTGAATGAAGAGGAATTGCAATTGTCGATGCCTACATTCTACGTGGAAACTACAACTAAGCCAGTCACTGCTTTGGCTAAGGTAAGAAAGATGTACCTACTGAAGTATAATAGAATAGTACTAGAAAAGTAAATAGAGCATAAAAGTTGAAATCTTATATATAAAATTTCCATGTCACAATGTTTGTTACCGTACTCCTCCGAAACGGCTTTACCGATTTTTACCAAATTTTATATGCGTATTCAGTAGGTCTGAGAATCGGCTACTATCTATTTTCCATACCCCTAAGTGATAAGGATAAGGGTGGTCCTTCCAGGTCCCCACCCCAGGGACGAACCCGAGCGGAGCGAGGGTGAGTCGCTAGTAATTCTATATAGATAAAATTATATGATACTAGCAGTTCACCCTCGCTTCGCTCAGTTTCGTCCCTGGTGGAAAACAAAAACAAATTTATCACACGAGAATCATGCATTTTCCGGGATAAAAAATAGCATATGTGTTATTCCTGACTATAATCTGTTTCTGTGCCAAATTTTATCCTTATCCGTTATATAGATTTATATTGAAATATTTTACATCTACATATATTATAATTAGAAAATCTTATATAACCATAGAATTAAGACGTATAATATATTTCTGTTTAGGATATTTTTTTGAATTATATAATTATGCCGTACATTTTTTTCTCAAAATTCGCTCTCTAACCTTTTAAGCTACATATATTACTGACTTGTTTCCGCCTTCTACTCACACATTTGTGTCTTTTAGTTCAAAATGTTTATAGTATTTAAGGTTAAAGTAATAATTAATGGATTACAATTTTGAAATAACCCGCTCATGTTCGATCTATGTAGCTACATTAAAGCTAAAATAATTAATTTTATAGTGATTTTACAATCAGTTTACGGTTAGACCTTATTAGCTAATTACCTATAAGATAAAAATATAAGAAAAAACCCTTTACGTTTGTTTATTTTTTTATTGTAATCTGCTTTACCCTGCTACAGAAATATAACTCAACGAGCCCTATATACGAGTAACTTTAACGCAGAGTATATATATATATATATATATATATATATATATATATATATATATATATATATATATATATATATATATATAATAGATTTAATTTAATTTTTACAGTTTGGAGTCAGCAGTATTTTTGGTAAAGAAGCAGAACTGACAGGAATTTCTTCAAAGGAAGGACTGTTTGTGCAAGAGTTGGTGCAGAACGTGGCTGTTCGTGTCGATAATAATGATTCTTCGGTATCGTTAATTGGAGGTAGGTTTATTTCTTTTATATTTATTAATGAATGCTTTAATAAACTATTTCACTTTTTAGTCAGATCTGATCAGACAATATGTTAATTATATTTATTTCCAAAAGTATTTTGATTTGAATACCCGTTTTATTTTACCAAAAAAAAAACTTAAAATATGCATAATAACTGGTAACTGAATATAATTCCGGCAGTAGAGAGAACTATGAAAAAATAAATGAAAATTTGTTTTTTTTTCTTTGCGATACTGATCTTAGCCCCCAATTTTTTTATTCTATACTATACCAATTTCTGTTTATGATATGGTGTTTAATATTATATTCTTACCTCAGTAAACTAGCCGACTGGATAAAGTCTGAGTTAGGCACTAGTGAGATTAAAATTATGTGTGTGTATTTACAGTGGGTGCTGCCGGAGAAGAAGAACCAGCATCACTAAAAAATCTTCCTTTATTTGAAAATAAAGAGTCTCGTAAATTTTGCGTCGAGCACCCATTCGTATTTTATATTATTGACCGTCTAGACGACCTGGTCGTTGTTTCTGGAAAAGTCATTGACCCAATATTGCCGACGGATATTTGATTTTAAATTTGGAATGTCAACCGAAGTTAGTATGAAGAGAATTTATTCGTTATTTTAAAATATACGACAGGTTATGTCAAAGATTAATGACATTTATTTTTTTTAAATGTGAAAGATAAAATAATGTAACGACTAGCTATTATTATTGGATTAGAGATTTTCAAAATAGCCAACTTTTCTTTTCAATTTGATTTTGATTCTTTTGAACTATAATTTTTTCACGTACATATTTGTATATTTCTACTTTATTTTTTTTTAAATAAATCATTGCTTCATTCCCACCCCATAACATTACAAAGAATAATATATTTACATTTCATATTATTTTCACTTTTGCTGTGAGGTTGTATTTGAAAATGGAGCTATAAACCAGATGCATTTGATATTGAAAAAGTACACAGCGTAGTTTAGTTTAGTTTTAAGATTATTTATTTTTACATTTTGTGATATTTTTAAGGAGAAATAAAAATATGTTTTCGAATAATGTCGTTTTAATTGGCTTTTGGATACTTTTCTGCGGTAATAAAATAAATGATGGTTTCGTATATTTTTACTAGACGATTTATTAATTCCTATTTACGAAGAAATAAGGTTATAGTCAATTTTTTTACACATTGCACAAGAGAAAGAAGAAAAGAAAGAAAGTAATTATTAATTATTTCTGTTATTAATTCTATAATCATATAACTTATTACAAAACATATTATATATAATATACATAGACTAGTATTATATCATCTGTGTACATGATGCCTAACCTTATTTGTATGGATTTTGATAAGAATAATTTAAATTTCTTTGACTTTTCATCACAATTTAACTTCGCATTATAACTTTCAAAATGTTAGTTAGTCTCATGAGAATTTTTCGCACAATAGATGTCGTGATCAGATGACGTCTTCTATTTTATTACAGATCATTGAAGGTGATCTGCGTTTTTTATGCAAATAGTAGCTGTTTAAATAGTCTTTTAAAAAACATTACTTTAAACTATTGGCAAGCTTTGAACTTATTGATTTAAAGTATTTGCTTATTTTCGGTTATTAGTAGAGAACTTAATTTTAAAAATAATGTCCTAATTATAAATTTTGATAAAGTGTTAAGAGAGATATGGCGCATCAATCAAAATATCTTTAAGAAATAATGATTTTTAAGAAATAAATCGCATTACTACCTATTGATTTAGTAAAGGTAGTTCTTACAAATACTGAGACGATTACATATGAATTGGTTTTTTCCACTTTAAATTTTCAACACCAGTTTAGGTTTGTATAAAATTATAACGATATGCCAAATAACAGTATTTAAATTTCAGAACTGTTATTATTTAGAATGATACATTATACAAAAGTAAAGAGGGTACTTTAAGTTTTATAAGAAGCTCAACTGATTGTATTAACGGTCACGCGGGCCGTGATCGCTACGTATAAAAAAACGTGTAAAAATAGAAATAAAGCATTATTCCTATAAATTTCAAGATATGGACATCGGTAAAGAGAACAAAAGAGTACAGGTAAAATCAAAAATACCTCTTCCAAAGGATCCACTACCACCTTTATCACAGACTTTAATAAAACGACCTCAAGAGTTAGACATTGAGAGGCATCCATTAAAAACAATTAATTGGCAAACTATAAATAAGCCCAATATAACAGGCGCAAATCCAAAAATTGAAAATTCCGAAAGAAATAATTTAAAAACAAAATGTCCACTGAAAGTTGATACGCGACATGTTACTCTTCGACAGAACACAGAAGATTTGGATTGGAATTATCAAGTGTTCAAAGACAATGAGGTAAAAGAATGTAGTAGCGTCATAATTATAAGTAATGAGGAAAAAGAAAATGAAGAAAGAATTGATGAAGAGAGAAGTAAGCAAAAAAATTGTCTGGGAGATACTAAAAAGGCCTTGACGCCCTCCATTAAGTCGCCATTATTAGAGCCAAACAAAATTAAGAATATTAAAAGAAGTCTGAAAAGACCTCACAGTCGAGAACTTCAAGGAATTTCTCCTAAGGTACAACAAGATAGAAGGGATGAGAGGCATAAGCGGCGTTTAGAATTTACTCAGTTTTCGCAATATCAATTGCACTCTCCTGATTTCTGTAAGTAATAAAATACGGTACTTACGTATTAACGCCACCGCTGTAGATTGGCGGCACCTAAAACCGCCAAATCTATAGATGAGGTGGTGTATCATTTTAAGGATATTAGCCTTTATTGGAATATTTAAAAAATATATTTTACGCTACCGCATCTACAGATTTGACGGGTTTTAAGTGCCGCCAATCTACTGCGGTGGCGTTAATACGTAAGTACCTAAAATACATTATAATAATCCTTAAATCGTATTTCTTTACGTTTTTTCATAATTAATGATTAATGTTACTAAATATGTCTAAATATATAATGTTAATAATATTATTTTATGTTAATTTCATGTAAATAAACTATTGTCATTATAAAAAGACTAACATGTTATTTTGGTTTTTTAGTGGAAAAATCTTACATGACATGTTTAAACAGAGATTATACGGAGGATCTGTTTACGTATTTGCTCAATATCGAAAAAAGAACAGTAGTACCCAGAATATCAAGTAAGATACGAGCATGTATTATCAACTGGTTGATAAAAGTTAATGTAAGTTTACATAAATATCGAAGTTTTAAAATGACGGTCATTTAAAAAAATAAAATTAATATTTATTTTACTTACCGTTTCGTTCTTATAATTAGGGATTAAATGGAAATCCGGCCGTAATTCAAACTGCCCAATTGTACTTCGATGCAGTGTTAGCAGTCAGTCATGTTCAAATGAACTCATTACAATTAGTTGCTGCAGCGTGTTATTGGATAGCTCAGAAGATTCATGGCCCGGCTTTTAGTGCTAGGAGACTTGTCAAGTACTCAAGTGAAGCTTTCACAGTTAGAAATCTGCTGTCAGCTGAAAAAGCTGTAATGTATAAGTTGGTATGATGCATTTCTTTACTGACTTTATTATACGGCGATATATTATAATTCTATAGCAGTTTTAGTATACTGTGATACTATTAGTTAAACACAATTTTCTCTGATATAAAGGAATCGAAGTAAAGAATTAAGTTACAAAGAAATATTCATTATGATCACAGATCATAGGTATAACACTATACTGTAAATAACAAAATACGTTTTCAGAAATTTCCATCCCAACCAGTAACTCCTCAAGAGTTTGTAACATATTTCTCTTGGTATTGCGATAGCTGCCATTTTGGTGAAATAGAAGTGGCTGCCACGTTCCTTTGTATGGCAGGCCTAATGGTAGACAAATCATTGTGCAATGAGTACCCATCTGTAATAGGTGTTGCTTCAGTAAGAAATGCTGTTCTGCTATTACGAAGAAAAGACGCAATGGTTAGATTACACATGAATTCTGTGTAAGTTTTAATTTCTAAGGTTCAATCTTAAAATTACTTGTATAATTTATAATAATACCTATTGTATCTTTATAGTCGGGTACATTGACTGTTTATTTTGGTAAGATAACAATGTCTGATTATTTTATTTAATATATTTTTTGACTAGTATCAAAAACCAAGGAAAAGAAAGACGTAAGGAAATAAAGCGACTAGCGTAAAAGGTAGTGTCAGTCACATGTGTGTATTCTTTTTTGTAGGATTAATCAATACTCCGACTTGTTTAATTTAATTTATTTAGTATCTCGCCACATTATTTGTTGTGATGTTTTTACTTGTTTGTGTATAAGTTGATCTTATCTCAAATCGCCTAAAATTAAATGACTCCTGGGGATTTGTGTAGCCAACTTCAAAACATCCAGTTTTATTGCATTGTGTATCGTTTCACGTAATATTTTTATTTCATTACTGTTATGCTTCTTAAAGGTCGAAACAGGCAGCAAAGTTCTGTAAAGGGCGAGTCTTAGTTTTAATATATATGTATTTTCCGTTTCAGATACAAAGCTGCTGAGAGTAAAGTTTCGAGTATATCCTCGATCTGTTCGATCCAAAGGAAGGCAATTCGTTGCATGTCATCACCATATTTTAAATATAAAGCACCTTTAGAGTATTATGGAATTGGTCCCCACTTTATAGCTCAAAAAGTAATTAATTCTGCTAATGAACTTTCACTTGTAGAATAGTTGTTAGTGTAAGATTGTCAAACTAATTTTAAATTATAGAGTAATTTCAATTTTCATATCTAGTAATAAGGTATCTCGTATAATTTAAATTTGCCTTGACATTATAATATTCTTTATTAGATTTAGGCTAACACACTATATTCTCTCTAAATAAATCTTTTTTAGTTCTCATCTCTTATATTGAATATGTAAAATAAATGTATATTTTAAAATTTAGTCCTAAGTAATATGGTTGATTTATAAAGTACCAAATATAATATTCAAAGAATCAAAGAAAATGTATAATATAAATAAAATATTCATTTAATACAGTTAATTGTTTTATTACTTCTTATTATTATTAAATTAAGCGGTGTGTCTAAAACGTGTAATAAATAGGTACCATTAAATTTTATCAGAAATTTTTTGATCGCAAATAAATTATGAAAGTACCTAATCGATAATAATCTACTTGCATTGTCCAAAATTGAAATTTTAAAATAAATTTATAACTTTATTGCTCTTAAAGTTCTTTATTATTGAATTAGTAAGGTAAGTTCTACCTTTTTTAAGTGTTCTATTCAGTTTGCAATAAAAACGCAATATTAATTTTAATACATCTATACATATAATAAAATTGTAACTAATCTATACATATAATAAAATTGTAACATTAAATATTTTTTGGAAAATCTTATCGAAAGAAACATTATTATCGATACAAAAGCCGAATCTATAGTTTATAGAATTTTTGTCTGTCTGTGTCTGTCTGTTACCGCATCACAGAAAAACCACTGGAGGGATTTTGCTGAAATTTGGTATGGTGATAGCTGGTTATCCGGTTCAACATATAGGATACTTTTTACCGCGGGAAAATATCTTATTTCTGAGAAAAAAATACAAAAACTGCAATGAAAGAGTATACTAATATGTACCTATGTAAAACCTAAGAATTTGGGTTTTGGTCATCTGAACGCGGGCGGAGCCGCGGGCAATACTAGTAAGTAATAAGTTGTTAAGGAAAACAAAAAAACTAGCTTAACATGTTACCATTGTTTTTGATGAACAAATTATTAGTATTTGAAACATGGTAAGAAGTTCCATATATAATTAAGTTAAATCAACATAATATGTCAACATAATGTGTGAAAATGAAATAAGGTTATAATGTAAACTGTTACCTTTTAATAACATATAGTTCAGCAGTCATGAGGGTGTAAAAAAGTGTAGATATTGGCCAATAACAAGTATATATGTGAAACCTATGTAAATACCGCGTACTCTAAATTAATTACTGGTAAAGAAAATTTTGGTTGATGTTGATCTTATAGGCCGACAGAAAGTAGTTTTTATAAAACATAAAAACTTTTTAACAAAAAAATAAAAACCGACTTCAAACAAATGCACTAAAAAGTAAAAAATAACTGATTGGTAGTTTTCATTTACTATACATACCTAATCAAATATTTTCGAAGTCGGTGTGCTTTGCTTTGTATGGGCTGGCACCGATTTCGAAAATATTTGATTAGGTATGTATTTAATAGGTAGGCTTTAATTACTTAGCCAAAGCACACTTTTTAGTGCATTTGTTTGAAGTCGGTTTTTATTTTTTTGTTAAAATTTTTTATTTTTCCCTTTTTAGTGAAGACAGTAGTAGCAAAGTAAGAATTCTAAAGTGTAAGGCTTGTCAAATCAGACAAAATAAGCCCAAACTCAAAGTATCTACTATTAGTCGTTGAAGAGTTCCACCTATCCACCTTCTGACCTTACCATCAGATCAGGTCAACAATACCGAACTACTGTACTATCAATGGTAATAGAAACACTTGCAAAGTTTCAAGTCAATATGACAATAAGAAGCAGGTTAAATTCATCATTAACTATTTTTCCACCCTTAGGGGTGGTATTTTTTTTTTAAATTTAAATGGGACCAATCTGGAAGTGTATCCTTTCAAACAAAACAAAAATTGTCCAAATCGGTTAATAAATGACGAAGATATGAGGTAACAAACATAAAAAAAAATACAGTCGAATTGAGAACCTCCTCCTTTTTGAAGTCGGTTGAAAAGAAAATCTAATTTTGGCTTGTTACAGTTTTGGACAAAATCGAAACTTTCTACTATGGAAATCTTAAGTACTAGGTATTGTTTATAATTAACAATAAGGATTATGCGTGATTTTTTTTATTTTTTTTTAAATAGCTTACATCGTTATATAATTGAAAGTCTATAATAAATTTAAAACACAAAAGTATCCATAAAAACGTATCCAGCTTCAAAAAACTAAAATTTAGTATTAAAAAATATACCGATATGGATACGGAGACATCACAGTATCAGTCATCACAGTATCATCAATATTAACTCAAAATGTATTAAACATAAACTCATGAAATTTGTTTCATTTATTAAATCCCCTTAGATTAGTAAAAACTTTGTCAACCACGGGTTCGTATCCGACCGGGATACGAACCCGTGGTTGACAAACTTGCGCCTTGGTGTTTAAACACGATGCTTATGTCCTGGCGTGCGAATCAGCGACCATATTTTGCGTGGAATAATACGAAACAAAACCGCATGAAAACTCGATAACACGCGTTTTCCCAGACATAAAACTAGATCGATTTATCGCCCCCGAAACCTCCTGTATGCAAAATTACATGAAAATCTTTGGAGCCGTTTCCGAGATTCAGATTATATATATATATATATATATATATCTAATGGCTTAATCCAAAAGCAAAAAAGATTATAAAAAAACTATTTCACCTTTATTTAAATCACACAAATTTTCCTATCAAGACAATAACAAAAGTTACATAATTAATTAGCCGACTGCGACATAGAATTGCATATACGAACGTATTTGGATATCTAAATCGATTTAAACTCTGATCTTTAAATAACATTTTATCAACTAAGTGATGTTTTAAATACTTGTTGCGGAAACCTGCTCACATACGGGAAAAACCACAAAGAGATATAAAAAAAAGTTGGCATATAGCTTATATACCTAACAAATGACATTCTAATGGCATTGGATATTTATCCCTAAACCTTGAGCAATAAAATCGAATATTAAATAGCAGATATAGTACATGCGAATGAGAATTATATTCTTGTTTACGATGAGTGTAGTAGGGAGTTGAGTTCGAGCAGTGCGAATGTTTTTGCTTCTTAATACAATAACAATATTTGAATTAATAAAACATATAGTGATATAAGTTTTTGTGATTAATGAATTGCACTAAGTGCAATTTGAGTGTGTTAATATGAAATTTATTCTTGGTAAGGTTTATTATTATGCTCGCATTTATAATTGTATCTACTTGATACTTCATATTATATGGTACGCAGGTTAGATTCCTGTGCTCAGTGAATTTGTTATCACTCATCTGTGTAGTTTTAAGTTTTTTGGTTTATGTAAAAACGTATAAGCTATTTCTTTAAATAGTGGCATTGTAGGAAATTTTCGCAATCAAATAGCCTTATAGGATGACATTATCAAAAATATATCCACCATTTTAAATCGTCTTCTTAATGGCTTCTTTCAATGCGATAAAAATGAATTAACGATGTATCTTAAAGTTAAATGACTTAAGTTGAGTGAGATTGTTCAAAAATAGTTATTACAAAATTACAGAGCTTAAAATTTTCATTAGTTACAATTTAGTTTAAAACTTTAAAGCGTTTGGCGGAAGATAAAACCTACGGAAAAGTCTACTCGTAATTAATATTGTTTTTTAAGAATATCTCTTAGACATAAATTCAAAAAAACCGGTTTTATTTAAACATACGTTTGTAAGGATTATAATTTTGGATGTAATTTTACTCATAATGATAATGTCCTTCTGACCGATTTCGGTCACGGCGGCCAATCTCACTAGCCAGGTGCGCAGGAGATATTATAGTACACTACACAATAGTCCAGTCAACATAGTGAATCAATCAACATAAAATAAAGCAATTTCCGCGATATTACCATTCGATAAAGGGGCATTTTCTAAGCTTTAACCCGAGAGGCGCGTGCGCCACTATCGCAAAAAACGCGTTATATTCAATGTCTCCAGATCGGCTTATCCTGATAAAAAAAATATAGGAATCTTTTCTTCTTTAAATTGAGTTTGCTATCTTTTGTACATAAAATATTTTTTTCTAAAATTTATATTTCTCGAGATATCTCGCGTAACCAGTTCCCGAGTTACTGAATTATCTGCTGATGCTATATTGCATTGATAGTGCGGAGTTCGACAAATAAGTCGATAAATATTATTAATAGAAAAAAAAGTTTTAAAAGATCTATAACTTTAGTAATAAATAAAATTGCATCTAAGTGAACGGTTAGGGAGATAATCGCAAAACTGAGGTAGCGAAATTTGTGCGATTCAAGCGCGATATCGCCAGAAATATTTATTTTAGAAAAAAAGTTTTATGTAAAAAAATTAGCAAATTTAATTTAAAACCGAAAAAAATCTATAGTTTTTTTACGTAGAATAAGCCGATCTGCAGAATCTTAAATTTGGCTCTAGGCTAAGAAAATGCCCCTTTATCGAATGGCAACATCGCGGAAATTGCTTTCTTTTAAGTAGATTTCGCCGTTTTTTTTCCTATATTGACTCATGACTGGACATACTTCGACATGACTAGTGAGAGGTAAGATGCAAAACCGGCGGCTTCACGTGCTCTCCGAGACACGGGGATGAAACACCGCCAACTTCCCCATTTCTAGCTACTATTGAGAATTTATAAAGTACACGTCAGATAATATATAATAATACAAAAAAAATCAGATTTGTTAAAACGACGTAGGTTAGGCAATTCTATTCTCTTAGATCAAAATAGAGGTGTTCCCCATAGTAATGAGTAGTAACTCAAAACCTGGTCAACACCTTGGTTTAGATATAAAAAATCTAATAAAATATTTTAAGTCATAATTCTATCCAAGCAACTGTTTGTCATAGATATATAATATGTAATCTTCTATAATATAAAAATGAATCACTGAATGTGTTGGTAAGCGCAAATCTCGAGAGCAGCTGAGCCGATTTCGCTAATTCTTTTTTTAGAATATTTCTTGAAGTACGAGGATGGTTCTTACGGAGAGAAATATTTAAAAAATTGCCTGAAAAAATCTAAAAACCACACTTTTCTATACTCCCATACAAAAGATTCGTAATAATACGTAAAAGTGAATTTGAACTTTAATACCATACCATAAAGTTTAAGTGTTAGTGGAGAGGTTCCGAGAAGGCAAAACAATTGAGTGACATATTTGTCAATATTATTGACAAAAAAGAATATGGCTAACGCGGGCTAATAACTATTTATATCTATTTAAAACGTACCTAGCGACGAACCCGAGCGAAGCGAGGGTGAGCCGCTAGTAGATAATAAAATTTGGTTTTAGCATTATGGGCGTTCTGCATTTCAAGCATAAGAGCGCAGTGGTTCAATGGGCAACAACAAATATTTCCAAACATTGATTTAGGACAAAATATTCAAAATAATAATGATAAGCTTTACTATGATCGTAATCCTGGCAGAGCTGAACCGGATGCTTATGACAAGTATATTGAAGATATACTAAAACAAAGAAATTCTGCAACATCACAAGGATCGCTTTTACTAGAAAATAGCGACCAAAGTAATACAATTGATCGTATAAAAGGTCCTTATGAGTCCAATGAGTCTTCTGATGCAGTCCGATTTATTGGGGTGCCAAAAACTGATATAGAACAGCTTAATAATATAACATATGCTATAACTACATTTGGGATTAATTTGATGAAAGTAAGTTGGATGTTTTTATAAACTAAAGTATTTATCATATTTAAAAAAAATATTATAATAATGTCCTTTTGACAGACATTGGCAACGGTAGCCAATCTCACTGAGACTAGTCATCTATGCAAGAGATATTGTACTTAGGTGGAGGAACGACGATGGATTTCAGAGAAACTCTGTTACTGTACTTGGCCTCATCCAGCACTAGAACCCAGATCCTCTGGATCTGCAGCAGTACATGCTAGCCCTTGATTTCTATTGTAGTGATGTCTATATTATATGAACGTTACCTTGTGGTAAAGTATGATGTGATCTGTGTTTTACGATGTCTAAAAACCAAAGAGATGATGGAGTCTATTTACTTAATTAACTTTATCAATAACAAGCGGCTCACCCTCGCTTTGCTCAGGTTTGTCCCTAGCTTGCTTCCCAATATAAACTTTCAACCCTATTTTCACGCCCTTAAGGGATGATTTCCAGAATAAAAGGTATCCTATGTCCTTCCCAGGGTCACAAACTATCTTTTTACCAAATTTTATCCAGAGATTACTCCCTACGATGTCACAAACTCACAAACTTTACCTCTTTATAATATTATAGTATAAATAGCTTTCTATACAGCATTGTAACATGCATTAATTTCAGAGTATCAACCAGTTACAAAATGGGAACATAATAGTGTCACCAACATCGGTTGCAACTGTTTTAGCTCTTTTGCAACAAGGTACAGTAGATGAAGCACAAAACGAAATAACGAAGGCTTTGCAGATGCCTGCAAGCGTTACAGCACCCACGTACCAGCGACTTACTTATGATATGAAAGTAAGAAAAATAAACTAATTAATGTCTATTATTACCGTATATATTTTCATATCTTTCCGTTCTATTCTGTGATACCAAATCAACCTAACATTTTAAATTATGTAGATTTGAATGAATACTTATAATTTATTAATGTTTATTTTTTTCAGAAAAGAAATTCGCGTAATATATTGACAGTTTCGAATAATTTATATATTGGAGCTGGTTTCGAAATCAACCCAGACTTTAAAGCCACAGCTATTAAAAATTTTGGCAGCGAAGTTACGCCTATTGATTTTTCGGTACCTGATGCAGCAGTCAGGCAGATCAATAAATGGATATCGATTCAAACTCATAATAAAATTTCAAATCTACTCTCACCGGGTAAGTTAACCTTTCAAAGCACGCGGAGCCACAGGTGGCTCGGTTAACATCTCCAGGTAAAATTCTAAGAAATTAACTAAAATTCTAAGAAATCTATTGTTTACTGACACGCCTGCCTGTCCGCGGTCGTGGAGGGTTTTTTAATAAATAGGTTGGGACATTAACACACAATTAACAATTAATTTCTTAGAATTTAACCGCGAGGTGTTAATATATATAGATTTAATAAAATTCTGAGTCAAATCTGTACATTAAATTATTTTTTGGAAAATCTAATAATTCGATTCGTAATTTGAAATAGTTATCAATATTAATACCGAGACCGAATCTATAGTTTTTAGAATTTTTTCTCTATGTCTGGGAATGCATCACCGGAAAACCACTGGATGGATTTTGATAGACTACCGAACTTATATTATGTATACTGTAAATGTTGATGTTAAAAATGCAATAATACTATTGTTTTTCCAATCTTGCAGTAGCAGTACGCAAAAAAAGTGGAGTATACAAGAGTAATTCGCAAATACTTACGTATACTTGGTAGTGACCTAATTAACTAGCTTGTTCCATAATATACAGTGCCAGTACTTATATAGACTAATCGTGTATATCGCAGTCAACTGGTTTCATCAGCCGTGTAATTAGCAGTCCAGCCTTTTCGTAAAACGGCACTGTTTAGTTAGCGGCTGAATGAGATACCGGCATTTAATTTAACAGCTAGCAAATGACTTGGTCCAATACTGTTTAATGTTCTAGCCTTGTACAGAATGAAAAGACGCATCGAAACTTAAAAATATGTAATAGTTTAAATTAGATCATATTTTGTTGAGACAATTATTTTTAAATGATAATAAATAAATATATTACAATTTTAGATGCTGTCAAATTCGATACTCAGTTGGTAATAGCTAATGCTGTATATTTCAAGGGATTATGGGAAACCAAGTTTAAACAAGAATCCACTAAACCGTTGCTATTTCACCTCAGTGATGGAAAAACTAAGACAGTACCTTTCATGCGAATGCGTCATTCATTCAGATATGGTATTGATGAAGAGACTGATTCTCTCGTTGTGGTTCTGCCATTTGAAGTAAGTGTTACAGCTTTTAATTTCATTTTATAAAGTTTCATCTCGACCGCACTTTGTGAGCGCTTTAGCTTATCAAAGTTAACTTAATTTTTGTTTTATAACTAGTATTCCTTTTAATCTTAAATCTGTTAAACCTAGTCCATACTGGTATATACCAGACTTACAGTTTTGCTTGATCACTTTTACTATTTCAGAAATATTAAGCAAAAATTCAAAAATCGTTATAAAATAACCTAATATTTATGTTAATTTGTAATTCCAAATCAGTCGATATATTTATAGAATTATGTATAAAAACAATGAAAATACCAAATCATCGCCGTCCCTTGAAAAAAAATTATCCCATTAAGTCAATAATAACTATAGGTACTTAGCTCGACTTGGGTCTCCAGATCTGCAGTAACTAGAATACCGAGGGAAGTATAATATGAAATAATAAAAATTGAATTTTGTTGCAGCGTATTCAATACTCACTTGTAATGATATTGCCACATAAATTATCTAATGTGGATATCGTTTTGAACTCTTTAACTAACATGAAACTAGTTAACTATCAGAAATTAGAGGAAATTGAAGTTCAACTGGCGATCCCGAAATTTACAATAAAATCCGATACCGATTTGATACCAGTACTGAAAAATGTGAGTACATTTGTACTACTACTTTAAAAAATATTGTAATATTACGTAGCTGTTCAACAGAGATGTGCTGACTTTTACGAAAGTCAAGAAAAAAATGAAATAGTAGCATTTCAAAGTATGATCTATAGTAACAATTTATAAATTATTTATTAAAATTGAACGTTGTTTTCAGATGGGTATTTCAAGCATTTTTTCTCGTAACAGCGACTTGACAGGTATAGGAAATTATAGGACATACTCTCCAGAAATATCTCGTGCTGTTCATACGGGTTTCTTGTCTGTAGACGAACAGGGACTTTCTGCTGCGGCTGTATCCGGATTCACAGCTGTAGCATTATCATACGAAGAGCCATCTAATGTTTTCCAGGCAGACAGACCATTTTTAGCTGTACTTTGGGATACACAGTTTGCTATACCGTTGTTCGTAGCGAGAGTTGATGATCCTTCAATATAATTTACTTTTAGTTGGTAATTTAAATGTTTTTCATTTTTTCGAATAAAATTTTAGCCTAGATTAGCTTATTTTTAATATATTATTTGTTTTTACTAAACTTTGATTTACAAATACAAACATTCTTTATTGCACATCATTATTTTACATTACATAGTGGGAACAAATTAAAGTAGAAATAGTACAATAGGCGGTAGGTAGATTTAATATTATATATAACGTAAACCATTTAGTTCTATGTACAATGTTCAATTATTGTAATAATAGTTAACTCTTATATAGTAATTAACGTAATATACACAGGAAGAAAGAATACTACCTATTTCATCGTTTTTGTTCTTTTTGTTTCCTACATGTATTTATTATGGGGTCATTTGCAAATATTCTAAGATCTCCATTGTAGAATTCTTCAATTTCTTGTAAAGTTTTACCTTCAGTCTCTGGTAAAAAGAAATATAAATAAATTGTTCCCATGAAACCGAAAGCGGCGTAAATGGCGAAAGTGCCCCATAATTTGACACTAGTTTCTAGGTTAATGAAAGTTTTCGAACCTAAGAACGAAAATACATAATTGCTAGCTGCAGATAATCCTTGAGCGTTGGCTCGACTCCTGTAAAAAAACAATATATTTTATAAAAATTGATATTTTTAGTTTATGTTGATAAAATATTAAAAATAATTGATAATGTTAACTGATAGTAAACGTAAGTATTCAATTTTTTTTTGCTTATTTTAGGAAAAAAGAAATTTGTATCTACACCATTTTTTAATTTTAAAATTTTTGGATAGTAAATGTTGCTGAAGAATTACCTGAAGGGAAAAACTTCCCCAAGTAAAACCCATGGAATACCCAATCCAGTAAATATCGTCAATAAATACATCAATATCAATGGCACTATACTAGTCTTCTTTGGAAATGTTTCGGGGTTGTATGAAAATACTTTGGGGTCTAAGGTTTGTCTTGCATATATACTGAGTAGCAAGCAAATAATTGCACTTCCGAATAAAGAAGATATTGCGAGTTTTCTTTTGCCCAGAATTCTGATTATGCCGATAACGAAAATGCCAGTAATAAACGTTAAGACTCCTACCATCAACTGAAAAGAAAATAAAATAGATTACAATTGCCGTTAATAAATTTTTCTTTCATAATATTTCCTCCTTTGTATATGCCATTGGCACAGTAAAATTTGCTCTCGTGGTAGCGCTTATTAAAATCTATAAAAAAATTTAATATATATAAATTAAATTTTATAATAATAATGTCCACCTGACTCTTTCTTTTTCTCTTTCTTTGATTGCTCACTGAGACTAGCCAGATGCTTAGGAGATTTTATAGTGCAGCGCATGTACGCGCGGGCACAAGTGCACTCCCTATTCCTTTAACTCTCAAAGTCCGATGGGACGATACTTCGACATGACCGATGAGAGATAAGGCGCAGGACCGACGACTTTACGTGCTCTCCGAGACACGGAGGTGAAACACCGCCGATTTCCCAACTCCCGAGCTGTTACTGGGAATTCCCTAACAGAAATACAATAACAAACCACTAGACCACCGGCATGGTCTAGTGGTTTGCATGTACGGCTGCAGATCCGGGGGTTCTGGGGTTCGAGTCCCGAGTCGGGCCAAGTTTAGTTACTGAGTTTTTTTTACTTTACTGAGTTTTTTTACTCAGTAACTAACTAGGAGACATTTTACAAAACGTTAAAATCCATATAAAAAACCTATATCTATCACTTTCCTTCTAGCTTCGATTCGTGGAAAAAAACCTTGAAACTAATAGATACAGTTTTGGATTCAATCTAACCATTGTATGCTCAAAATATCATAGTAGGTATTACAAATGGTTATTTAATTAAATCATTTATGTTTAAGGAAACTTAGTAAAAATAAGTCAATCTATTTACATAAATAGGCTTGGGATAACTAAATTTTCCACATAAACTTCCTTAACATTTTATTGCGTCATTAATTTTTACACTTCATTTAAAACGTTTCATACTAGTCTGTCCCGCAGCTCCGGTCGTTCCATAGGTAATATTGATACAAAATTTGAACTGGATTATGGTCTGATCCTGATGGGAGAAAGGAGGCCCGTGCCCAGCAGTGAGACGTTAGAAAGCAGTTTGACGTTAAGATAAAATATTATGAAAATAACAAACAGGTAGTATTGACGTCTATGAGGTTAAAGGTTTCTAACTTTCCTAACTGCAAAGGCGGCGGAGCAGAGTTTACCCAGCGAGAGTTGAACTAAACTTAATATATTTCTTTAGTGTATCACTGTACTCTTAAATAAATACTCGTCAACATACAACATGTGTACTCATTTCCCTATCCTGACAACTACTTATGAGACTGCATAAAAGATGAGGGTCCCACTGAAGCTTAGAATCTAATGTCATGGAATGAAAATTTAAAATATATTTAACTTACAACTTGAATGAAATAAAAACTTTTTAACAAAAAAATAAAAACCGACTTCCAGGCACTAAAATGTAAAAAATAACTAAACGCGGGTTTTCATTTAGAATAGATATGTAATCAGATATTTTTGAATTCGGTGCCAGCCCATGTAAAGCAAATCTAATATATTTCGATACGTAAAATACATATGTATATATTATATACTTATTAGATCTTAAAATATTGTCGGCTGCATCAACTTGAGTCGGTTCAGGCGTCTTCGAGTAATCGGTGAACATACAATAAAAAAAAAAGATTCCGACGAATTGAGAACTTCCTCCTTTTAGGAAGTCGGTTAGTAAGAAATAATAATAATAAATTCTTTATTGACATAATTTTTACATACACAGGTGATTAAGAATTCCCTAGCCCCTGCGCTCGTTAAAAACTGTATTGCAGGAGCCAGTGTCATTCCCATATGATTAATGACAGGTTTATGCCAACACAGTGATATATGTAGGCACAGACAACAAGAGTAACATTAAGAAAAAAAAATTAGCACACAAAAAAAATAAAAAAAATAACAAAATGACAAAATGAAAAAAAAAGTATGTGTGTGTGTGTGTGTGTTTGTGTGTGTGTGTGTGTGTGTGTGTGTGTGTGTGTGTGTGTTTGTGTGTATGTGTGTGTGTGTATGTGTGTGTTTGAGTTAGTGTGTGTTTGTAGATACTATATAGCATTTTTTATAATTTCTTCTGTCGCATCATAATCTAAACTTTTCAGCCAGGTAATTAATTTTTTTTTTCAATTTATAGTTAGGATGCTTCTTAACTTTATATTTATTATTAAAAATATTATAAATACGTGAAGTCACAACAGTGAAGTGCTTTTTAGCAAAGGAGGTTTTAACTTGTGGAATCGGACAAATTACAAGGACGGTTAGTAAGAAATACACTGAAATACATAATATACAATCAAATGTACCTACATTTGATAATAAGTAATGAATGTACAAATCATGTGCACGTGGAATTAAGGTAAAAATATTAGCTATAATGTAAAACTTATTTTAGTTGTTGAAATTATATAACTATTTTATAAACTTACTACAATCTGCTTTCCATCCTGGGCCATACCAAATGCTCCACAAACATTGACCAAGTTGGGCCTAATCGGTGTTAGGCCGCTCATCACGAAGAACAGAAAATACATCATCACTAGCGTTAACGGTCTTAAGGTTTCTTTACAAAGCATCACATATCTGAACTTGAGCATGCGTCTAAAAATATATGATTTATGTATCATATTATTGGTGACATTTTGCTAAGACTTGGGGTCTTCATCGAAATCACTTCATGTCAATATGTATGGTCAACAGTATGTAAGAAAATCATGTTAATAAACCATGTCTACAGTCTACTAAAGAACTTTTATTTTTGCAATAATAGTAGTATTTATTTGCGCTTGCTTAAGCAGTTTTAATTTTCAGTTTGTTACACAGTAGCAGCTCTAGTGCTGCTCCTACACCAAAAACCAAAATGCAACCAACAATATATATTATAAGTAGGTAAGAGTACTATTTTTTTAGGATGCTACTTATTTACGTCCTTATAATTTGTATGAGTAGGACTGAACTGGTCGATCTATTCACACTGACACCAGTAATAACACAAAAACTAAATCCTTGTAATTGATGTTGGATCTTGTGGAAACTAGATCCACAAGTGCATTTCTGAAAATTAAATAAGACATGTATTTACTATTTACGTATACGTCCATGTGTTCATGAAGTAGGTTTAGGAATATAAACTTTTTTGTAAAAAAAAAATATAATGCCTCAAGGCTTTTCTTGTTGTCTAGATTAGTTGTACTAAGTTAAAAAAAATGGCAGAATACCAAGTTCTTTTGAAGTTTATAAGACCTTTATGCTTGTAACGTTGCTTAGCGCATTCATGTCAAATATAATTATGAATGTACTAGCGACTCACCCTCTCTTCGCTCGGGTTCGTCCCTAGGTTGATTTCCCATACAAACTTTCATCTCCATTTTCACCCCCTTAAGAGAGGATTTCCGGGATAGAAAGTATCCTACGTCTTTCCCCAGGTCTCAAACTATCTTCTTACCAAATTGCATTTAAATCGGTTCAGTAGATTTAGAGATTACCCCCTACAACGTCACAAACTCACAAACTAACAATTCACAAACTTTACCTCTTTATAATATTGGTATAGATAAAGCAGAGGAAGTTGTTTTGATGTGATTGGGCCTATGAAAATAATACATCGATAATTATTGTTATGTAAGGAAGTCAGTATTTCTCTATTTAAATCGCCTATAAAAATATTAGCATTACGCGTGTGTATTGAAAATATTTGTAATACATATTAATTAATACATAAACATATATTTTTCACATTTTCAATTGATTGTTTAATGTGCCAACTTATTTAAGTAGATCTGTTAACTCGATCTTAGTTATCGCTATGTTGGCATGAGAAACTGGGAAAATATCATGAGTCTAGTATAATATTATCGATTATAATATTCCTGCTATTATTAAATCATAGTAATAATATCTAGTAGTTACTAAAGTTACGTACAACGATTTAATTTCACTTACCTCTTAAACCAATTCATACCATCATGTGGACATGCCTTAGTATCTTGGTCGGTGCTAGAACATATGACACAATTTCCTAACTTTTTGCTATAAGTGCTTAACTCATCGAATTCTTTTTTTACATTATCTGGCGTAGTCCACCCACGAAGTTTACATAGGGACTTTAAAGCATCATCATGCCGCTGTCTTGTGAGAAGCCATACCGGTGTTTCAGGTGCCTTAAAAAAAAATTAAATGATGGTTATTAAATTAATAAATCTTTTAATTTATTGATTGATTTTTAAATGGCTACCATAATATGTACATTCATTTAGATAGTTATTGTATTTCTATTTATGATGTGATGAAATTAAATGTAAATTTTAAATGTTTCTTAAGAGATTTCGTTGAATATCTTCTCCGAAGACTTTGGAATAAACTTGGCGCATTGAAATATTACACCCTCCCTTAATACATGCGATTCCTTTTTTTGTAGTAAGTTCCGTGGGATAACAGTTTAACTTTTGTTTTAAAAATATTTTATTTCTGTAATTATTAATACATAGATAGCGCTGCTTAAGAGAATTAGAAGAAAAAAACACAAGAAGAATTCGTTGGCAAAAGTTTGTGGTTTTATACTGACTACTTACAAAAACAACCATGAACATCGAAGCGGCGGGAGCCACGAGACAGATTAATGCAGCAGTCCGCCAGTCCACAATAGTGCCCAAAAAATACATGATGAGAATACCAAATGATGTAAAGAATTGAGTCACAGTACATAATGCACCACGAATCGAAGGTTCACTAGAAAAATTTTTAAAATAATTAATTAACAGTTTTTTATTTTTTTTAAATTATTTTTAATTTTTAATTAATTAATCTTGAAATACAATAGTATTAAATGGCGATAATTAAATCCCGGCGCTAAAAGAGGGGTGTTATAATAGTCTATGTGAGGGAGTCTCTTTAGAATGAGAGGTCCACCACGAAGATCGGGATCTCCTACTATAACTTTGACGTGTCCGTCTGTGTATCTGTGTGTCTGTCTGTGGAATCGAAGCTCCTAAGCGAATGGATTTCAATGCGGTTTATTTTCTTTGAAAATTGATGTGATCGAGATGGTTTTTAGATATAATTTTAAATTTATGAAGATCTGTTGAGGTGTCTGGTAATCCTCAGTTCATTTCCTACTTCACAAAAGGGTTTACTAACTTTCAGAGATCCAATTGTTTTGAAATTTGGTGTAGGTATAGTTACTTCGGTGGTATTTCCAAAATATAGTAACCTTGAGCTGATGCTGTAGCATCAAATAGTCTGTGCGATACTCAATTTCTCAGAAACATACAGCAGATATAGCGTGTTTGGGTTCATAAGAATCTCAATAAGAGTTATCTATTAGAATTAGTGACCGCGAGTAATTTAAAAAGAAAGAAATAATAATAGATTTACAAAAATTAAAAGTACCCCTTACAAAAAAAACTCTTAAAAGTAAAAAAAAAATCTCTCTTGGTCTTTTAACTTCATAAAAGTATCTACGTAAGTTTTTTATTTTTATTTTTTATTTTTTTATTTTATAATTTGTTTTTTATTTATTTTTTTTGTAATTTTGACTTAGTCATTTTTTGTTGTCCTTTTGTAGTGTTTGTTTGCAGTAACTTTTGTTAAAATTTTATTATATTGTTTTAATGTTTAAACCAATCATGTTTACTCTACCTGTGACATATTTAAAGGTGGAAATTTTGCTGGTGTGTGGATTAGTTTGTAATTATTCTTAAGAATTATCTCACTGTTTGTTTCCCAAAAATTAATAAATAAATAAATAAATAATTCTATTAACATTTTGTTTGATCGTCGCTGCGTCGGGAGACTGCTATAAAAATAAACCTTAAAAAAATGAAACTTACATCAGACGTAATATAATTCAGTCTGAGATACATGTTTTATACATGCTGCGAGTTTCATTACATGTACATATATTTGACATATGTATACTTGTGAATATTTTTACCAGCTGTTCCTTATTCAAGACTATCACAAATTATAATTAATTACTATGTAATTACATATACATAGGTATATGTTTATACGTACCTTATTTCACCCACATAAGAATTGATAGGTGCCTCCATGATGCCAGAACTTATTCCTAGTAAAGCGTTAGCAGTGAACAGAGAAGGGAGGTTCCAAGAATAATACATAAGAATCCATGCTAATATCATAGGTATATTAACAAGAAAGTTCGCCTTTTTTCTACCGAAATAATCCACTACCGGCCCGGATAAAAGTGCCCCAGCTGGCTGCGTAAGGAATGATACACTTCCTGAAATTATAATACTCAGACTAAAGAGTTATATAGACGGAGTCTACAAAAATAACTGCCAAAGTCATAAATAGTTGTGTAATTTTGCGGTTTATGCTATTATTTCGATTTTGTTAATCGTTTACTATCTTCAAAGAATAACAGAGTTTTTATAATATAGGTATTAGTGGTTATATATCAATTTTTAACAAGGAAATAATAATAATAATAATGAATAATAAAAATAATATTAATAAATTATTCTCTTATTTATAAACATTTTTTTAACATATTAATTATATATTAAGAAACATATATAAATTATTTAAAAACATCATTGTTTGGCTTCATATTTAGTTTTATGACACTCTCTCTCTATATTATTCCTTAGTCTGAGTTATAGGTAACAACACTTAAAATCATTACAAAATAACACGACAATTTAGGCTTATGGCGAATTCCAATAACCCTACCTATCCTTACTAGAGACGGCTAGTTTGAACGTAGCTTATGTCAATGTCTGTTTATCTAGTAAGGAAAACCATGGGTAGATAAATTATTGAAGTTAGTTAAGTTAGTTAGTGGCCCAAAAATTAAATTAAATTCTATCTATTCATTATTTTTAAATAATTGAGGTCCTTGCAGTCTTTCTATACCTTTTGAACTTTCCTTAAAATAAAATCTTAGTCTCTTCCGTGACCATGATTGCTGTAAAGCATTCGAAACGTCGGGAACCAAAATTCAAAATAAATCCGCGAAAGAATCCGAAAATATAGTTTTATTTAAAATGTCAAATATTCGTCTAAATTTAAGAAAGTAAGATTTAATACACACATAATAAATATAAACAACCATGACTGGAGTACAAACATTCGTGCTCATCTCGGCGGCTCATCTCAGCTCAGCGGGACTCGAACCCACGACCGCTAGTACAGCAAGTAGGATCACTACAAACTGAGCCAAACGTGTCGTCAATTATATTATAGGTAGAAATATCGCTAATATAACTACGAGTAGGTAAATATACATATTATATCATGGTTAGATTAAAGGCAAATATATAATTTTTTTAAATTACTATCGAATAAATAATGAAAATATGCTAAAATGGATTTTTACATGCAAAACTTCGACCGCTTACATGTACGAGTACATATGATCAAAGATGTGAAACAAAAATTTAAATGCATAATATCCAATCTTTATGGATAAATATATTGTACAATATTATATTTATGCATAAAGATTGAATTTCACTGGCATAAAACGCTTTAAATTATAATTTTTAAAATAAAATAGTTTACCGAACCAAGAAGCTTGTGTTTCATCTAGCGACAAGCCATCTTTAGCATTGAGAAGAGCAGGTATCATTATCGTTGTGAAGTTGATCGCCATCCCCAGGTCGAATAAGAGAAGAAATGATGAGGTCGATGCGATAAACTGAATAAAACAATTTTTTTTTTAATTTCTACTTTACTTTTTTTATTTAACGTCTATTTTCAATTAGCATTCTTGGCCTATTAGTCCAAGTCATCTAGAACATCTAGTCAGCTTCTGTAATAGTAAAACTTAAACGCAGTTGGTGTTTTAATATATTAAAATTTTAAAAATGTATTACAAAGAAAAAATTAACAAAAAGAAACTATTATGTATAAATTTCAAAGTCATGTTAACTATTCTAGCATTCATTACTAATTGTAATCCTCTTTCAAATGCTAAATTGTAAGATTAAGACAAAAGCTATGAGCCATAGGTTCGAACTTTGTTTTAGACATCCGCTTGTTTTCATTTTAGTTGCTAAACTAATCAAAAAATAAAATAAATAATAGGTATATATATATATATACATATATATATATATATATATCCCTTAAGGGGGTGAAAATGGGGATGAAAGTTTATATGGGGAATCAACCTAGGGACGAAACCGAGCGAAGCGAGGGTGAGTCGCTGCGCACTAGTAATATTTATATATTAGTAGGTATCTATTACTATAAATAATTCTAAATAGGAATCTTTAGTTATATTATTAAAATAAAATAAAACCATTTGAGATTAAGCGTAAAAACAAACATTACTAAATCAAGTGTAATTATTCTGAAAAAATATTGATCTACTTTTGGTATTTTTATTTTCAATATTTTTATTGAAACATTGCGCCTACAATACAATCCCAATATCTCGTTATACAAGATTACATTTGCTTTTATTAGAAGTTCGGCTTGCACGGCTGACGTTTTAGTATTTGTTTATTGATAACAGAATAATATGTAATAGGGAATCATATTTTTATCATTTTTTTAAAGTATTTAGTACTTAATCAAATAATAAACGACAAAACTATAGTTATGCTTTTTTTATTTCCCTCACCTATTCCTAAAAAGGTATTACTTACTCTTCAGTATTAACTTTTTCATTGTCAGCGATATAAAAAAAACATATACATATCTAGGTCACTTTCGAGGCCTCCAACAATTTCCACCGCGTATGAGATTTTATTTTAAAGTGACGAAAAGCAGCGTAAGTCACTCTCCAACCTCCTAATTATATCTAAAGACTAAACACTAAATTATACTTATCTATCGCTCCGTTTCCAAGTGAAAGATGGACAAATAAAAGCAATTTAATATTTATAATATTACTTATTAGTATGGATCGATATGAAGAATTTTGTTCATGACTTCTATTGTAGTAAGGAATGCTAGCTAAACATAATTTAATGACTAGACAAGATAATACTTTACAATCGGCAACAAATACAAATTTTAAAAATCAATGCACCCAGCGGGACTCGAACCCGCGACCACTGGCACAGCATGTACTATAAACTGAGCCAAACGTGTAGTCAAAGTAATATAACACTTGATCTAAAAATATATATAAAAGAACTCCTGAATAACTTCAGAAATGTTATACTATAATTAAATTCTTATCCATTGTCAAGTATCAACTTTCTTACACCAGAAAAAGTAGTTAACATGGACTATCATAATGGATTTTAAAAATAATTAATTGGATATTCATTTCTTCCTTTTTTAGCCTATGAATAAAATGATTCAAAGAGATTTTTTTAATTCACGGTTTATTTCATACAGAATTAAAGTCAAGAAGAATTATACATTTTATTTATAATATAATACTAGCAGAACCCGCGGCTTCGCTCGCGCTAAAACTACAAAAAAATCTCTAAAAAGTAGTTTCATACAAACTTTCATCCCCTTTGTGGGATGAATTCCGAAAAATGCTAAAACACGTATTTATTTAATAATTGTATTGAAGAGCATTAATACCAAGTTTCAAATAATTCTAATCATACATATTTTTTTGGTTTGTATTATAACGTGTTTCCCGGGGGAATAAGATAATCTCCCGCGGTAAAAAGTAGCGTATGTCACTCTCCAGCCCTACAACTTTCTCCACACAAAAAATCACGCCAATCCATCAATCCGTTTCAACGTGAAAGAAGGACAAATAAACAAACACATTTTCACATTTATAATATTAAGTATGGATTATATAAATACATTAACTTCATATTACAATCTATCTTTTTAATAAAAGTACTTAGAAATATAGTTTTATATGTAATTTTGTTTATTGTTATTCCACATACCTGAGATGATATCGAGCGAAGTCGGCTGACATGATGAGATGTATCTATTTTGAGCACCATCCTTTTTGATTTTTAATATTCGATTTAAACACGTTTAACAATCAATTGTTCTTAATTGATTTTTAACAATATATCACATTAACGAAAAATTCATAACATTTTTAATTCTTGCGGTAGAGACAACGCGCCTACTGCGGTAAAACGAAAACCGTAAAGTGAGTTTGTCACTAATATCTTAGTAGGACAAAAAATAATTTACAGTATTTTTATAAACTGTTATCAGCAATACTAAAGACATCTGTTCTTTATACGGTAATAAAAGAATGAGTAAAGTTTTCATGTCTGCAATACATAGGAATGTTCTAAACAAATAGTTTATCTTTATGTAATGACTAATATACTATTAATATTTGCATATCAATACCTTAATTCGCAAGTCAGTTAGCTTGGTTTCAGTGCAATTTTCAGGGGGCCCTAAAACTAAATCATTTTAATATATAGTGTTCCGAATATTCGTACCAATTTTCAGCTATATGCGATTTTTTTTTAACCTACCCCTATTTTTTGGGCTAACTTTACCGGACTAATAATAATATCACGAATTCAGAGAACATGAAATTTCAAATTATTTAAAAATATATTTTTTAACAAAATTGCAATATAATTTTTCCGAATTCGTAATAAGTGTAATTTAAATGAGACGGAGTTAGTTGACTTGCAAATTAAGCTATTGATATGCTAAATATCTATACACATTTTAATAACTAGCGACTCACCTCGCTTCGCTCGGGTTCGTCACTAGGTACGTATTAATGGTTAGTATTGAAAAAATAGACTATATATTATTTGATATATATAGCCTATAGCCTTTCAATAAACTGCCTATCTAATGCAAAAAGAATTTTTCAAATCGGATTAGTAGTTTCTGAGATTAGCGCGTTCAAACAAACAAACAAACTCTGCTTCTTTATAATATTAGAGTATAGATTAAAAGGTAGAATTTAAATGAATAGTGTAAAGCGAATAGATATTTCAGAATTTATTAGAATTTTTATTTGGTTCAAAACGGACTACTAGTATAAATGCGAAAGTTTTATGTGTATGTTTGTTTGTTTGTTTGTTTGTTTGTTTGTTTGTTTGTTTGTTTGTTTGTTTGTTTGTTTGTTTGTTACTCTGTCACGCTGAAATGGCTGAACATATTTGGATGAAATTACAGTGGACTTTCAATTAGTATACATAGAGCTAGGCACCAGGGATACGTACCTGAGCGAAAGGAGAGTAAGTCGCTTGTTGCTTAAGTAAAAAATCAAATAGCAAGATGTTTAAGACCACCTAGGTATGTTAAATACAATTTATTTTTAACACAATTTCCTTACAAATATTACTTTTAGCTTTATATACATTTTATTACTTTGTTCACGATGTATTACGTAAAATATTGCATGCTCGTAATTTTACTTTAACGTTATTTTAGTACGAGAAACAACAAAGAAAATTATGTTGTTTTGTATTTTATTGCTTGGTAAGTCATGTTCATCTACTTAGGTTTCAGTGATAACACTAACCATAACCATAAGGTCCACTGTAAAATTTAGATTATTATTTTCAGTGGCACATTCAATATCACGGTCGCAGCAGCATTTTGATGGAGTAATTTTTTTTTTTAAATTAAATATTACTTATCTTATGATGCGAAAGTTTGTGTGTGAGTGAGTATGCGGTCTAATATTTTTAATGCTAGACTGCTAGATATAGTTCATATGAATGGTTTTTTTTAATTAAAAAAATTGAAAATATCAAAAGGAAGGAAGGAAAGAATATAATATAATCTTGATAATAGCAACACAAATTAGATATTTTCAAATTGTAAAACTATAGCTTCCCTTTCATTAAAATTTGTTTTTAATTCTTAGGTACTTCGCTGCCATTTCTTTTTTTTCAGTTTATTGTATATTAGCGACTCACCCTCGCTTCGCTTGGGTTCGTCCCTAGGTACGTTTTAATGGTTAGTATGAAATACAAATCTTTGAATTTCTCGGCTTTTTTGTACTATAATATGCGTGTATAGGACATATAAACCTTCCTCTTGAATCACTCTTATTGCTGAAAACTGCATTAAAATCCTTTAGCAGTACATTGCTAAAACAGATTTTTGACACAACACCGTCATGGTTCAGTTACTTTGTACAAAATACTTAATTAATGAAAACCGTATCAAAATCGATTTGTCCCCGAATTCTATTTTGCATTTCCATAATTTCAGACAAACCGACAAAATTTTAAACAACTTTGGGGTTTATATTTTGTACACAATACATAACAGTCATTGTTTTTAAAACATATTTAATGTACAGATTTCGCTTTGCTACTATTATATTATATATTAGATATTTCTGTGGGTAGACACCACCTACAATAAATCCGTCATGTTTGGTATAAAGAACAGTAGGGAACAAAACATCAAACTCAAAGCATGGAAATATCCGAAAAAATACTTTTCTTTACAAATATCAAGTGCCTAAGACATGTCACTAATGTATTTCCACAAATTAAGGTTAGATCACTTATTCTAAGTAAATTCTCAGAATTCACGTTGTATGTACATATTTGTGTTTGCTGTTTATGTAGTTATTTGCGATAAGTTGCGTCTAATGTATGAAATATGACGAACTATGTGTCAACTTTTAAATATACTCGTAGTTAGAAAATGTAAGGATCTACAAAAAATGTGGATTGATGATGATGATCAATGATAAGTTTTTTAGAATAAACTTATTTTAAT